AAATTATAAATGTTACAAAATTCTGGAAACAAAGTGATCCCTCGGAAGCATTAATCACAACAAAATAACATAAGAATTGCAGACTCGGTTTGATTGAGTCTGTACATGAGGGATAATGAATAAGTGCAACATCCCTCACGCCCCCTAGCACCGGCTTGAGCGGTACTCAATTCTCAACACTTTATAGTGCTGGCACCAATGATCCCGAAGGACCAGAAAACAACAATTTTTCACCAAAATTAGGTAAAAGACCACATGTTAACTTGGAAAAACTAGATTTTGGGTGATTCCAAAGTTTTTCATCATTTTTTGTTAACCCTTTACCTCATATATACGCGAAACAACGCACTTTCGACCCCCCCCCTCTTTTTTAGGCCTGAAATAGTGAAAAAAATGTCCTATTTGCGCCCCAAACACATGTTTTCGTTTGAGAAATGTTGCTAAAAAAAAGTGAGCAATTCGGCGCCGTCCCCCATCCAAAAGATACATCAGGGGGTTGTCAGAAGGGGGATGTGCTCCCCTCTGTTTTGGGGGTTTGAAGGGGGGGGCGGAGTCCCCCTCATCGCCAAGAAAATTTTGGACTTGTGAGAGGCTTAAAATAACCCCAGGTCGATCATAAGGTAACGTGTAACCAACGCTGAAAAGCCTTTGACTCTATCTCAATCCCTTAAGAAGTTGCAGCACTTTGGAATAAATTTTGATGGAAAAATCGAGGCAAAATAGTGATTTTTGGCAATTTTGAGATGTCCCCTCGTTGCCATGGTAACAGGAAATTTAAGACTGAGCATGTGGTTACAAAGGCAATGGTCCAGTCAACATTTGTGCCAAGTTTGATTAGTATTGAAGCATTTTTCATAGTTTCATAGCAGTTTGAACTTGTAAGAGGAGGCTTTTCAGTGAAAATGGCAATTTTTCACAATATGCTCATTGGGGAAAGGGTTAAATATACAATCGAGCCGAAATTGTAAAAAATGTAGCAAATTGAATTCTGAGTTTTAAATAGTATTAAATTGACAATACTATTCAATCTGTTCAATGAATGTTGAAATCAATTTTATTCAATTTTACTAAACCGTTGTAAGTTTAATTTTAATTTGTTCAAATTTATAAATCATAGGTTTATTAGAGAATATGAAAATGTTTTTGAAAGTAAAAACCATATAAACACAAAAAAAATATTGCACAGTTGAAGATTTGAACTCGGAAAAAAAATCTAAACTTTCTCCTCATAATCTAAACTCTCTTACCACTATGCTACTCAGTTTTACGTATCCATATCCACTTTTATTTTTCTATATTGCAATAAAGATGCAAAGTGCAATATAACTGAATAACTTGCACAACCCATTACATCATAATGGTATGACCGATTAATGTAATTGTTATCGTGTTCGACTTATATTTTTGTTTTGATAATTATTCATTAATCACAGTGTAAATACAAAAATCATCATTCAGGGTACTTCTATGGATATGCAGTTTGGGTCTTAATTCTTCCTTCCTTTTCGATTTCTTTGATATAATAAATCTTTCTTATCATCCAGTATTTAAAATGACAAAGATGTTCGTCCTTTCATATTGAGTCATTGGATGAAAAGGTCATTGTTTTTTTAAAATGCCACCAAGAAGGAAAATTTTCTTTCATAAAATAGAAATAATAAAGATAAAGAACCCAAACCACTTTTTTACTTTAAATCCGGGAGGGGGTATTAAATATTCAGTGTTTTAATGAAAAATACAACATCTTATGAACATGAATCTTATAAATCTTATAATTATCTAACATCTGTTAATTTATCTAAAATACTGTAACAGGTGGAAATATTAAACAATTTGCAGAAAAGTGTACGCCCATGGATGGCATAGTTTACTGCATTGAGGAATAACGCTTAATAATTAGTTGCTTAAGAAATGAATATACAAAATGCATATGAGAAAAATAACAAAAAGATGAATATGCCCTAAACAGCATTTAGTTTTTCAGCTCTCTGTATCATTGCGGTTTATAACTACAAGGCAGGATCTATATAAAAACAGAGAAAAATCCCTAAAAAAACATCCAAAAAGGCAAAATTGAAATATTTTATGCAGACTCGGTTTAGACCGATGCAGGTTCGGTTTAGACCGAGCCTGTCCATAGACGATAGAGGTAGTTGCAAGTTACCGTCAAAGCCCTTAAGTACCAGCATGAAATGAAAAAAAAAAATATGTTAAGGTGTAAAAGTTATAGACTTTAATCTTATTCAGATAAATGAATGTTAAATAAAATTAAAATTAATATTTTAAGTAGGAAGTTTTACAAGCTTTTTTACAAATTCTAATTAAAAGATTTATACTAACTTATCATGGTTCTATATAACCCGATATGTACGTGTCAGTTATGATTTAAAATGCACATACTTTATTAATACAATGCCTATAACGTGTGTTTATTTAGTAGATTCTAATAGCAGACGCTTCATACGGCTAAATTAAAGTCGTTAAAAAAATTCATTGATGAACCCTTGAAAAATTACATAACGCAAGTCAACTTTTCTATTTCCTATTCATGGATAAAGTTTCAAAGTAAATCAAAATTTTCAAGTTCGATGTATTTGTTTACCGATTTTCACCTGATAATCAATTAATCACAGCGCAAATACAAGTATATAAGCATAACTCACAGTACTTCTAGGGATATGCATTTTGGATCATTTCATTTGACGTCTTTGATAGAATAAATCTTTTTTATCAAGTGAGCCATCCTTGGCTCTAACCCCTTTAATGAATGAATATTAATGTATTTGTCTATGTACATAATGAGTAATTTTCGAGGAACATAAATATGCCGTTCAACCATAAGATATATGACCGGAAATTAATGTTCATGTCAATATATGGAAAAGACATTTTTCGAGTAAAAAATGTCGAGCAATATTGGAGAAACAATAGAATCTTGAACAATTCTATCGAATGCAAGATAAATACATAGATATCTTAAATTTTTCTAAATGGAATTACTCAATATGACGCAATGAAAGTAATAAAGTACCATTTATAAATATTTTGAATATATTGTGACATAGGAACGGATACATTTTGTACAAATTCAAAATTGCTGCATGTACACTAGAAATTACGAAATAAATAAAATCACAGTTTTACCGAACAAAAGTTATTTAAAGATATGAAAGTAATAAGGAAAAAAAAGAAAAGCGAAATTTACAGCAAAGTACACAAAGCACATTTTTTTTATAAATAGTACTTCTATCAGCACCTGCACTTGAATCTTGTCGCAACTGATCTGTATTATTTCCTTTATGCGATCTATAAATAATATTTTAAATGATACAAAATGCTTAGTTTAGTACGTAGCTTCCTGGTGCAAATTTATAATATTCTATAAAAATAACTACTTCAAAGGAGATAAAAAAATAACTCCTAAGTAGACTTTATTACTCATACGTAGTACATTATAACTCTAAAGATATTTTTATGTAACATTATAAATTGACACCAGGACGTTTCCTATGTTAGACCCTTTGAACCGAAAACTGAAGAATTATTCTATTCAAGTTCTGTCAATATAATCTGCTTTTACGTTTTCAACCCATGTATTCATGCATAAAATGTCGCTTTTTGCTGTATAACACACTTTTGTTTATTATACTGAATTGATTTTGCCTTTGAAAATAATCATAGTAAAATATTCTAAAAAGTTGTCAAACTTAATAATTTCGTTAAATTCGGTGACTCGGAAAATAAATGTATCAGTATTTAATGAATATACAGAAAATATAAAATGACGCTTCGAAGTTCGTAAAGAAAGTGCTTAATTTAATTTTACTTTGAATTTCAAATGATGTACGAAATAAATATTTTTTAGGTTAACAATTTGTTAAAAATACATTAACCTTCTCAGCCGAATCGTTTTATGCTTATAATATGCGGAGAATCGTAGCAACATAAGTGTCTCAAAGGTTACATTCAGTACATGGTCCTCATAATAAATTTTGAAGAAAACACTTTAACAAAAAGACAAAAAAGGGCGGTCATTAGTATAATGTTATATTCCGATAGACTTATAGGCTAGCAGATATAAGAGAGAAAAATAAGCAATAACATCGTACAATTAACATTTGGTGTCCATGACTAAGCTGATATATAGCTGGTTTCTTTTCACATAAGATTTGTGCTATATTATGACAAATTACATTAAAGAATCAGATTTGTTAGATCTATTTAAAAGTAATTTTTCTCTGACTTTCAGATTTGAAGACTTCAGATCTGGAAACACATGTAACAATTTTATAGGCCCATATTTATTCGTTCCTTTAGGAAAAAAAGAATGAATCAAACGTGTGACGGCAACACATTTGAGTAATGTGAATCTTTCCGATAGTGATGAAAGGGACTTTCTCTGCGCGTGCGGATCACTTTAGTTTATTCAATATACTATAAAGAATGAAAAAGAAGATGTTTCTTATCTCTTCCCATCATAATTCTTACCTCAATTGAACAAAAAATTATTACAAAAGAGCAAGTTAATATAAAATATTATCGTACAGTATTGTTTTGTGGCGATAGAGAACAACAAAAGCCAATTGTCACATTTACCACCCGTATTATATGCCCGGCATGAGGGCCATGTACGCAGACATGTGTTTAAATACAATACCTTGATAAACGAAGCATATTTTATCTATAAGTTAAATACTTCATTTAAGTTGTGATTTTATCTGTAATGTCACCCTGAAACTAGTCCAGTCATGAAATATCTCAAAATACGGCAACAAATGTGGTAAAGGCAAGTTATCCAATGATAATATGTTAAGTTATCGTGTCCCGATAACAGACTATAAAAAACGCAAAGATAAACAAATACGAAACAAACAAAAAACAACAACAACAAGAAACATACAAAGTGACAAAGATGTATTGCAAAAGTTTCTCCAACTTTCTAAAGATATGTAACCTTTTATCAGATATTTCTTTTAAATAATAGTGTAATTATTACTCACGAAAAGCATATATCCTTTCATCATGCTATCTTACAGACAAATGTATAAAATACATATCTATAAACATTCATTTATAAACCTTACTAAACTACACAAGGAAGTAAAAATATACCTAAACATTATTCGTTCTTTTCATTGCTATTTACATTAAATAAAAACATACCTACCCATACGAAGCAAATAAGCGTATAATTATTATACTATTACACTTGTTTTCTGGCTTCCATTAAAATAATATATCGTATGTACTGCTCAATACAATGTGTTTACAAATATTTTTATTTGTATCCACTGAATGTTTATCATTTAATTTCTTATTACCGTGTTCGTTTACATATAGAATTTATAGTAGACGATTACTATGTTACAATTTTTTACGGAGACATGTTCGGGCCAATCATAATAGCTGAAAATCTAAGTGGACAGCGGCTATAATCCCTGCAACAGGGGAAACCAAAAAACATCTTTCTTCGAAGAAGGCATGCAAGGATTGAAGTATATAGATGGTATAAAACTGGCACAAGATTGTTTAGTTTTGTTACTTTTTTATAATTCAGTCAAAACTTCGCATGGCTAAATGTAACATTTTTACTGATTTTATAGCAGCTGTGATGGTTTCTTTTGTATGTAGGGCAAACACGACTGAAAATTCGGTTGAAGTAAAAGTGTAATATCGTGTTATACTTTAAGTCGCCTTAGAACAATGAGCATGTCCATGCTACTTAGTGTAATAAGATAATAGGAGTCATATTTCTTAACTTTAAAAAAAGAATCTCAAGAAAAAGTTTCAGAATTCAATTGGTCTATTTTGATTTTTTTTCAGAGTGAAATTAGCATATAATTATTTGATACCAACATGGAAATGTATAAGAGCATTTATTCTGTAAATCTATCTATTCAAGAGGTTAAATCATAGCTTTCGACAGAATAAAATATCTTTGAAAAAAGGTTAACAAAAGTTAAACTCATTTCTACATTTTCAAAACATATAAATTTAATGAGACGTAAAACACAATTTTACTTCGCGTATTGTATTTATAAAAGGAAGTGACCCAATTTTATGTGATTGCTCAAGCATATAGTTGTTGTCAAATTAGATATGATTTTATATTCTTTCTTTTTTTTAATAAAGGTATAAAAAGTTTTAAAAAAATTAAGATATTAAAGTGAAATATGCGTATTTTCGTATATTTCAAAACATCAAACGTTCTGTTATATCTGTATAATTATATAATCTAATCATTTAAATATGATTTGAATAAACATTTTATTTGCTGATTATTTTTATTGAACCAATAACTGATTATTTATTTAAAAACTATCTTTTAAATTGTGTCACGTGTTAACCGATAAAACATTAATTATATATGAGTAACTCATTTAAAGGCACATCATGCCTCAGAAATGAATAAAGTTTGACTTCTTTAGAATTTCATAACGTTTAAATGATGGATTTTAGAGCATTTAAGGTGCTTTTTACCAGTAGATAAATGTGGTGTAGTTTGTCACAGAAATAACAAAATGTAAACAAAGTAAGATAATTTTGAATTCCATTCAAAATAGTAAGTCACCAAACCTGTACTTATAGCAAAAAAGCAACAAAAGAAAAACTGGAAGGTCATTAATTGGCCAGAAAGTTACTTTTTCAAACAGCAAATGTAAACAAACTTTTGAAAAATAAAAGTTTTTTGGGACATAATGGACCTTTAAGAAAATTCACCGGAACCCACGGTACACATTCCGCATATTCTACAATCAATACTGTTATATGATAAATAGCCTGAAATACCGAGGATGACTTAATATAACTTGCTGTTAAATAATACATTTGTTGCAAATCATATTAGAAAATATATCAGTTTCGTCAAGCATACTTACTTTATCATGTCATGCGTTTCATATTGATAATATTATTTTCGATCGTCTAGCGCAATAAGGATTACTCTTCATACATAACGATTTGTTTCAGATAAACCCTTGCCTCATATGTTTGTAATCATATTTGTTTAACCCAATATCTATATTTGTAATGTTAGAATACTGCACACTTTCTTACCTAGGTATATCCATAAAATTAATAAAAGGGACACCACTGAGGTTTAAAAGCCTAAAAATCATTACATTAGAATTTCTTACATAAACGAACTGGGGCGCTTTAAACAGAAATATATGCAAAGATAAGAAATATACTTTAAAATAAATCGAAAATCGTAGTTATATACTTTTCTTAGCCTAATTTAAGTGAAAAGCGTTTAAACGCTTTTCATTTTGGGTCATTTTTTATAATCTGAATAATTATTATGGAAAAACGAAGTGCGCGAATGATCTGAAAATTTGCACAAAGTTTCGTGGTCTACACCTACACCAAATGGTACATTTATCTGGAAAAATATATTTTCAGTCCCATCATGTCAAAAAACAGTTGAGTCCCTTTAGTGCGACAGCTGCACATTTGTTAATAAATGGTGATACACATTAGTGAAAAAAATATGAGAAATGAAAACCAGTTACATTAACCGAAGTAAAACTTAGATAGATATTTATTTACCAAATATGAATGACATCATTGACCTTATTAAACACTCCTTCAACCAACCAAGATACCAAATTTCTATGTTTGTTTCGTCTTTCATGCATTATGTTGTATTATAAATAGACATTATTCAACAACAAACTGTTGACGTTATGAAGGTATACAATTTCACGTATTAGCGTCGAGGAGATAATTAAAAAAACAGCGAGGGAGAATAAGGGTTCAAGGGCACCGTACTTAACCTCTATTATCATATTAACTGTCATTATAAGTGTGCGAAGTTTGAATAGATTCGTATTATAAAGGTAAATGACTCCAAAACTAAGAAAGGTAAATTATGGTTGGTTAACGCAGCATTTCCCTCCCTACCCTTTACAAATGTGTGAATTTCTTACAAAATATTTATAGTTTGTAAGTTATACTCCATACAAGAATTATTTCTACTTAATTTAACCAAATTTAAGATCAAATTGCAATGGATTTAATTACAAAATATCATTGGACAATGCACTTTCTCTTATTGTCTCTATCACTGTGTGAAGATTTAAAATCAGATTACATCAAGCATTTCATGTTTTTCTCCGAGGGAGTGACTGAACGTAAATAAGTATGTAGGTAGGCGGGTAGGTCGGTCGGTCGGTGACATGTGTATGACAATTTACAAATAACAAAAACTCTTTTTTTAGTAGTTAGTATTTTAAAGGGAGTTCTATGACACTGCAGTGCCTTCAGTAAGTATCTATAAATGTTTGAAACTTCGATGAGATTATTAATAGTTTAGAAGTTTTACTAAATACAAGACTGTACCAGACGGACGGAAGCAGGGACAATATGGCTCCTAAATGCTTTCGTGAAAGTCTACTTCCTGATTATAATTGTAACTCTTTTTGTGACAAATTTTTCTTGTTATATAATATATATAATTATAAAGAAATTGTACTTACACTAAACGGAATGTTAAAAATATTATAATAATAATAGTTTATACACGACTTTAGACTAAAAAATGAAGTTGATATATTTAATAATAAGTAGTTCATGTCAGTTTATTTACTGAACATCAGGAGCATGTAAGCTATTATTAAATAAACATTCATTTTACAGCTTGGTAAGAAATATCTATGAACTACGGAACAAGTCTTCAGGAATAATTAAAAATGATGAATGAAACATTTTTCGATGTAGCTGTATTAAATCGTTTTTTATCTCCGTTTGTATAAGTTATAAAACCCTTCAGCTTAATAAGGATGTTTACCGTTGGTTTAAAGATCAGAAGTAACGAAATTTAAAAATAAATTATAAAAGCTATATACATTTATATAAACTATAGTTTCAAAGAATAAAGTTATCATAAGAAAATTCCATATTCATTAATAACCTGTCATTTCAAATGGCAAAGATAAACAGTACGCAAAATTGGAAAAAAAAACAACCCCCAAAAACAACATCCTGGTCTGTGAAAAGTTTGCAGACATGCAGATCATTAAAGTGACAACGAGAACCTCAATATTATTGTGATATTATCAAATCCCTATTGTGTTGTATATTCTTAATGTGTTATCTTCCCTAAAAAAAGATATCATTAAAGTATGAACTTATTTGTTAGCTCCCTATACTTCATTTGTTTATGAGGAATTCGTCTGAAATATTGAGGCTAACAGTGGGAAAAACCATTTCTTATATTCAAGTTATATTGAAGAAATTGAACTTAAATTTTATTAAAGTATGAAATCAAAGAACATTTGTTTGTTTGTTGTGTAAGATGTAAATTTATTTCATCTTGTGAACTTAAAATTTCGTATCCTCACGAGTGGCACAGCTTTTTGTGAGAATACTTTTTCTAAAGCTACTCGACGAAATAAAAGTAATCCCACACAAAAAATAAACAAATTTCCTCTATGCATTTCATTCGCAAATAATTTCTTGTTTGAATGATTTAAAAACTTTAAAAAGTTACATGAATAAGGAAAATTTGTCTTAAGTTTAATCATATGTACTTATGTAAATATATGCTTAAATAATTTGTGGCAGTATTAAAATGAAGTACTAGTTTTTGTTTGTCCAATTAATATTGGTAATCGTTTTTTTATATTAATTACATCTATATGTCCTTTTTAAAGGTAACTCATTTAGGCGATTCGTATAAACTTAACCCGAAGTTGATGAGACTTGACGTGAGTCTGACAAGAAACTCTTATTCTAAAATGAACCTTGAGCATCACTTCTCTACAATGTACCGTCTTAACTAAACGCTATTTTTTTGAGAATTTCGAAAAACGCTCTGGAAACCAATTCTAATCTTCTTATTTTAGTATACAATATCGGACGTTTCAAAGGTCTATCCTTATTAATTTTGTAAAACGTACTTGGGCAGTAATAAAATATTTAGACATGTAGGTGTGTTAACGACAATGATGTGAGACATAACATCACTTGAATGTGTTGAAACCTTGTAGCTCGCAAGCTAGTTCCAACCAAATAAAAACCACATTGAATATAAGCCGCAAAAAATAAAAATTCGATATCATCAAATATTTCACCTGTTAGAAGAAACCAAATGATAGATGTACATGCATACATAAAGAAGATAAGGCTACCTACCTACCTACCTTACCTACCTACCTTACCTACCTACCTACCTTACCCTACCTTACCTTCCTACCTTACCCTACCTTACCTACCTTACCTACCTACCTACCTACAGCAACGCAACACTCTACCGTCGGTTTGTCATATCGCGTGTCGTATTGACATTTCTCGTGTGGCATGTCATGTGTCGTGTCGTTTTTCATTCTTCACATTGTTCGTGATTGTAATGCGTCGACTTTAAAGTGACATTTAATCCGACCTTTTAATTTGTGACACGATACATTTCTGTAACAATGTGATACAAATATGATGATTATCGTGCAAAAGTTTAGGATTGTTGCCACGAACTTAGACATTAAGTGAAACATGACAATGCAATACGAAATAATACGACATTATGTGAAGCAAATGTCACGTGATTATCATGTATCTACCATAGGCGGTATCACTATTATCATCAAATAGTTCGTACATAAAATAGTTAATGTAAAACTAGATTGTTTTTTCAACCGTGTCGTAAACTGATTAAACTAAACTTAAATGCTTTACCACTGAATTTTTCTTCCTGATATAATTTATATAAAGTTTAAAAAATGCTTTAAGTATACAAATAGTTAACATGATGCATGGACATATTATTTTCGTGAGTTATGCTCTTGTATCCATTAAAAAACTCAGATTTTCATACTTTATTATTTAAATAACTTTCTGGCACAAAAGCTTATGTTTTAGAAACATATTTACGTAAATGTATCAAGATTTATGTTCTTTTTTTTGCATTGGGCTCATGTTTGAATCATTGCATTATTGTATCATTTTTGTTATCAAATATTGCAAAACAAGGGTTAGGATTTTATTCGTATAATCTTTACTAAATTTTTGCCATTGTTGTGTATGTATTTATCAATTCGTCTTTACATGTACATTCAATTATTTGAATATATATATTTATATCGTTTTGTACCATATTGTTTACAAAACGGCTGTGCTTTTGCTTCATAGTTACTGTAATGATTAATGAATTTTATTATTATAGTTATTATTATTTTATTATAATCATTATTATTATCATTATCAAATTTATGATTTAATTAGTTGTCATTTAGATTCTAAAAGGTATCATGGACAAACAAACTTGAATGATTTGTACACATATATTGATTCAATACGCGTTGTCTGTAGTTATATAAACCCTATTTTTTATATGTCAAAGCATGTTTATCGTGGGACGTAAAATGAATCTTTTCTCATGTTGCAATGTTTATTATGGGCCTCATTATTAAATAAATATGTTGAATATATTGTTGTACATAAAGGCACAGTATGCTTGAGAAATGAAAAAAAAATCTTTAGAAAGGTCATAAGTTTAATAACGTTTAAATTATGGTTTTAGAGCTGGGTAGATGCTTGTTAATTGTAAAATAAAACGTGGAAAATATACAAAGCAGTATTTTGACTCCTATACAAAATACTTAATGACTATAAATGTTCAAATTGTCAAAAAGCAAAAAAGAAAAGGACATTTGAAATTTAAATAAAAGAATATTCGTCAGGAAACGCAGTGCATATATTAAATTTTGCACTCGACACAATTTCATATATATGTGTATTTGTTATGGATTAATTATGTATGGGTAAAGGCCTCACCAGATGGTAGGATTTAGTTTTACAACTTTAATTAGTTATAATATGTACATGTTTCAAAGCAATTCAGACTGTAATTTACATTGTATGAATCATTAGGTTTCCCTCAAAAACAATTCAATTCCTTACAGACTTCACTTACTATTTTTTGCCGAAAAATGTATAAATGCTATAACTGTTGGTATTGAACAATTAGAGGTAGGCCGTTGATAGCATTGAGGAAGCATTAAGGAAATTACCATGCTCTGAAATAAATAAAATAACTGAGCCTGGCATGTATAGCAATGAGTTATCGAGCCAAAACAACCAAACATGCAAAAGGTGGAGAACGTATCACATGAAATAAAATAATGTTTTGCTTCCTTTTTCAGCAATTCATAATAGACATTTTTTTCTTACAGTTAAAAGGCTATCAAAAAGTGTTATTTGTCTCTGCGAGCTTTATGTGTATTATCTTCAAAATGTATGTAATAAATTAGAATATTTCCTCACGTGCGTATTGCTTAAGTGTTTTCAGCTTCTTTAGAAATACTTGACCTCGCCTAATGAAAATCTACCAATCACAATTACCACTATCAGCACTGGTCTCGTCATGAAAAAAGCGGCTACACTAATTGTTGCGGAGTAAGAGCAAATTTGCAGTTATATAGGGTTAACGCACGTTTTTCCGTGTTATAACGTCTGCAGAGTCCCGAGGAACGGTTGGTGCCCGAGCCCGGTAGGGCGAGGGCTCCAACAGTTCCGAGGGACTCTGCAGACTTTATAACACGAAATAAACGTGCGTTGACGCTATTATAGCTTAAAATCTTAAAACAGATTCATGATGTATATTTAATACAAAACACAAACATTAAATCCTTGTGCTTGAACGGTATTTATCCAACTCTACATGCGTTTAATTTTTTCCGGGGCCAACAACTTGGGAAATACAAATGTGCAGAACCGAACGAAATTTCGAATTTTAATTGATTTAACAAAGCTTAACTTTGGAGATATATTAACTTAAGAAAAAACATAAACATTAACATTACTCTACCCAAGACAAAACAGGCGCCTCAGAAATTCCTAGAATGATTACAGATTGGCGGTAGAAAAAAGATCAGTGACATCAGATTCAATTTCAGAATCGGTTTTTTTTTAAGCACGCAAGTTTAAAAAAATCAGGCATAAAACATTATTCTCTCAAAGAAACATACAGAACATTTATCAATATAAACATCAATAAAACAACGTTTTCTCATATTCATTTTGTGCTTTCCATTTTTGTAAGTTTAAACTGAATGACAGATTCTATTTGTTTACATTGACAACTGTCCGTTTCTAAGAAAGGGCGACAACCAAGATTAGCGGCGATGTCTATACGCCGTATTGCCGGCATAATTACTTGAATGCTGCTCGCCGTTTATGCGACTGAGGCCCTCGAATCAATAATTTCAATATAACAAGAGCGCATGACTCTTTGGCAAACAGGCCAAATCGTCAACTTTTTTGTTTGTTTTACTGGGCCCTGTGTGTATTGCGCATAGGTGAAACCGGACTATAACAAGAGCGCGTGACTATGTTAACGCATGGTTTTGGTCCCGTTATAACATGGGCAAAATAGGGAAAATAGCCGATTTTATGCTATAATGTAAGTTAATCGGGGGATTAAACTGAATGATAGATTCTATTTGTTTACATTGACAACTGTCCGTTTCTAAGAAAGGGCGACAACCATGATAAGCGGCGATGTCTATACGCCGTATTGCCGGCATAATTACTTGAATGCTGCTCGCCGCTATGCGACTGAGGCCCTCGAATTAATAATTCCAATATAACAAGAGCGCATGACTCTGGCAAACAGGCCAAATCGTCATTTTTTTGTTTGTTTACTGGGCCCTGTATGTATTGCGCATAGGTAAAACCGGGCTATAACAAGAGCGCGTGACTATGTTAACGCATGGTTTTGGCCCCGTTATAACATGGGAAAAAGAGGGAAAAATAGCCGATTTTATGCTATAATAAGTATTGAGATGCATTTACATCTGAACCAGAATCATTGTAAGAACTATATATTAGATTTGCACATACATGTATTTACTAATGATTAATGAAGACCTGTCGTGCATGTTTCTTTTTATGCATAACATGATCTGCGATATAAATATTATCTTGTTAACAGTAAGTATTAAGATATGGTTGTTTTCCAGGTGTCTCTGTGTTTACTCTGCCATGTTTTCCACTCTACACTGTCACAAGGTAAGCCTTAATTAAAATTCTCTTTGAAAATATATGTTGTTAAGTTCAGATATACCAGTAACAATTGACAAATTTTTGTTTGTCTTTAATAAATAAGGAAAGTTGCATTTACGAAAGCGCATTGTTCTAACACAGGACGTAAAATCCATGTCCGATGACGTTATCAAGATTTATTTAGCAGAATAAATACAGTGCAACTTTTGAAATCCGAACACCAGTCACACTTGTTGAATTTTTTCTTATTTTTGAAGTTGCCGGAATTAAGTGCTTACATAAAGAGATGATGAAAAAAATATATGAAGCAGATGTAATTTTATAAATGTCACAAATAGAGGATCATTTCCTCATATTTTTATTGAATTTTTCTTTGACATTTAACTTGTGATAAGGATGCACTAAATGAATAATTCTGTATCTGTGTTACGGATTACAGGTCCTTAGGGGAAACCAATAGGAATCAGATTTTCATTACATATTTTTTCTATATAGTAAAACATATCTAATTTTCAAATATAAGTAAATTTCACCATCCATTTTTTTCTATTATTTTTTGTTTATGTCCGCACCCCTCCTTGAATTTTTGTCCTAATTTCAATCACCAAGGCGATATTAGAGGAATTAATTTTAAATTAACCTTTTGTAAATTTTTATCTTAAAAAACGATTTACGTAAAAGTGACTCACCTTTTCACAGGCTCAAAAATGACACATCTTTTCAACAACAAAAACCAATTATAAACTTGAAAGAAAATAACCTTTAGATATATATTGACAACTTGATAAAATATAAAACACTTTTACCGTCTAGAAAATAGTAATTAGAAACTAGAAATTTTGCTTTAACAGTTTGAATTTGGTACATATGAATTTTTTCTTGACAAGAGGTTCTAACTTTGAGCATTCATGTTATAGTCCGGATCAAACGTTCTTTGTGGGCTGTCAATATTTCCTTCAATATCAAATTTTACACTCTATGTATGTACAAATGATTACTCTGCCTTATCAGATTCATTCATGTATATGCATTTTGCTATCAGAATTGTAATAATAAAGGTTCATTCTAAGGGCTATTAAAACACTGGTGAATAAGTATACTACGTAGATGTCACAAAACAAATGTATTATATTTGGGTATCTAGCAATAAACAGTTTTTTAAGTACATGTATGTAAAGAAAAAGCTTTATACTTGTGATAAGGGAATGTTTGTGTTCCCTATAGAATTTTTCCGCTAACAATTTTAGATTCATGGGTTTTAGTTTAAGTTTTCCTTAAAGGCCAATTTTGCCCCAGAAATGCTTTCATTTTTATTTTTCAAAAACTTTATGAATTTGGTAACATGTTACAGTTTCAAAAGACTTACTTTTAAGCCAATTACCTGAACCATCATTTGCTTCGGTTGCTTTCAGGTAATAAGTACAGTTAAAGTGATTTAGCACTTTGTATCGAAGTCAAAATACTTCTTTGTTTACGTTTTGCTACTTTTATGGCAAACATTCAACATTTAGTGTTCCTTTTTTATGATAAGCATCTAAACATGCTTGCGAACCATTCTTGATACGTCAAAGAACTCGTGTTCGCTCTATATAAAGAAGGGAAAATGTATTCATTTCTGAGGAATAATGTGCCTTTAAATGGATTATGTAAACAAAAAAAAAGAAATCAGAGCTTCTATCTGCTGTCAATGATAAAATTTAACTGACGCCATGTTATTTTAAATCTAACTTTAAACTCTTTATTATGTTTTATATTGCCAAATAATACTCAATAATGAAACATTCAAGCTATTGCTAAAACGTGTTTCATGTCAAATCTGACTTAAATCATCAATAGTTTTAATAAAGAATGTTCTAAAATATCAATCAATATTGAGCTGTGAACTAAACGAGCCTTGCTTGAAATACTGATTGCATCTGATATTACTGTGAAAATTTGAGCAAATAAGTTAATAAGGTAAAAATATCTAATCTAATAAGATGTGCAATTATTATTTCAGATTTAATATTTATCATTTATACAATGTATTATCATATTTCAGATGTCGCACTTAGTGGTTATTGTCAAGGAGGTGTGGATAACGAATGTTCAGATCCAAATGCTGAATGTATTAAAAGTAAATGTACATGTAATGTCGGCTATTACCGTTTCTATGAAGGGAACTCACAAAGTAATTGCAGAACAGGTAAAATTAATTTTGATTATTAACTAGTTCTCAAAGCAATTGTTGTAAGCATTTTATTATTTATATGATCTTAGACCCTTATGTTTACAGTAATATTCTTTAGGGTATTTTTTACTAAACGTTTTCAAAGAAAAAAAGAAAAAAAAACAAACTATAACTACAGTCATGTTCCCACTTTCGCTGTCAGCCAGAAACTTTAAGTTAGACATTTTTGGCGTATAATGTCCTGAATATGTTTGTCTATCTGCACAAACTAATAAGAATATGAGGGATCTAATTGTAGACAGCACTTAAGAGAACAATATTGTTCATTCCATAACATTATGAGACGTTTAGCAGTGTACGGGTTTAACCTTCCTCAGGTCAATGTCACACTTTGTCAATTTTTATATATTGATTTGTTTTTGTCTGGATTACTTGGATTATAGTATTAAGTTTTAAGAATTTTGACAGGTTATATGACCCTATATAAGACATGAGTTACATTTTGAACAATCGTTTATATACGGCCATATAACTTTTTATAATGAATTTATAATACAACAAGCATCATTTATATAAAAATATGGTGAGATATCTTTATAAATTAAAAGTAGCCCTGTATATAGAGCTACATAAACATCACAATTATCCAATGGAAAACGCCGTTACAAACGTACATTATTATTAAGACTTAAAGTTATTCCGTACTTCACTTCAGTGTTGTTATATTTTACTGGTCCTTCGGGATCATAAAGTCGAGCATTTTTAAGTGTTGAGAATTGAGTACCGCTCAAGCCGGTGCTAGGGGGCTTTAGGGGTGTGGTACCTTTCTCTATCCCTCATGTACAGACTCAATCAAACCGTGTTTGCAATGTTCATGATATTTTGCTGTTTTAAGTGCTTCCGATGGATCACTTTTTTCCAAATATTTATATAAGAAAACACATTTAATTTTGATTGTGTTAAACTACAATGTCTAAAGCTTAGATAATTAGCATGTATCATTGGTCATTCACCTTTACAAAACTGATGAATCATGCCCCATTGGGTTAACATTGGCCTTAACCCAGGGGTCACATAATTTATAAATTCTTACATACGAAAACACATCTGACATATTGTGTGAAACAATTATTTTATTATAATTTATTTATTATAATTATATTTTGTGAATAAATAATGCCTAGAGTTGTCATGTATCATTGCCTTGTTGTCCTCTACGAATTGACAATGACACGATGCATAATTTATGCCCACATAATCCACCAGTGCTGGTTCATTTAATTAAAAAGATCCTTATATTTTTCACAGGAATAAATAGTTAAGTCAGAGATGTACTTCAAAAGTCAGTAATAAAAAGCAGCTTTAGTTAGGGCTGTACATCATAAAATAATAAAAAGGGGAAGTAACTTTCAACAAATTTGCTTGTTTTGAATGCAACCACACCAGCTAATCGGCTTGAATCTTGCATAATAATGTATATTATGTAGAGTGTAATAAACATGTATTTACTTATGACAGTTAAAGGTATAAACAAAACCATGCCATAAAATATGTGAAAGGATAATATATAATTCTTGATACTGTAGTGAATGCCCCAGACGTTAAAACAGTTCATTTCATTTGTTCAATTCCAGTGCAAGAACTTCAGGTAACAGGCATTACATTTTCAAATATAAAAACCACAGAATTTATTGTATCTTGGACTACACCTACTAGATCTAGTTATGTAAGCGGATATGATGTAGAATGGCAAACTTGGGGTAAGGTGGTCGATGCAACATCTCCTCAGAAGGTTACAGGTTTGACACCTGGTAAAACATATGTAGTCAAAGTGATATCAAAAGATACAGCCACACAACCTGGTGATACAAGGACAACTAATACATCAAAACAACAAGCTGCAAGTAAAAACTTCAAAAATTATTAAATCTGTATTTTTTTACATTATGATGCAGAATAAGGGAGAGAACACTTGCATGATTATTATCTTTTTTGATTTTCCTAATTTTTTGTGAGTTATTAGTCAAACTATTGAAAAATCTTATCAAACAATACACTAATGTTGTCGTTAAAGAGACAAATCCTATGTTGGATATATTTTGTTTTCAAAATATAAACATAATCTCCTATAAAAATATTTATATGGCTTTTTCATCAATTATTCAATTCAAAAGTGGTATTATTTAACATGTCTGTGTTTTGTTTTAAATACCATGGATAATAATTGTAATTTAGCTGTTTAAAATGAGGTAGAGGTTAAACAAATTAAGACCATACAAGCTGTTTAAAGATAATTATGATTTAGGACTATTTTGTTGAGTGTCTTAGATCAAGTCTTAGAATGTTTATATATAATCAGTAGACATTTTTCATTGATTGCTCAAAGTGCTAGTTTCCACGAAGCAAATGAATTAAATTATACATCTCAATATATCTTACTTCACCACGACTTAAGTAAAAGTACAATTTAGAGATGAGTTTAAAAAAGAGAGATAAATATGCACTGGGTACATCCAGTGGTAAACTGTGCTGGAGAGTTATAGCTCTTAGTTTAAGCCTCATAATCGTTTAAAGAACGGCTATACATTATGGTTTTATGATCTTTCTATCTATGGTATATATTATAAAATAATAAAAAAATATTATAATACATAAGTAATGCATGCAATACCCATCATTTAATCATGTTTGGGTGGCTGTAATTTAGTAAACAACAAATAAAATAAAAAATTGTTTTTATCTTATTTATGTGAACGGTAAAGTTTATTATTTAGTTTGTATTTTTACTATTTTCACCTAGAGTTGTAATTTAGTAAACAACAAATAAAATAAAAAAATGTTTTTATCTTATTTATGTGAACGGTAAAGTTTATTATTTAGTTTGTATTTTTACTATTTTCACCTAGAGTTGTAATGATGTAATGAATTGTTTGCATGAATAAAATAGTATTGATCATGTTTCTGACCATATGAGATGTGAACATTTATTTGAATTTTAGAAACGACATGATGTCTTTTTCATCATTAACAGGCTTAATAATTGCACAGAAAATGTAACAAATTGTTTTCTTTTAAAAGTGTATTTTTATTCTTATAATTTTTATTCAGAACCGAGCATTCCAGGTCCTGTAACAAGTTCAGAAAATGATTTAGATGCTAGTGATGGAAACATAGTTATTAAATGGACAGCAGGAGCTGGTGTAACAACGTTATATAGAGTAAAGTTATTTGATGGTGATACACAGAAAGGCCCCCGAGACACCCCAACTTTATCAACAACATTTTACAATGTACTGAATGGTTATAGATACATTGTCAGTGTAACAGCAAGGATTCAACAGTTTAATGAAAATGATTTATGGAGTGGGACAAAGGTTTCTACAATTAAAACAAAAGTTCAAGGTAACAGTTCTTTATCATGCCATTTCATTTTACATTATATAAGGGTTATGTTGGGTACATTTTAATTGCATTTGCATGAAGAAGGAAATGACCATTCAATTTTTATGCCCCCACAAAGTGGGGTGCATATAGCGTTGCACTTGTCCGTCTGTCCGTACGTCCGTCCGTCCGCACAAACATTTTAGGTATATGGGCTAACTAACGGTACACTGGGACAAAAGAGAACAAAGGACTTCATTCTGTAAATAATAGTTAGTTCATAAGGAAACGATAGTTAGCCCACAAGGAAACAAAAGAAAAGAACAATAGAAATAGCTCATAAACCTGAAAAATTCGTACGTCCGTCCGTCCATACGTCTGTCCGTACGTCCCGAAATCTTGTGAACGCAACTCCTCTTAAACCGGATGGCAGATTTTGCTTAAACTTCCAGAGATAAACAACCTTAATGTGTAGATGGTAGTAAAGGAAGGATTTTTTGCTGCGACAAAATTTAACAGAATTATGGCCCTTTGTTGATTTTTTTCACTATATACTATGTACTAGAAATTTTGTGAACGCAACTCCTCTTAAACCGGATGGCAGATTTTGCTTAATGTGTAGATGGTACTAAAGGAAGGAATTTTTGCTGCGACCAAATTTAATAGAATTATGGCTCTTTGTTGATTTTTTCACTATATACCATATATATGTTGACAGTGGGAGCATCCGTGTCCATTGGACACAGTTCTAGTTGGTGTTAGAAAAGCATTATATTGTTAAAGAGACTCCACTGAGGTATTTTGACATGATGGGACTGAGAATATTTTTTTCCAGATAAATGAACAATTTGATGTAGGTTTAGACCACTAATCTTTGTGCAAAATTTCGAATCATTCGCCCACTTCGTTTTTCCAGAATAATTATTCAAATAGTAAAAAAATGACCCAAAATGAAAAGCGTTTAAACGCTTTTCACACAAATCGGGTTAAGAAAAGCATAAAAATATGATTTTCAATTAATTTCAAAGTATATTTCTTAACTATCTTTGTATATATTTCTGTAATTCTGTCATTTATGTAAGAAATTCAAATATTATGTTTTAGGCTTTTAAACCTCAGTGGAGTCCCTTTAAGGCTATGTAACACCGCACTTTGGGATCAAACGCACTTTGGGGTCCAATTTCGACCCCAAAGTGCGTTTAAGAGGTACATATGCATTTTTTAACATCAGGCAAACGACCGCACTTTGGGGTCAGAGAAAATTTATGTTCATTATGTTTTGAATAATATAGTGTAGTCAAAACCAATGGTAAACAAAAAATCAAGGTATTAAATAGACACAAAACATGTGCCTGAATCAATAGGGATTTAAATGGTCTTGATTAGTAAGTGAAGAACTTTCACTAGATAAATCACCAAATTCAATTATTAAGCTGAAAATATGTTTTTCTCAAATTTTCCATTTATTTTAAAGGATTGTACACCTTTCATTAACTTCATTGTTTTTAGCTAAATGCATGATTTTCCCGTTTGTTATTTACACTTTTTACAGAAATATGAAAGTCTTAGCATAGACAAAGGTATAAATTCTGGGTAATCTCAGTAAAAAATTTGCCTGATAATATGTAAAAATAGCCATTTATTTAGCTAAATGTGACACATATGAAACTTGACTATGTGTAGATGCGGCTTAAAGTAGTAGTTCGTACAGGCAGTACTAAAATATCAACTATTTAAGTAGTCGCACATTAAGAGCGGAGCTTCAGAATAATGTAAAATTCTCACTAGGGGTATAGAGGGGAGTGTGGGGTATCGATCCCCCTACCCCCGAGGGTTAAAAATAACATTTTAAAAAACCCATTATGCTTTTTTTGTTTTTCTTAAAAGCTTTTTTATTTTGATGTTCTTTTATAATATCAAAAAATACACATTGGTCAATTACCTGAACCATCCTTTTCATATGTTGACAAAAAGTACAATTATAATGAATAAGTATTTTATATGGAAATACTACATTGTTTTGACTACTTTTATGAAAAATAATTTCACATTTATCGCTACTTTATTCAGGTAACAAGCATCTTACATTTCTCTGATACCATTATTTTAACATTATAAAATTCATGTTTGCTCTTTCTAAAGAAGTATGTAAGATTCCCCATTAAAAAAAGCCTCTGGCGAACGGTTGTTACGGAGCTTACAAAAAACTTAAGTCTGTTGATAAACTTAATGTATTTGTAAAAATCACTATTTTTAGTCTGATCGAAAAACTTGATGTTTCACCAGAACATTGCTGTAGTGAATATGAATGCAAAACTGAAAAAAAAATATATATGCAAAACTTAAATAAAATATGTATGCAAAACTTAGATAAAAAATGCAAATGTCACTTTTATGCCACCGTAATTGTGTTATATGAACACAATTTTTAGATATTTCAAGTGGTAAAATTAATGAAACTTTTATCACTTAAGCATCAAATAAAGTATCGACCGCCATCTTGAACTCCACCTCAAATATTTCAATGTCGCAGATCGAAAATAAGTCAGTACTCAGTACTCAGTATTTAAGCAGAACTCAGATTACACCTTTAGACCTCTGGAACCCAAAGTGCGTTGATATGTAGCATATTAACGCACTTTGGGGTCAATTTCTCGATTTTAACCCCAAAGTGCGTTTGACCCCAAAGTGCAGTGTTACAAGGCTCCTAAGACGGTATTGTTTGATTTTATTAACCTGTCAATTCTATACTGATTTACGGTCAATGCACAGAATATATTAATATTCGATAAATGTTCGGTAAATTCCGTGAGATTTAAGCAGTTAGATGTTATTAAATTCATCTGGTTTGTATGCATTACCGTTCCAATAAACTGACCGTTATAGCGTAATAGGGCAAACTACGGGTATATAATTTCACGGCGTCTCAACGCCGTGATATTGTGATGGGTAGTTTTCGGTAGCATGGGCAAAAGTCACGTGACAAAATGCCTTTCGGTTTCTACAGCCGACATTTTATTGTTTTTACGTAATCATTGTACAGCCCATTTCCGTGAAAAGTTACATAGAAACAGTTTTTTTTTTCAAAACCATATAGAATCTAAACAGTATTTTTATCAACACACGAAATATCAGCGTTTTATATTAACACATTTCCGGACATCCTTTCGACATGCTTGAGAAATTCGCCTTGAATAGATTATGTATGGTGGCTGATTAACGCCATCCAAATATTTTCGCGTCTTCGCCTCAAAATGCGAAAATGCGAAAACACGAAGGGACGACATATTTTGACTAATGTGTTCTCATGTCGGATCTATGTCTCTCTCGGAGTGAATCTTTTCACGTGTAAAATGTCTTTGAACATTACATTCCTAAGTTTCTATATTTGCAATTAAGAACTTAAATTGTCTACCAGAGCCGAAGGCTCAGGGTGAGCTATTAGTAACAAAGGGGGATACTCCGGCGTCCGTCGTCCGTCGTCATGCGTCAACAATCATCTTCTTCTCTGAAACTGCTGGGCAGATTTAACTAAAATTTTGTCTGTAGCATCCTTGTGATAGTCACACTTAAATTTGCTCATGTCATTTCAATTGGCCCCTTTTAGGGTTCAGCAGAGCTAAAAATAGAAAAACCTTTAAACATCTTCTACTACAGAACTAATGGATGGATGATCACCAAACTTTGTCTGTAGCATCCTTAGGTAGTCTTTTATCAAGTTTGCTCATACTAATTTGATTGGCCCCTTTTAGGGGTCACTAGGGCTAAAAATAGAAAAACCTCTAGACATCTTCTTCTACAGAACCAATTGATAGATGATCACCAAACTTTGTCTGTAGCATTCTTGGGTAGTCTTTTATCAAGTTTGCTCATATTAATTTGATTAGGCCCCTTGTAGGGGCTGCTATAGCTAAAAATAGAAATACCTTTAAACGTCTTCTTCTACAGAACTTATTGATGGATGATCACCAAACTTTGTCTGTAGCAACCTTAGGTAGTCTTTTATCAAGTTTGCTCATATTAATTTGATTGGCTCCTTTTAGGGGTCACTAGCGCTTAAAATAGAAAAACTTTAGACATTTTCTTCTACAGAACCAATTGATGGATGATCACCACACTTTGTCTGTAGCATTCTTGGGTAGTCTTTTATCAAGTTTGCTCATATTAATTTGATTGGCCCCTTGTAGGGGCCGCTATAGCTAAAAATAGAAATACCTTTAAATGTCTTCTTCTACAGAACTAATAGATGGATGATCACAAAACTTTGTCAGTACCATTCGTGGGTAGTCTTTTATTAAGTTTGCTCGTATTTATTTGATTGGCCCCTTTAAGGGGTCTCTAGGGCTAAAAATAGAAAACCTTTAGACATCTTTTTCTACAGAACTAATGGATGGATGATTACCAAACTTTGTCTGTAGCATTCCTGGGTAGTCTTTTATCAAGTTTGCTTATATTATTTTGATTGGCCCCTTTTAAGGGCCGCTATAGCTTAAAATAGAAATACTTTTAAATGCTTTTTCTACAGAACTAATTGATGGATGATCACCAAACTTTGTCTGTAGCATTCTTAAGTAGTCTTTTATCAAGTTTGCTCATATTAATTTGATTGGCCCCTTGTAGGGGCCGCTAAAGCTAAAAATAGAAATACCTTTAAACATCTGCTTCTACAGAACTAATAGATGAATGATCATTAAACTTTGTCTGTAGCCTTCTTTGGTAGTCTTTTATCAAGCTTGCTCATCTTAACTTGATTGGCCCCTTTTAGGGGTCTCTAGGGCTAAAAATAGAAAAACCTTTAGACATCTTCATCTGCAGAGCTAATTGATAGATGATCATTAAACTTTGTCAGTAGCATTCTTAGGTAGTCTTTAATCAAGTTTGCTCATATTAATTTGACTGGTCCTGTTAAAACTAAAGCTTAAATGCACCAGCATTTCTTTAAATTAAAGTTTAAAGATATTCTAAGCTCTATTTTATATATAAAAAAATATTGACAATGGATACACAGTCTCCTTATAAATATAAATATGAAATATACGTGTTTTGACGTCACACAAAGTAGATATGTTATGTTTTAAACTCTTAACACTATTCGTGGTCACAGTATAAATATAATGATAGTGTCATTACAAAACCTTTTTTTTTTTTTTATAGAAACGACCATCTTTACATTGCCTGTAATAGCATATGCAGTTTCCTGTACATAGTATATTCATTCTTTCATCCAAATAAGACATTTTCAGCAAGAATTTCATAAATTTCATTGGCTTGGGTCATGACCTGTTTTTGATGTGTAAATATATTTCAGCTCTGGAATTCGGACTATTGCATCATTGTAAGGTCAGTTGTAGGTCATTAACCAGGAAAAATAGGCCTAAAGAAACATAAAATTTGTTTCTCCTGACCTTTACTATCAAAGATGAGTTTATCTGCTCAATTCTCTTATTGAATTTTGAAAAAAAAATGTAATTTTTTCATTTTTTTTGTTGAATTAACAAGGGACAAGGGGTTTAATTTCTGTTCTTGAATTGAATTTTGATATGAACTGGCTTACCTTTGATAATTATATTTGATATCGCTTTACCTACTTTTTTGTCTTTTATGTACAGACTTGAAATTTGGACTATGGGTGTAATTTGTGTAATTTTTGATGCTGAATTCAATTTTGATACCAGCTGACCTACTTTAGGTATTACTGACATCATTTGACCTACTGTCTTCTATTTTGACATTCAGATTTTAAATGTTGACCAGGTTTGTAAATTCTGATGCCGAAATGAATTTTGATATCAACTGACCTACTTTTGATATTTTTGATATAATTTGACTTTCATTCTTGTGTTCTTGACATACAGACTTGAAATTTGGACTAGGGGTGTAATTTCTGATGCTGAATTGAATTTTGATATTAACTGGCCTACTTTTCATATTTTTTACAATGTTTGACCTATTGTCTTTTTTTGAGGTACAGTTATGTTACCATAAAAATTTTTGTCCCAAACTAGGAACTTCAAACATCTACACCTTACATGTTTTGCATGTGACATTTTGTGTTTTCATTCAAAAAAAAAGTTTTAAAAAAAATTGTCCAATCAAAATTAATCCTGCTCTAGTGGTCAGATGTTCTGCATTTATTCTACATAGTCTCATAGGAACACACTTGCAACATACATATTTTAACAAATCCTTTCCAAAATATTAGGGCAAAATATTACAATTTTTATAGTGAATAATGAAATGATGGGTTAGATGAGTCATCTAGGGCCATCTTAGTGGTCCTACTGTTTATTATGAAGAAAAAAAGCTAAAACAATCAGTGTTGTGAAAGTATATTACTAAAGGGGCAAGTTAAAGTTGATCGAGCTGAACTGCCGAAAGAGCTGGACTTGCCTTTCAGCAAGTTCTTTTGAAAAGTAATTTCTAACACTGAAAAGCAGTTGTTTCTGGTGAGCGACTCAGGGCCATCATGGTCCTCTTGTTTAATAATTTCATTTTTCTTGCGCAATTCTCTAAAATGAGACTTGGTTTTTCTATATGCGTTTCACAATGAATTAACATTCACCATACCAGGTTGTAAAATAACTTAATTTGGTCCTTAAATCAGTTTTTACCACAACATCAAACTTCATTTAGAATTCATGTCACGTTATTGTGAGCAAAATTCTGAGTTTCCTTTAGATATGAGAAAGAAAATGTTTATTACCCCCCGCCGAAAAGACGGATATAGAATTAGTCTCCATCCGTCCGTCTGTCCTTCCGTCCGTCACTCTACATTTTTTTCCGGAGCATATCTCAAAAAGTATCAATTTGAAACTTCATAGGTGGAGGTACCAACTTGAAACTTCATTTGTGGATAAATCATATTTAGGAAAAGTACAGTGCACAAGAATGATAACTCTACGCTGCATATTTTTTTCATTGTTGTCCTTTGTTATTCTTCAAACTCAATTTTTGTCCACAGCATAACTCAAAAAGCCTTTGAGATATCAACATGAAACTTCATGTGGATAGATCTCACTCAGGAGGTGTGCAATGCAAGAGTGATAACTGTACCATTTCTAAATTTTGAGTTATTGCTCTTTGTTATTTTTCATACTTAAATTTTTTAACCGGAGTTGAGCATAAATTAACTAAAAAAACAAACTTTGAGATGTCAATGTAATCTTCATAGGTAGATAGATTTTTTTGAGGATGAATGTTGTGCGAAAGAATGATAACTCTAACCTTTATAATTTTTGAGTTATTGACATTTGTTATTTTTTTACTTTTTGTCCGGAGAATATCTAAAAATGTGGTAGAGGTAACAACTTGAAACTTCATAGGTGGATAGCTCTTTTTGATGAGAAGTGCAGGACACTAGAATGATAACTAACCGTGCATTATTTTTCAGTTATTGCCCTTTGTTATTTTTCATACTTAATTTTGTCCAGGGTATAACTACAAAAGCCTTTGAGATATCTACATGAACCTTCAAAGGTGGACAGATCTCACTCAGGAAATATGCAGTGCAAAAGAGTGATAACACTACCCTTCATAATTTTTAGTTATTGCCCTTTGTTATTTTTCAAACTAATTTTTTCACCTCAGTGGAGCATATCTCTGAAAAAGTCTTTGAAATGTCATCATGAAACTTCATAGGTGGATAGATCTTTTTGAGGAGGAATGTTGTGCGCAAGAATGATAACTCTATCCTTTATAATGTTTGAGTTATTGCCATTTGTTATTTTTCAAACTTTTTGTCCGGAGCTTATCTAAAAAAAATGTTAGAGGTAACAACTTGAAACTTCATAGGTGGATAGATCTTATTGGGGAGCATTGCAGCACACTAGAATGATAACATACCGTGCATTGTTTTTTCAGTTATTGCACTTTGTTATTTTTCATACTTTATTTTTGTCCAGGGTATAACTACAAAAGCATTTGATATTTCAACATGAAACTTCATAGGTGGATAGATCTTACTCAGGAGGTATGCAGTGCAAAAGAGTGATAACTCTTCCCTTCATAATTTTTGAGTTATTGCCCTTTGTTATTTTCCATACTAATTTTTTCACCTGAGTGGAGCATATCTCTGAAAAAGTCTTTGAAATGTCAACATGAAACTTTATAGGTGGATAGATCTTATTGGGGAGGAATGTTGTGCGCAAGAATAATACCCTTTATATTTTTTTAGTTTTTGCCATTTGTTATTTTTCATACTTTTTGTCCGGAGCTTATCTCAATTATTATTAATTGAGCCTTGATTTTAAACTAAATGTGTCTGTATTTCTTACCATCCTTTACTGGTTTTAGATTATCATTATTGTTTATAGGTTTACTTAATTAATGTTGTTCATTATGTCTTATATATATATAATTATGTTTTATCGGATTTATGTAAAGCGCTCTTGAACATTTATTATTTATGAAAAGAGTGCTATAGAAATGTGGTATATAATAATAATAATAATAATAATAATAATAATTATAATAATAATAATAATCTCAAAAAGGTGTTAGAGGTATCAACTTGAAACTTATTAGGTGGATAGATCTCATTGAGGAGGAGTGCAGCACACAAGACATTTAACCTACCGTGCATTATTTTTCAGTTATTGCCCTTTGTTATTTTTCATACTTAATTTTGTCCTCAGCATAACTACAAAGGCCTTTGAGATATCAACATGAACCTTCATAGGTGGATAAATCTCACTCAAGAGGTATGCAGTACACAAGAATGATAATTATTCTGCTCTACTACATATAAACATGGCTCTTGTAACAAGTTACATGATTATGATATTTTAAAACCTTCTTAACAAGTTAACATGTCAATTCAAAACAATGCTATTTGGAGATACCTTATCAATATATTTAACTGTTCTTTTGTTGTTGTTTTTTGTGTGTGTGGGTTTTCATTCGGATTAAGCTCAATAAAAGTAATTTCAATGCCGTAAAATACATTACAAAACGTGACATATCAGTGTTTCTTAGTTGTTTCATATGTGTGTAGATAATTCTGAAAGCGCTTGACCATTTTCATTATAACATACTTAAAATAAAGAAAAAATAAGTCTAAAAATAAGTGACGTCTAAAAAAATGTCAAAAGAAGTGATCGAACCTCGGACGTCTCATACATTAGGTTACCACTTAACCGACTTTGCTATTGCGGATGTTACGAGAACCTACATTAATCTAGTGGGAGTTTTCCAAACGTTAGCTATATACTGCATATATATTCTCGTAAAATAAACGGACAAAACCGAAGTAGGATCGAATATTTAAATGTGTGCTATAATGTATTCATAATTGACAGGTCAATAAAATCAGACTGTAATAGTAAGTCATAACAAGTGAACTAATGTTTAATAAATAAAAGATATTTTCAATTTTTCTGTTTGTTAAATTACAGTTCCACAGGCACCACGTAATGGTGTTTGTAAATCTCCTACAGACGCTTCTATCACACTTGATTGGGATGCACCTTCTCTACCTAATGGTGATGTAAGAAGATATCATATTGATGTTATTAATACTGCTAGTTACAAAGTGCTGTTCCGTGATAAAACTACTGGAACTGAAACACAAAAAGTGGTTGGAAATCTACAACCAGGTAACTATGACATTATCAACATACTGTCATGCATGATATAATGTTAACGTTTTTATGTTTATAGTTATTACTATGATTTATGATATTTTGCTTTTCATTTATTGTAATTCATAATATAACATTTTACTCTACCAAATATGTTATCGATTATTGCTTCTTTTAGGAACCAACTATATATTTCGGTTATATGCAGAAAATGAAGGATATAATTCAACAACTTATGCTCAGGTGTCATCAGCTTGCAAAACTAGAGCTAAGAGTAAGTATACACAGTGAATATTTAATTTTTGTTTGAAATAATAATAAACTTCTGTTTACTGATCTATGTTCACCACATACCCGTGAATTGCTTTAAATGACTAAAAATTTAATGTTATTTTTGACTTCAAAAGCTGTTGTTAATTGGTACTGTATGTGTATTTAAATTCGCGGAAGCAAATTTTCGCGGAAAGGTCCACTTTGGGGGTCTATACAAATATTCGCGCTATTTTGAATTCGCGGAGGTGACTGCCAAAAATCATAAATTCGCGTAGTTTAGTTAGTTTAACTAAACTACGCGAATTTGTGATTTTTGGCAGTCACCTCCGCGAATTCAAAATAGCGCGAATATTTTTATAGACCCCCAAAGTGGACCTTTCCGCGGAAATCGCGTAGACCACTCAGGTTAAAAATAGGAAAATTACTGTAATCATCGTGGGAGTTCACAGTTATTTTCAATACCAGGTGTCAAAAAATACTCTATTGTACAGAAAAAAGTCATTGTCTAGCGGACAGATTATAGAAAACAAAAGAATGCCCGTTAACGTGCATAATTTTTCACAGTTTGCGTCATAAACGTCTTGACTTCTGATCAGAGCATGTTTTAGTTTTTCTGAACAAACAATTAAAAAACACAAATATAAACGATTTTAAATGATCAATAACTTGGAAAACAAAACACAATTACACAGTAAAGATTTAAATATAAAGTGTGAAAGCACATCACATACTGAAATACATTGTTCTATAGAAGCGCCAAAATATGACTATTAAGAAATTATTGGTGTAGAAATGTTCGCGCTAAACATGAATTCGCGGATCGAATGTCACCGCAAAGATCGCGAAAATTTGAAGCCCGCGAATATTTCTACACATACAGTAATTAAAATGCATTGTATGTTGTAACTTTGAACAAATGATCTCGAGTGCAATTTCAAAAACGGCGGCGAAATGACAAGGTCACTTAAATAGGTTAAAATTTGTAAATGTACTTTATTTCCGTATCTGGATCATAAGATTCATTAAAAGATCGTGATATTTCTTGGTGTAAATGTTTATATACCTAAAGTTCAAAGGTCATGAACTTTCAAAGAATTCAGTTGTTTGAAATTGAGTCTATTTTATGTCTAGTCAATAACTGTCATTTCTTTATGGATTTTTGAAATAAGTTATTTGAATATATTATTTGTTCACGATAAAGAAACACACACATATTCTTCAGGTATAATCTTCAGGGATATTTGTCACATTTAGTGACAAGTTTATGGAGCATCTCTTTAACAAGCATAAAAATAAACACATACATGCATAGTGTAAACCTTCCCTAAAAGTATTTAAATTGTAACAATGAAATAATTTTGTAAATGTTTCAAGTCTTTTTACAACACCATGTTTTATGCAGTAAAAAAATGATAACTTTAACAACGAAATATCGTGGCACTATTTATAGCATACCTCCATTGTTTGTCACTACGAAAGTTAAATGCACTGCGTGTTAAACATTGGCACACCATATGTTTGCGATATGTAAAACATATGTGTTTCATATGTTTTGAAAAACATGCGTCTGAGAAAATATGTTTTTCGTATGTAAACTAACATATGTTAAACCAGGTTCATATGGAAAATATGTGTCAACAAACATATGTTAAACCCATGGTTATCACATGTTGTTCATATAAATAAGATGTCAAATGATAAATGTATATGAACTTCCATGTGTTTTTCATATGACAAAACTGATCATATAATTTGCAAGCTTTGCCCCAATTAGATTTTTTTAGTGATTGTAATAAACGTGCTTTGAAGATTCTTGCTTGATGCATCTACATCACAGTCAAAATGCACAAAAGTTTAAAAATATGTCTGGCAATAGTTTTTCATGTGTGAAATAACACGTGTTCAACCAAGGACCTCATGGAACATATATGTTACCATGCATATGTTGAACTCACAGTTGTTAGATATTTTTCGTATGAATAAGTTCTCATATGTAAAATATGTGTGAACCTACGTGTGTTTTTGTTTCATGTTATCGCGTCGCTTTCAATTGCACTTATATAAAAGTGTTGTTTATATAATTTTATATAAACGGCTGCTGTCAATCATTGAAGGAACCTCACTTTATTCTCTGAAAAAGGAAGTTATCTGTATTTCAAATTCTTAATAAAAATTCCTGACGGTTTGAGTTATAGATTTGGGTTATATTTACAAACAACCGTTTATATAGGGTCATATAAGCTGTCAAAATGTGTATAACTAGATCATAAATTTTTCAAGTTTTTTTATCTTAAAGCAGTATATTCTTCTTATACTATGGTCGGATAACTAGTTGCAAAAGTTAAACAACGTGCATGAAATTATGTCATGGATTCAATACTTTTAAATCAAATTATCGATCAGCTTCATTGAACTTTGAACGGGGATACTGTAAATAAAATGAAAAGATGTTATAATTGTTAAAAACTGTTATAATAATTGCAAAATGGATATATAATGAATTAGCAACAAATGCCGTAATTAATTATTTTTGGCCGTTGAGAAAATATTGAGATATTGGCCATGTTTTATCTATCAATCAATGTTAAAAGGTATTTAAATTTTAAACAAATGCTACATTAATTATCTTCCCATATGAAATTAATCTAAGTATTGCAAGCATTACCTTAAATGAAAAAAATAAATGGTAAGAATATTTTATTCATAAAGGATATTTTGAATGTAAAATTTTATACAATTCAAATCTCTTTTTTTAAAACTTACCCTTGCAAAGAAGAATAGTAATACCAGGGACTTTTGCATATTGTATACATTTAAAGATTAAAAAGTACGAAATTGATAGAGCACCAGCTTTTATATTTTCACTGGTGGCTATGCAAGTCATGAAATCAAAGCACAGAAGGCACTGAATTTGTTTGGGTCTCAGAATGTCAGAAAGGTGAAGGTTGTGAGATTATAAATTAATTTGTTTTTGTATAGTGCCGCCAATGCTTTCCAGCGTTTAAATTGTAGTAAATTGGCTATACAACTAATTGAAACACTGATATTCAATTCAATGTTTATTTGACTTAAACAATGTGAAAAAAAATGAGTTGCCTTAACTGGGATTTGAACTCCAGACCTCGCGCAAACCACTAACTGTTGTTTAACACAGATGTAAATAATCATGGACCTTACTATAAGCGTGTATATCTATAAAGAATAAAACCATATAAGAAATCTTCGACCATTCGGGAACTATTTTGCTTGAAAATTAATGCTCTTGTCATTTGACCATCTTTACGAATCGATCTCCCCTGAACTTTTCGGCGTTAGTGTACATATAAAGGGAAGTAACCGCTTCGAAAAAGCGGACTACTTTCGGCATTTGCAATTAACAGCATCAGAGTCTGAAATTTCGCTACCATTATTTGTTTAGTCTGACGACCCAAACAAATAAAAATTACATCGCGTATGCACTATATGAAATATATATGTATTTGATCGTAAAGAATTCTATAAATAAATACAAAAAAGTGCTCATACATTGGCATGGCATCAACTACGGATATTATCAGTCACATAACTTCTCAATTTTTAAAGGCATTTCTAAAGGAATCTAGGCCAGATGTTTAAATAACCACTTTTACCGTGATATATGGTAGTTTTCTTAACAATAAATGTACAAATTGTGTAGTCTACCAAAGTTGTCAACATGTACCTTAAGTTGAGTATTGTGCACTGATCATATATCATGTTTAAGAAACATATAAAACAAATGTAACGTTACAATATTTGACAGAACACTACCTTTCTTTATATTAATTTACTTTAATCCCTGCACTGACTGAAGCACCAACAAAGCTTGCAGTGAATGGAGTGACAAGTCGTGGTTTTGATATTTCTTGGGAGAAACCCGAAAATACATACAGTGATGAAAACTATGGATACGTTCTACAGATTAAAGATGAGACCAGTTCATGCTGGAAAGAAGTTATTTATAGTTGCTCAGATTGTAGTGGTAGTTTAAAAGTAAGTATTTGAATATATATATTTTCAATAATTATAACTACTTGGCCCTGCTTGGGTTATGTGTCTGCTTCCAAAAAGTTATTGTTTATATCAAAATGAATTGCCTTCAGTTTTGGACCAAAGAACCCTTCGACAAGACATTGAAGCTGACTAGATTGAGCTAGATCGTCAATCATAAATTGCCTTTATCTATAAGGTCAGATATTTCAATTTCTTTGAATTATGCAACAACTGGCTATATTCAAGGGGAGCGGTGGCCTAGTGGTTAAGGTGTCTGCCTCTCAACCCAGAGATCATGGGTTCGAGCCCTACTCGGGTCACGACCATGTTTCTTCATATGACACCAGTACTGGTTGGTTCCAGGAAGCGGACTCGAAAGTGATTAATATAAGTTGCAAGAACTTCTTTCGCAACCGAGATTAAATAAATATGTTCAAACCAACTGGCTATATAACATTGTTATATATTGATTACTTGGAATGTCGATGTAAGTTTTATGAATTTAACGTGGACAAAACGGCACTAAAGCCAGAACCAAAATGTGTTAAATTTTGACCTTGACCTTAAAATAACCTAGACCACAAAGGTCAAGATATTGATTATGCACCGATGGTATTCATACTTGGACAACAAAGCACGTGTTTCAAAAATGATAAAACTGACATGTTGAAGTATTCAGTTATGGCCAAAAATGACCTACACCATAAAATTCAAATTATTGATTTTTCCTTGACATGAATTAACTTTTTTTAGATTTGATTCGTATTCGTACAATGCAACACTTCTTGCCGCATCTACATGTTGAAATATTCAAATTTGACCTTGCCCTTTAACTGAACTTGACCCTTATAATTTAAGTTGTTTGATTTTACTCTAATTGCCATACCTTTGTAAAAATAGGATAAAAATATTAACTCATCATTTTTTTCTTCATTGGTTCATTTCAAAGTGAAGACAATGAATGTACATAAAATAAATATTTGTTTGTTTGATTGGGTTTCACGTCACACCGACACAGTATACGTCATTTGGCGACATTCCAGCTTTACTTTAATCAATACCAAATTAGACATGTGCCTTTAGCCATTTAGTTCCGATTAGACCCTTCAACATAGTTCGAGAGGCGATGTGATTTACAAACTTCGTAAGATTTTGGGTCATGGTAATTTTTCTGCTGTTTTTACTAAAATCATTAAACGTTTTATTAAAAGAGGTTATGACCCTACTATTTTAAGACATACTGCATGTTTGGTGTTCAACCCTTTTACAGTTGGTCACTACGCTTTCCTCTTTTGATTGCATCTGACGGACCAAGTGGAAGACTCTATGATGGATAGTTCGTAAAGCCCTTTGGGACTGAAATGTCTTAATGTTCGTCTTCTGCCTTGCTTTGTCGGGCCCTTGTAGGTGATTTTCTTGTTGCTCTGTCTTCCTTTAGGACATTGAGTACTTTTGTTATGGTCATTGGGTTTACTTTTATATGTTTCTACATGATCATTTTAGTGTTTTACTTATTTAACCTTTTGTAACCATGACAACTGTTAGAATTTCACTTGACAGGGATTCATTTTATTTACACTGTCTCGTTTATAGGAACATGGTGGGGCTAAGAGCGAGGTTTGGTGCACCATTAACCGGTTTAAACTCCCCAGCCGACATTATTATGCTGCTGACCGTTCCAAGGCGGCGCCCCACTGTGTTCCTCAGATGTATGTCTATGTTGTTTCATACTGTTTTGGTGACACTTTTGCTTGTGTCCCTTGTTGTTTTCTCGTCTACGGTAAGTATATTTCCTATTGCCTCTGGTTTCTATTTCTTTGATTAACCCCCCCCCCCTTCTCCCGGTCTCCTGTCCCCTTCCCCTTTGTGGGCCTATTATTATTTTCTTTGTATTCCTAATCAGTTACAAATTATTTATCGTTTAATGATTAACCTGTCCGTGCTCTGTCTTTGCCCTGTCCTGTTTTTGTTTGGGGTCCGCCTGGGCTCCTTGCCATTGGTACTTGTTGCTGGGTCATATGGGGGTTGCGTTCATTGAACGCCGCCTTTCCTTGTTGATCTTGTTTTTCATATTTTATGGTCCGCGATCAGTTATGCAGTATGTAGAAAAGGCAATAATCGTTTTATCGCTATTTCTATGCATTTACTGGCTGGAATTAAATAAAAAAATATTGGATCAGTATCAAGCGAGATGCGCATATCATTGCCTTGTTCCGGTCAGGCCCTTCAAGACAGTTTTATGGCCCTTTATTAGTGCAGTATGCATATAGAGCAATATTGCTATTCCTCTGCAACAAGACGTTATGGGAACCATCCATACAAAAAGGAAATGTGCATGTCATGATTAAAATATAAATAAAGCCTTATGTATCAAGTTGTTGCATTTGTAATAATCACTACTCAGCGGGGGACATAACTCGTTAAAATTATAATCACTTATCACTAAAATTGTTTTAACATAGTTGTACCCTAGTCAAGACTGGTTATGCTGTCTTAAAGCCTAAAATTTCCACCGAGATTTTTTTTAACTTTTCTGTGTTAGCCAGACTCCTTATTCACGAAGAGTCACGCGTTCTGTCCATATAGTAGCAAAAGTTGATTATTTCCAAAATTTATCATCAAATTTTGTCAGAAAATTATATCAATAAAAGATCCTTTGAAGAAATATGACTTCGCATTTAAAGATATATGTTTTCCATGTAGGCAAAAATAAATAAAATAGATATGTCCCTCCTTAAAAAGGATAATCATTATGATATATAATTAATATGGATTGACAGATTTATCATTTATAAGGCTTCCATATTGTAATAGGACTTTTTCACAGATGCAACACACAATAACTTGGAGAAATTCTGTTAATAATAAGTTAACACGCAAATGAAAGTATGTGTTAAAGGCATCAAAATTGAATCTTGATTAGAAGTTATAGTTAATATTTACTATTTGTGTCAATCTTTGGTTCTTTATCTTTAATGTGCTAGAAGGGGAAAAACATAGTGCAGTATCATATGTTTGTTATTAGTTGCTGACAAAAATATAATGTCAACAATTTACATATTTGGCCACAAGGAAAATCCAAAATGATAATATTTATGTATTTACAAAAGTTCACCACCTCAATTCATGTTTCTTTGTCTGTTTCATAAAGATTTTAGGCATCTTCAACGATAGTCATAATTCTTGCTTAGTCTGTAATGTTTCCATATTTTTTTTCAGCTTTCATATTTAACTAATTTGTGTGATCCTACTAAAAGAGATCCAGTTATTGATAAAACAAAACAAGAATTAGCTAGTAAGTTGACATATACTGCCGTTCTTCACCCAGACATTGTCTACACTGTGTCTGTTACTGCCATAAATTATGCTGGAAGAGGACATCTTGCAACTTATACACAACGAACAAATGAAGAAGGTAATTTGTCTATAAGCCAATACAGTTTTTATTTATTTATTTTATGTTTTTGGTATTGCAATGTTTGTTTAACATATCTGTTATATATCAATATCTAGTAGTCTGAACTTTCTATAAGTATCAACCGTTTTGTAACATTAGCAATAGTATGTGCCTATTGTTAGTCCCCTACCGGTTTACCGGAGGGGACTTTATGTTTACCCTCCGTCCGTTTGTCGGTCCGCACTCACAGGAGAGTAATTATGTGGCTAGAGGGTCAATAGGTAACTGTTCTTTCTCTTTGATGTCATTCATTCCGTAATGCTTTTATGTGGCTATTTTCTTTTGTGTGGCTAAAATGAACAATAGAGAGAACAATAGAGTAGCCACATAATTACTAGTACTGTCCTGTGAGAACGTTCGTCATTCCGTCCGTCCGCACTCACAGGAGAGTGATTATGTGGCTGGAGGGACAATAGGTAACTGTTCTTTCTCTTTGATGTCATTCATTCCGTAATGCTTTTATGTGGCTATTTTCTTTTGAGTGGCTAAAAAGAACAATAGAGAGAACAATAGAGTAGCCACATAATTACTCTCCTGTTAGAACGTCCGTCTGTCCGTCCGTCAGTCCGTCCGTCCACAAAACTGGATCCCGCGATAACGCAAATAGTACTGAAAATATTTTTATGATAACTTGATAGATGGATAGATGGCGGTATGGAGATTATGCACGTCGTTTTCTTTTCTTCCTATGTTGAAAATTCTGGATGCTATGGCAACAAATAGACTGAAAATATGGCAAATTTTACACATAACCTGGATCCAGTGATATCGCAAAAATTACTGAAAATATTTTTATGAAACTTGATAGATGGATAGATGGCAGTATGGAGATTATGCACGTCTTTTTCTTATCTTCCTATGTTGAAAATTCTGGTTGCTATGGCAACAAATAGACTGAAAATATGGCAAATTTTCGCATAACCTGAATCCAGTGATATCGCAAAAATTACTGAAAATATTTTTATGAAACTTAAAATACGGGTAGATGGCAGAATGGAGATTATGCACATCATTTTCATTTCTTCCTATGTTACTATTGCAATAGATAGACTGAATTTCAAGATTTTTTATTCTCGTTTTTACGTTTTTTCACTATAAGTTCTTTTTTTCTCAAGGTATTTTCTTCAAACTTTAAATATAAGTTTCTAGTCATCAACCAAATCATATGTGACAAGGTTTACAAAATTTATCAGAATTTCCTGCCTTGAACTTAATATTGTCATGAAAAAATATTGTGTTTTTTTAACAACTTCTTTTTTCTAAATGTATCTACTTCAAACTTCATATATATGATTCTTATTATCACTCAACATCTGTGAGAAAGTTCAATACTCTAGTAAGACTATTTCCAGAATTATGCCCCTTTTGAACTTTTCGAGAAATTGGTAATTTTTACTCCAACTGCTTCAATCATTATAGGATTTTCTTCAAACTCCTACATCATAATTATATGGCAAGGTTTATAAATATAGCATCCGTATTTCCAGAATTATTTTTCCTTAAACTTTGATTTGTTCTCATTCGTTCTTTTAACTTTCTTTTACTTCAAATTCAAAATAAACATTCATTATCAATTCCCTTATTACTAATTGTTCTTTGTTACATTTACATCATGTATGACGTCTTGCATCTTTATTTCAAGAGTTATCTGCCTTTTAAGAATTTTGCTTCTAAAAAGGTTATATTTTGATAACAGGTATGTGTAAAAAATAACTTTAGAGTGTCCTTCAGTCTGTCTGTCTGTACATAAAAACTGTTTCCTGTGATCACTTTTAAAGAACTTTTTCAACAAATTTACTTAGAATAAAAACATAAGTGAATGGCCAATGGCCCTTCAGAATGTTGCTGGGGTTCTTACCGGTAGGGGACTTATTGATTGCTTGCAATACTATGATAATTGCTTGTTTACTTAACTTTATCCCCGTAATTATTTTATGATAATAAAGCTTTTCATTGTTCGCAGTGGAGTGATTTCTATTGGAATTATGATTTAAACATTATGATTCGTATAATCAATTCTATATTAGCATTTATATATTTTAATTGATTTAAATTTGTAGCTTGACTATTCGAGTGACTCAGCTTTATTTATGTACATTTAAAGCAAAAAGGTTCAGAAATCTGTATTTCTTAGCTTTTGTGGCAAATATATGTCTCAAGATGTTTGGGTTAGGCAGCTTGGTGTCCTCTCAGGGTATACACAACTCAGCTGTTAAGAATCAAATTTAGGAAAGGTCCATGGCTCTACCCTACAGCTTGTTTGTGCCGATGCAATGTGCCGATTAAATCTTTTTCTGAGGAGAAATTTACTTTAAAAGCAAAGCCAGAAATCAAGCACAGTATGGCCATTTTTAAAACCAAATTTTGTCATTGGATAATACTAAAAATAGATGTGTGGAAATGTTTGTTGCTATACATTATGTTAGCATAATGATAAAGACCGGTGGGAATGACTCACTATACAAATAATCATTGAGGTTCCTTAGTTGAATATACCAGAAGAAGGGCTGAAAAGCTTTGAAATTATTTTTTCAGCTCCACAAAAACCATATCAAGTATCTGTAACTGACATTAAATCAACAAATTTTACGGTTAATTGGGAAATTGGTTCACCAAGACCAGGCATCACAACTTACACAATAAAGATGATGACTGACATTGCTCAATCTAAAGAATTCAATGTTGTTGGTAAGTAAAGTGTAATAACCGTTCAATCGTACAGACATTTTATTTTATTTTTGCATATTAGTCAAATAAAGGTCATTTCTATGTTTCAGTTTTAGCATATAATGGTCACTTCAACATTTCAGTTTTAGCCTAAATGGTCATTTCTACATTTCAGTTTTAGTCAAATATTATCATTTTTGTAATTCAATTTAAGTAAAAAAGTAGTAATTTAACATATTTTGAAATGTTGTTTGCAAATAAAATGTGTCAGCATTATCATCGTATTTGTCATGGTGGTATTATAAGTGTTTAAGACTCTTTATGCACCAAAGAGAAGATTTTTTGTGGAAATTTCACAATTCATTATAATATCTTCTATGTCAGATTTTATATGTGTTATATGGATGAAATTGCTTTTCCTTTGAATATGTCTTGTACGTGTCTTTTGTAAATGTACTAAAATGTATGTATAGTGCATAAGATCAAGTTGATGGATTTAAAATTTTAATATGCGATTATTTAAAAAAAATGTGTTTTTTTCTGATTGTTATTCTGATCTAGTGATAATTCAACTTTCTGTAGCACAACAGTATAATATTGAGTGTAATTGAATTATTCCTTTGTTTTCAAAAGCATAATATGACATATTTAAATATTTTCGTTTAGGCTATGAGAACAGAAATTACCTGGCAACAGGTCTTGAGGAGTTTTGGAATTACAATGTAACAGTTACTGCATCCACGTCTATTGGTTCAGTGACATCTGATGTGTCAGACAATTATCGTACATTACCTGCAGGTAGTACATTTAAGGTTTCAAATAAAAAGAAGTATTTACCCACCAATAAGCTTAATCAAGTGTCAAACACATTCCCCCTGAAGGCATAAGACTATTTTTACAAAATAATAAAATTGAAATAAGTAAGAAAAATATTGAAATTGAACTATTTATTTATTTCATAACAATTTTAATGTTGAATTATGAAATTGATTTTCAAAGTCATTTAAACGTAGACAAACAAATTCTACAACATCGTTGTGGGACCATTATAGCTCAGCGTTAAATATTTACAAAATTCTGAGATTGCAAAACGTCCTAGTCACCTTAAACTGAGATATATGAGAAATAACAGGCTATATACAGGCAAATAAAAATGGATATTTTAATCGTCTTTCAACAGTATGTAAAATCTATACTTAGTCTAGTAGATATGTAAATGTATGATAATTAATACATGTAATATATACTTATATATGTTTAAGCTCCCGGGAAGGTGTCAAGTTTTAGTGTTCAAGATGGTCAGGGGCAGAAGCTCAAACTTTCATGGAAAGCACCACATATTCTTGAAAGAAACAGTATAATAAAGAAATACAGATTCATACACAATGCTATCGGAGTGAGTATAAAAAGCAATTTTGATTGCTGACATGACAGTGTGAAAGTTACAGTTTCATTGCTTAACCAGTAAGTACATTTTTCTTTTGTAAACTATCCAGTTATTAAGGTAAATTATTAATTTGCTTAACTTCTGGCATATTTAATAAACTAATTGGTTGGTATCTTATCCTTGCTTTTTAGGACCTGCAGTCGCAACAGACACTCAACCAGAACGGAGATGAAAATTATGAATTTTCTATATCTCTCGACGTTGTCCCAGAAACTTTTTATTATTTTGAGGTAATCATATTCCTTTGATTTAATTTAACGACTTTTAAAATAATGTTTTTTTCATCGTCTGCGTGCAAATGTCTTTAAGTTATGCATCCCTTAAGGTATATGATAAAATTGTCGGAGAAGCACTTTTATTTTACACTTATTTGCAATTACGTATATATCAAATATTTGCTGTCACATATGTGTTCTAAATGCTGACAAACATTGAGAGAAAAAAATAGATAAGTATTTTTTATCATCTAAAATGAAAGTTTCAATCTTTAAATTTTAGGTATTTGCAATAAACGAGCAAGATATGAATGGTGAAAAAACAATCACTATTAAGCAAGCACACGCAAAAGGTTTGTCCGTTTTCCTTATTTATTGAAACGAAATATAATCTTGCGAACTTAAGTTTCTAGTACTGGCTTTCTAAATAAATGCAAATATGTCAGCATTAAAATGTTAACCAAATAATTGATTTATTGGTAATTATATTAACTTTTATGTTAATTGAAGGTGTAAAAAGTGTATCATAAAACGTTTCGTGAATAACTTTAATAAATACATACACTTTATAAATAGATAAATAATAAATAAATAAAAAAACATAAATAAGTAAATAAATGTCTAGATAAATAATAAATAAGTAAGTTAATAAATAAAGGTCAAAGTTCCTTTTGCAGTCAGAAAGTATCAAAATGGATTTGATTGTTATATTCATCAATGTTAATAAATGTTTCCACATAAACTAAATTGACACTTTTTGTGTCACTAAAATTAACGTCCTCCTGATGATATTGTAAAACCGGTAGAGGTATTCCTAAATTACAAAAAATAAGCATAAGTATGTTATTTTAATTTTTACTGTTTCATCAATATTATACGTTTATACTTTTGTCAGTTCCTGTCAATATTGAAGAAACGTTAGGAGTCGATGTTATTCCATTGCGACTTCTGAAAGATATTGAAAGAACTCAATTTACCGTTACTTTATTGAAAGAGTTCTTCGAGGAGTCTACAAACGGTGAAATAAAAGCAACTGGAATAATAGCTTGTGTGAAAGACTGTAATTTAGAAGGTATATCATGTCTTGCTTTGATTTTTTGCTCTTAGTATAAGCATTTTCTTTATTTATAATAAGAAAACGAGGATAAAGAAAGCGTATATGGCATTTTTGATTTAAAAAAATCTTGACTTGTTAGTTTTGAAAGGTAATACAAGAAAAGTCAATTTGGAGAAATGAAAAAGTAGATGGTATAGTGAGGCAAAGACAAATCAATCGGACAAGCTTTGGCATGTTTCCAAAATTATCAATTTCTTTATAATTGTGAGATAATTTATGTTTAGAAGAGAAATTAAGGTTAATATCATGTTTTGTTTATTTAAATGATGTATAAAATGATTTATTATATACTTATAAATGAAATATTGAGAAATATTGATGAAATAAAATGCCTATTTTCATTTTCCGTATTTTCACTGCAAAAATTTATTTTTCACTGCAGTGAAACATATTTTCCGTATTTTCACTGGTGTCTTGCCAGACTACTTTCTTTTAAATTCTGCCAGTACACAAAATTTAAGAGAAAGTCTTTCAAATTTTAATGTCAAAATAGAGAAAAATGTATATAATAAACAGAAAATTCAAGTTTTTTCCATAAATACATGATTTATTTTCATCTTGTGGCATGAAAATTACCATATTTCACTCGTGGCTACCGCCACTCATGAAATATTTATTTTCGTACCACTCGATGAAAATAAATCATGTATTTATAGAAAAACTTGAATATCCTCTATGTATTAATGATATTACCGTGATATGATTATAATATTATTTCACAGTACCCAAACCATATCTGCTTGCGGATGAAAATAATAGTCTCGTTGTAATAAATGAATGGAGATTTCGTAAGATATAAACGCCTGTCCTTAATAACCTAATGTGCAGTTCTACGGGAATCACGTGAATATCTGCATAAATCATGTTTTAAATATAACAAAATTCGTATTTTTTAAACAAGAACAGCTTTACATGTGATGACGCCATGAAAACGACTGTATGGCAATACGCATCAAAATCAGACAAAATGATTAAAAACCTCTTGAATTTAGGAAATAAACTAACAATTTGTTTGTAATGCTTTAAAGATCAAGTTATATTTCACAAGGACACATACTGTGAAATTACTGCATCCGGTGAACACCAGATGTTTTAATTAAATGATTGTTCTAAATATTTTGTTCGCTCTGAGAAATATATTTCGATTTTACATGAAAATAAATAAATATTCCAAAGTATATACTATTTATTGCTCAAAGACATCAAGAAAGTTACAGATTTCGACACAATGAAAACTTGGAAACAGTACACAGACCAAGGTTCTGGATTTTACCGTGTTACAAGTCCTTCCTGGTTTGACGAGATTCAGACCTTTTGCAATACTGGTAGGAATAATTTTATAACCTGTGATATAAAGGCCCTGTCACACTAGAATGCGCTTTCACTGCGTTTGCACGGCGTTGTTAAATTTAACAAAGCGCCGCGAGATCGCAATAAAAATGTGATATTATTGATGTCATGAAGACTTCACGGCGTCTTCACGGCGTCCTCATGGCGATTATGGCGATGCTACGGAGCTTCGACGGCGTTTTAGTTGGCAATTGTCTACGTTCGGACTGCGCTTCTATGACGTTCTTTGCGCTTTCACTGCGCATTTACGGCGCTCATACGACGCTCTCGCGGCGCTCACACTGTGTTGAAATCGTAAAGCTCCGTAAAAGCGCCGTGCACACGCAGTTTAAGCGCGGTACAGACGTCGCACAACCTCTGTACAAGCGCCGTGGATAACAACGGCGTTCATTCGGCGTTTCTTTTGCGCTTTCGCGGCGCTCCTGTTGCGTTGTAGGAGATGCTACTGAGTTGCTACTGCGTCCCTACTGCGATGCTACTGCGCTCATTTTAGAACGCCGAGTGACGGCGTTTGTTTTGAGCATGTTCAAAATGCGCGCCGTTGGTCGGCGTTCTATGCGATGCCACTACGATGCCACGGCGATGCTGTGGCGATGTTTGCGATCTTACTGCGCTCACCTTGGCGTTCTGAATTTTCTTTGGACGCCGTGAGAACGCTGTCCTAGTGTGACAGGGGTTTAACCAAACTTGTAATTCACTATTAAAATATTGATTCAAAATGGAATCACCTTTACATTGTGATATATGAACATGCAATTCTGTAAAAATGAAAGAAAACGACAGAAAAGTTTCTATTTCGTCGTATGTGAATTATTCATGGAAATGCTACACATCAATAATGTACTGAATTAAAAATAAATAAAATAATTCGTTTTGGTCTCTTATTTCAAAAGGAAGGAAGAAAAGATCGATAAAATCTTTCGAATATACACTTGGCAGTGAATACTGTACATACCTCCCTGCTGATGAATATTGCAATGGCCCTCTACAGCCAGGTACTAGTTACAAGTAAGTTCCTATTTAATACATAATTTTAAATTTTAAATAACCAATAAATCTTTTGATTTTTAAAGTAGAAAAGATAAGCGAAAGAATGTGATAAATTCCTATAATCCACTTAACAACAAAAGTCAGAGCAGGCGTATATTTAATTCTTTACATTTAGGTAGCTGTCAAAGAGTAAATTTATATAACACGTTTCTCATTGTTGTTTCATAGTATGATATTGTTTTCTGACCATAGACTTGTTGCTGTAGTATGTAACATTGGCGGTTGTCTGCTTAGTCGACAGTATGGACCTTTCATAACAGCTGCCGCAGGTATGTCTTAAAGGTCCCTATTGCCTTTGTCAAAATTCTTTAAACAAGTAAATATAAAAAGATTGTGACGATATCATCCAATGTTATGAAATTTAATGAACTGATTGATGTTGGAATTGAACTTGAAATTGTAACAGAATACGCTTTTACTTTGTCAAACTTATTAATTTATTAATTTTAAATAGTAATGTGTACGCCCATCCCTCCTCCGACCTCATTTCCTCATTAATTTTACAAGTTATGATAATATATTGAGTTGTAGGTTCCGTGATTTTAGGTGTATAACGGAAAGTATGTGACAAATTCATACCTTATCATTATGCAATGTGTATAGTCCGATGAATTTTCTGAAAAGATATACTACAATTTGTTTAAATCAATGTGTGCACTTGCTAGTTTCAAAAGCTGTTTTCGGTGATATTCCCTTCCATAGATATTTTTATTGGTTTGTATCGCCCATTAAACATATCGGAGCCTCATGCCCATCACTGTATAACCAAATTTGCGGATAAAGGCTTTTACGATCAAATCACTTACCTAGTAACACTTATTGAATTATTGTTGTTTACGTTACCAATTTTATTTGTATTATTAAGTACGTTGAAATTTCGTATTTTCTTATTTGATACTATTCCCCTATTTTCCAGCACATGTTATAGAAGACTCTAATTGTTCTACGCAATCTCTTGTGATTGGACTTGTTTTGGGTCTAATTAATCTAGTACTGCTAGTCTATGCTGGGTATACAACCATCACCTTAAGACGCATTCGAACAAAAGGTATATTAATAATCTCGTATATATTAAAACATTGAATGCATAACTTTTCAAAACTGAATATCGCATTGTTCAAAGATAATTACTAATCTCTGAGCTTTTACCAATAATTTGAAATACATATGATATTTCTAACAAAATAATTAAATTTCTTTATAAATGACTTATGTTCTGTTTTGAAAAAAGGGTATTTTAAAAAAGGTATTATATATTGTAAAATTATCATTTTTATAAAATAACGATGTAAAGACCATCCGTAAATGCTTTGAAATATTTGCCTGAAAGAATCTATTATTTAAAATGCGTGTAATATTTTACGGTGATACTTTTTATAAAGTCGTAGGTATATACAGACATCTCATCACAGCAAAGTGCAATGGCATATCCATATTTATAGTAAAGGCTATGAAAGATTTGATTTTTGCTTTGTTGATATATAATTAATATTTTCAGATGGGCAAAAGACAAATTCAAACGACAAGTGAGTTGTGAAAATTATGTACTTTAACCAAACATATATTAACTTAACAAAACATACAAGGCATCATTAATGTAACATTTTGTCTGAGCTCAGAGAGCAGTGAATATTTTATACATTTAATTTACAAGTTGACGAAACAAAGCAAACAACACATTGAAATTTGTTATTTACATTCCAGTTATGTTTTTTGTTTGTTTGATTTTTGCTGTTATTGTTTTTTGTTTTTGTTTTTTTTTAATGGATTGTAGATACACATTTACAATTATAGTGTTAAACGGGTTTCCTTTCTCTTTAAGGAGTGGACACGTTAGTGAAACGTATGCGAATGAAGCATTCGGTTCAGAAGTGACTCGTAGAGATTATGGAAATCCAGCTGGACAGTATAGCGAATCTGAATACCTTACACTAGATGCCAATACAAGAGAGGACAAGACTACTTATGATACACTTAGGAACGGTCCATGAACAGTTTTTGGTTCATTTGGTGAACATAAACTATAAAATATTTCAATTAATGAAACTACTGCTTATTAGTGTATGGTATTATTGCTATCATTATTATTTACCTCTAACGTGGTACTGCTTATATTTGTAATTTCAGTGTGTATATATCTTTAACTTATGACGCTTTGTTAATACCATTCTTATAAAAGTTAACTTTATTCCAATGACAAAAAGTTCATTGAGATATAATAGCTATGTTTTTCTCTTTTTTAATAACCTCTTGTATAAAAATGTATACATCTTTTATCTATCATGGTTAATTAATATCATTTCTATAAAAAATATCTTCATTGCAAATGAAACTATTTAAACGGAATGTTTTGGAGATATTAATGGAACAAACACATTCGAAATTAAGTTTTACCTGTATTAAAAAAAGCCTGAAACAATGGTAATTTGCTAGAGAAGAAATGCATAAAACACTTCAAATAAAGTGAATCGACATGAGTGAAATGACACATCAGGTTTCTAACATTTTTTCTGTGACTAAAGTTAATATTTATGCAATCTTATATATTTGACTTTCTTTGATTTTCTTTAAATTCTTCGAGTGCTGTAATTTTAACCTTCTCTTTGTGTTGTTCAAAGTAAGAATATTGGGGATTTGTGTTAGAATATGTTCATAACAATCAGCACTGAATGCATTTTTTGCAGCAATTTGTATATATAAACAGTGTTGGTATAAAATGTAAATGTAGCAATTTAGAAATGTATAGTAACGCTGAACCATATCAGAATTCAATATAATTTGGCCTGCGATTCTTGATTCAAGTAAAATGCTTTATCATAAATTGTAGACAACCTGGATAGATACAAATCATAATTGATCAGATGAGTGTCATTTTTCATATCGAATTATATTTATTTTCAAATGAATAATTACTTTTTCTATTAAAACTTGATAGAAAGTTTGGTTTAGCAAAATATTTAGATTTATATCGAAATATATTTTCTGCATTATTGAATAAATAAAGAAATAATTTCTGCATTAGATAGTTTGTGTTATTTTTTATTAGACAATCGTCTTCTGGCAGGTACTTGTTGACTTAATTGGAAAGGACGATACATTTCTACCTGGCTGATCGCTTGATATAATTCTCGCTACTTCACGGCTATGTTATGCTCAGAAACTATTGTAGCCCTTTCACATCTTCCAACAACTGAGTTCGCTAAACGCTTACATGTGATTGAGAAAGAAAGGGAAATGTCACGTGGCAGTTAGATAACTGAGTCAGATTTCGAGCCCGTCAATTGTTGAATTGCGCTCGTGCTGGCGTTCTTGAGTATTGAATGGATCCTCATCTGCACTGATTGGGGCGGCTTGTCAGGTTTAAAGAATTGGCATCTGAAGCAGAACTTAATCCTTAACCAATCACAGAATTCCTAATGGAACATTTGCAATTTATGGTTTGTTTGTTATAACAATCAAGCTTAGCACTCAGTCTTAATTCAAACTCCACATATTAAACTGTGATAAAGGTGTTCATGAAATGTTTATCCAATTATCATAAACATCCACTTTGGCCCGTTCATATATTTAATTCTTTTTTGAAAGGAAAATGGCGTAATGAAAAGAGCTAAAAAACCAAATTTACAACTGCTTTTACTTTACAAAAATGTTGCTATGAACGATCGTCAAGGATCGGAAATATAACACCTCTGATTGATAATACGAGGCGACCTTTATTCAGATGACTTATTATCACTCCATATTATTCTTCTTTATGGACAAAATTGCCTGCATAATCGTTAAATGACTACAGCCAAACAAGTGTCTTCATTCAAGCATGGGTTAGGAGAACAATCAATTGCACTCTCCATTATTTTAAATATAATTTGTTATCTTGAAAATGCACAAAAAGGAATATAATTTTTTAGAATACTAAAAGCTAAAAGTAATGATAAATCCAACAAGCTACTGAGTGTTATGCAAAAGTTTAATTCAGCTTGAAAACGTTTAATTTTATATACCTAATTCATTAAGCTTCAATGAAGATTCTTCATAACACAATATAAATCAACGTTTAGGATATTAACAAATCAATGGCATGAACTTTTTAACTTGCAACGTTTCAGTATAAATCAAATAATTGCGTAAAAAGCCCATTGAATGATTAAGAAGTGAGAATGATGAGTGCTCTTAAATTATATTAAAATGTAAATTATCGACCATGTAAATATCTTCGCTTGGACTACAAAGACATTTGACATTAAAAGTATTCCAAAGGTCCAATTATCCCAACCGAAAACTGCACATTCCATGTACGAATCTTATATCTGACTCATATTTAGTCATTATTTGTGTGATGGGACCTAAAAACAAGTTGGTTTGGACATTTGCTCATTAGCTTTCAAGGACAATTAAATACAACTCGAGGAGCATCATTCCATGTCTGTAACATATTTAAACATATTATCATTAATACCAATTAAAAGATAGCAACGTAACAAATAATAATGAATAAAATGATATTTGATCTCTTTTATCTTTATTTTACAACACTTTCAAAAATACAAAAAGAAAGAAAAATCAAATGCACTTCTCACTTTTACACGAAATGTTTAAACACATTTATTAAAGAATATGATTTTGGTTTGCTTTACGATATCAAATATTCAAACAAAGTGTCCAAAGCTAAAATAACAATTTTCGTAATTAATGATGTAAATTTTAAAATAAAGATTGTGTTCAGATGTGGGAAATATTAAGGGTCTTTTCTACGAGTACTGTTCTTATAATGGAAAAGATTAGAAAGACTCACAATACAAATGTTAACAGGGAAAATACCGAGTTTTACTTAAGGTTTGATCCACCTTATGCATGACCTCCACTTTGAAGAGTATGCAGATAGGCTAGAACTACTGTCAACTGCACTGCAACTGAGGGGCGCGGGTTCAAGACCCAGAAGTGGCAACTTTTTTTTTCTTTGAACATTGTTTGTGTCTGTCAGATCACTCTTGAGAAGAAAACAGTGTTTCATTTTAATTATGAAATTATTATTAGTATTTATTGGCTAAATTGTGCCAAATGTATTATCAAATATGGTACTTGATATTTTCAAAGTCTAATAAAATAAAAACTAGACGGTAAAAGTATTTTATATTTGACGAGCGCAACCAATATACGTTTAAGAACATTAATGCAATCTTTGAAAGCAGCCCCTGATTTGAGTAAATTGTAGGGATATTTTCAATGAGGCCCTCCAAGTAGAAAAATGATCAATTAACTACTTAACAATTGGGTGGGGTAGGGTAATATTTATATACATATTTCAAACATTTTGAGTAGAAACAATAATTTTGCTGGGTCATTTGTTAGCTGCTTCCTATTATTTGTTCCTTAGAAATATTTTATAGGAAAACATTTTTTCATAATGATTATAAAATAGAATATTTAGAGGATCTCATTTCTGAAAAGAGCCCTTCTTATAACCAATTTTTACTTAAAAATTTTATTACTGATAAACCATTCTGTAAACTGTGTTTAAATTTTGCATTCTTGTGTCTTTTAAGGTATTTAACTGACCTATGTTGTCAATTTTATAGTTCCTTATAGTGCCGATTAGGGGGCCCATACCTTAAGATCATTTGTTTTGAAATATTATATTTTATGAACATAACATGTTTTGCAGTAAGTTCATGCTAAAATTGCCTGTACCTAATAAATCCATCACATGTCAATCGACCGTTGTTAACAACAAACACTTCATTCTCATTCATTTCACTAACTACTTTCCATTTACAAATATTAGCGGCAGTTACACAAGAGTGAGTTTCATAAAAGGCTGATGGCCAAGGATGTGCAGATTTATACCAATACAAATTTGGAAATTTCATTTAAATCCTGTCAGGGCCTTTGAAGATAATTGACTTTACACTGAATGTGTGATTAATAATATTTAGTTACATAACAAATGGACCTTAGTTTTTGAATAAATCACACCATATTTAGTGATATACACCGCCGAACATGTCATCATTGACATATAATTTCATGTAGCTCCGGCTATAATAGAAAAAAGATATTGAAAAGATGAAAAAGATTTCCCTTAACCTCTTTACAACATAATCCTAACAAATTGGACACACACATTCTGGTTTGAGTACCAAGTTACTGTAGGTAGTTACCGTATTTTTCCTTCGCTGTTTAATTTATGCCAAACAACGTTTTATTTGACTATGTTGTACATACGCATTTTCCATTTTATTCATATATAATGAAAAACATTGACACGTACAGTTTGGTGACCAGAAGGAAAGAACTAATACGTACTCTTTGTTAAAGAACATGTATCTGATAACCATAACTTTGATTTGACACTCCTGTCTTTTTTCTTCGGTGTACACAATGTATACAAATGAAATATTTCAGTGAAAATTTTTTTCTTTGAACTTTAGAGATATAATATAAATTGCAAATTGTAGCTTAAAACAATCGTTATTTGTACAGTTCTGTTTTGGCACAATATTTAAATGTAAATACAATTTTGCCACATGTAAAGTTAATAAAGACTCAAGGAACAAGTGGGTAATATTATATTACTTATAAAAGGACATTGATAAAAATGATTTGCGAGCTACATATAGTCGTTTACAAACTTAATGATCAGTATTATATGTTATTAAGATTGGCCACTGTATGGAATTCAAAGTTCTATGATCGAACATATAAATGCTATGTTAATGCTTTGTGTTTATATAGAAACAGAGTTTTGTTTCTGTCACTTTTTGTTTTCTAACGGTGCATACGGATTTTTGTAGTTAAAATTGTGAATTCACAAAGATTAAATCAGGAATTCAAAACGTTGAAATGTCCCCATCGGATATATAAGATATATGTTTAGATCTACCTTAAATATTTAGCCTTCTCATTCTACGTGTTAAGACCGGTAAGAGAATAGGGTTACTTCTCAATTAATATCAACAAGGAAGTTGTTAATTTTTCGTTACAAAACGCTATACGATATTTCGGAATCACAATTAAGAATCCTATTTCATATCGTGAGGCAGTTTAATTTGAAAAACACATACTGTATGAATTTACAGTTAAAGGATAATAAAAGATAAAGTTAAGAGACAATTTGTGTATTTTCTTTATGGAGAACAATATTAAAGGAACTCTTATTAAAGGGGATGCGCATGTATTCATTTTCGTAAATAAAACATTTTTTAACTTTGTTTCACATTACGCGATACATGTAAAATTTTCGCTTTTGTGTCCCATTTTATTACTAAATTCTAGGCCGCACACATCGAAAAGTTGGACACATATTCTAGCAGTTTGTATCACTTCCCCATCTCAATATCTTAAGATTAAAAATTAATTCAGTATGGCGTGAGAGGTAAAAATATAATTTCATATTCTGCGATCCACAAAAGAGCGCACCATACAAGAGTTGTGTCCCTTAGTTTTACATTGTGTCCATTTGTTCTATTCACGAAGAGGTAAACTGGAATAATGTCCATAGTTTTTTGCACTTGTTTCAAAAAATCCATTTGTCAGTAATTTTGTTTTCACTGAGTCAAAACTATGCTAACACCCAACTTATTTTTGTATCACGATTAAGGGCGTCGTGAATTCAAACAGATATAATTATCTCGTCAGCTTACAAACATAATTATCATATCTATTGCATGGAGCCCCTAGAATATAAACCTGATATTATTATTACTATTATAAATTGGATTCCTTTATGCTGATTAATGATCCAACATATTTACAAAGTCATTCGTAAATGATAAAAGTCCTGACAATTATGTGTTATTCATAAATGCACTCTTTAGAGATTTTCAAAACAATTCTGTATCCTTCTATTTGTTCAAATGTTTTTACCTATTATCAGCAAAGATAATCTTCAAAGGCATATTATGCCTCAGAAACTAATAAATATTTACCTCTCTAAAAAGGTCAAACATGAATTTAATGGCCATGATTAACTAAGACATAAGAAGGAATGCAATACATTTGAGCAAAGATTATTTACTTTGGAAAGAAATCGCTGTATAAATAAAAGAAGGAAATTAGATTACCTTTTACAAACAGGGAATAGATGCAATTAAGCCAAAATTTGCTATTTCGTCGCCCAACTAATTGGCATTACTGCTCCATCTCAAATTGAAACCATAAACAGCCAAGTTACTGTAACCCAACGAATATTCGCGACCAATTAATATTCGCTTAATTCGCGGATGGCCACGAAGCGCGAATATTTGTTTGCGCGAATAAGTCCGCACGATTTCGCGAATAAATTGGAGAGCAATTTTTATTTTAGACTTTGTTCATGCAAAGCTACTTGACCGGATATATTCGAATTTTACGGGCACCTGTTAGGAAGTAATGAATTGTTATGAATATTGCCATAAAGCAATAAAAACACAAGCTAAGTAAACTACTACTATTTTATAAATATCAAAAGAACTCTATGTCAATATAGCAATCAAAATAAACGTCCACATTTTAATACAGTTTATGAATACTAGAAGGCCTATTATCAATCACGTTCCGTATAGGGTACTATACGGAGCATGTGTCAGTTTTAAGTTTCTTCATATTTACACTTCTATACTAAGTATATGCATACAAAGTACTGCATGTTTGAATAAATCGTTTGACAAAAGTGGGAAAACTATCGAGCATCACAAAAGGCTATTGTTTTTTGAATCCTGTAATATAATTGTTTGAGTGAATTGTTAAGACAAAGGTGGTATAAACCTATCGAGCATCACAAAAGGGTATTTGGTGTACATAATTACAAACAGTGAAATACAAGATGGTTTCATATACCCATCAAACTTAACAGCCTGTATAGCTCAGTTGGTTAGATTGCGGACACATATAACAAAATTTTCTCGGCGTGGGTTAGATCCCTGATTGGAGAAGGTATATAGAGAAAATGTTTTGCTGAATTGTGATCATAATTCACTTACTAATACAATATAAGGCTAGCGTATTGTTAATCCCATTTAAGACACCAATAATGACCTCAACTATTGAAGATTAAAAGTCGGCTAATGAATTTTACGGCCCCATCGGACTTTCCAATCCGCGAATTTTTTTTTCGGAAATCAAGAAAACGCGGAAATTAATATTCGCGAATATGTCTGACCTCGGCAAAACGCGAAAATTTGTTTTCGCGAATTAGATTGGGTTACAGTAATTAATCCTATAATAAACGAAATTTGTTTTTCAAATCAAGTCTCCGAACAATGCAATATGCATGACAGCAGAGTTTTCTTACTTATTGAGTGAATACAGCGTGTTAAATATCAAATTATAGGACAGGAAAAGCCAAATATTCACTGAATGTTTACAACTGAATAACTGTATATCATCTAGAGAAAAGATCATTTCCGGTTTTTAAATTCTTCATTTATAACTTCTATTTAGATTTGTTAATACCTGTATACCCTGTATTCAGTCAAACATGTACCGAATCGTTAAATTTCACTTCCTTTTTAAATAAACCTTGTTTGAGGTAATAGTATTGTAATAGACGAAAACAAAATGTCGATTGGATATATCACTTTTGTGAGTAAATACATATAAAAGTTATATTAATTTTCTATTTTATACATAAATAATGAAATAATTGACGAACAATATTTTTATATTTCATATAGACTATGTTCAGAAACTTTTATCCTACAGCGTTTAAGTGCACTTTTATATGATATTAATTTCGTGTAACTTTTGAAATGATAATACACCTGTTACAATAAGAATGAGCGGGGTAAATAGCCTCTTAAAATTTCAAGTTTCGTGTAACCTTTAACTTGAGTCTTATGTTATTTTTATATCAAAAGAAAGTATTTTTCAAGATACTATAGAATACATTACATTAAATCGTTATTAATATAATATACAATATATGAGCATGACTAAAGACTCATTATATAAGTCTCAAATGTACGGTTATTTTTGCTACAGGAGGATATAAGTTGGTATACGGAATATACACATTTAACTAATTTTTCAATCTTAGACTGTGTAACGGCTATTCATAGCTAAATGGTTAAGTTTTTTATCATTGAGATATGACCGATTACAGGTATGTACATGAGTACTTGGAATATTGTTAGTTTGAGGATCTTTGACGGGTTGAATAGGCCAATATGAATGGCTATAGTCTAGGAATCGCAGTTCAAATTAAAATCCATTCCAATTAATCTAGGTGGACATTTCCTAAAAAAAAAAAAACAAAAAAAAAACAGGAAAAGTTTGAACAATGACCTTTGAAATCAAGAAACCATTACAAAATTATCTAAATATATATTTGACTGTACATTACTACTTCTAGTAAAATGAAGCTACATGTATATAATTTATTAACGAAAATTTGTATTTTGCTTTAATTTATAACTCTTATTCTTCATAATTCAAAATAGTAATACAGTAACTAAATTAATCAAGATAATCATTATCGTACTATTCCCAGACAAGCATCAGAACAATAGCAATCAAGTTGTTAACATGACAACATATTTCTTTTTATTCAGACACATGTAAAGTCAAAACTCATAATGTAACTACTAGTAAACAATATCTTTGGAAAACCCCTTATTTGGAGTTTAATGTTAACTTTAAAGATGCTTTATGTTTAAAATACTAGTTTTGCATTATAAAGCAAAAAACACTAACAAACCTTTGAAGGAACGTATGTACATCTACATTTATAATGTTAAATGTTTTAAATGATATTCATTTACGTTGTAGATTGAAAATGACAAAAAATGATTTTTTCGAGAGTTTAAAAGCATTTGATATGGATATGTACGTGCAAAATTTAAGATCATTTGCTAACTCCAACAATTTTTATGGTTCAACATGAACAAAATATTGAAAACCGTGTACACGCTTTGAATTCCAATTGGGCTAAGATTCTTAACAGTAATCAAGTTTCAAATTAACTCTGAACATATTTATTTACAATTACATTTTGCATGATGTTTAAGTTTGAAGTCCCCGAGTTGATCTATGTAACATTGACTCACATCGGGGGCGTGAAACAATACCATCTGTAACAATTGTTCAATATCCATATGCCTGATAAACAACATTTCATAAGTGCTTCATTGTTGTCTTGTTTCGAAATCCTATAGGTTATGGTTTGGTAATTTAATGAAAACACGTGTGCAGGAACGATTTACAAGTGATGCAATAATTCAGTAACTATACACTGTAAAAAAAACTTTAAGTGAACAAAAATCCTGATGCGGGATTGTATATAGAAGGGAATGATTTAAACCGTAAAAAAGAAACTCTGCAATCTAGGTGAAAGCTTTCGTTCGTAAGAGAAAATAAAAAAAACGAAGCATCTCTTATGCACTAAGCATCATTCATAATATTAAAAGGATTAAAAAATACATGATGAATCAAATTGCAATGATAAAAGTGAGTTTATAAGAATTATCATAAATATTATTATACCATACCAACTGTGTAGCCAATTAAAGTTTTGATACATTTGATATATACTAGGTTCCAAAAAAAAGTGTGCACTTTGTTATCGGCGATTTTCCATTGCCTATTCTGCTTAATGTCCACGTATTTGGTACCAAAATCAAGATCAGAACATGTACATTATAATCGTGACTTTAAACTTTAAATTCCGGTGTCATTAGGATATGATTTTGTCTCGAGAATGTACTAGGTCGCCCCCAAAGAATGACGTTGTGCCCACTGTAAACGGGCAGCTCGATGACGTGCTGTAAGCACTTGTCCCACACAGGGCCTCCTTGGCCGAATGGGTTGCCGGGCTTGCCTGAGGCGGCGCAGCACTGTCTGTTTGCTGATACCATACTGCCTTGCAGAACTTGTCGCCGTTTGTAAACGACGTCGACGGTGCGTCAACGTAATGAACCTGTCCGTTCGAGGGTTTGTAACCCTCGGTCTACCGGGTCTAGGGCGATCTGCTACCCCACCTGTTTGCTGGAAACGCTGGCGCAACCGAAATATTGTGTTTCTGTGACAACCAAACGCTCTACTGACGTTGGAGACGTTGTCGCCACGAGCAAGCATCGTTAATGCTTGAATTCGCTGATTTTGATTCAGTCTAGGCATGTTCAGTGACAAGCGCTGTGAAATCAAATGTGTTTTCCCTTTGTAGTGCGTATAAGGATTATTTCTATACACAGTTCCTGTGACATGTACCTTCGCCTCGGACTGCACGTGCAAATTATGCTATATTATGTATTGCCATATAAAGCGAAAATTCCGTGCCAGCACGGGATAGGTTTTACATTGGATTGATGTATTGTGTACTTAGGACTAACAATGCCAAATTTGCAAAAGAAACGTCTGCTAATTTTCTATATATTCAATGTTAAAAAGTGCACACTTTCTTTTGGAACCGAGTATATATACAATTTACTACATTTGTTCAGAATTATTACATATATTTTCAGGTATTTGCACACATAGTCTATTTAAGTATATCAGCTGAATATGGCGAGTTTTGTACAAGAAATATTGACTGTACAGGGATAGGTCAGGTGTGTGATGTCAACGTTAATACATGTGTTTGTTATGCAGCTAACAACTACAGTTATGTAGACAGCGAAAAGAAGTATTATAAGGGGCAATGTGTGAAAGGTAGTATATAGTGTTTTTCATAAGATATAAATATCATGTTTATTTTTCGGCAAAAACACCCAAAACACATCAACAAAAATAATTGTAAATATACAATGGCCTCTCAGAATTTTTCACTGAAATCTAGATAGAAAGAACTTTTTGGGGGAAATCTTATTTAGCTTAATGTTGAGTGTCTGAGTTTGCAATCCGGTTGTCATTTTGTTTAACATGTATTTACTATCATAGCTGTAATTGAAAAGTTTAGAATCCAAATGGTAAATAATAGACAACAATATATTTAACATTTATAGCTGCATGCCTACTGATTTGCTAACATGTTTAAAAAGCTCCAAAAATGTAGTATAGAAAAGTAAAAGAACGAAGATTCAATTAATAATCTACATGTTATGTGCTACGTATGACAGCTTTTGCAGTATTAACACCATATTTCTACTGTGTGACTAACGCAGTAAGGGCTTCTGCATAATTTTACCTCTCGTTTGTAATTTACATCGATTGTAAGTGCAATTTGCAGTGTTATGTTTTTTTGTTCACTATAGTTTACTTTTAATTACATTGTAAATCTTATTACGAAAATGGTTCCAAATACTTCTTTCTATTTCAGTTACAATAACTCTGGTATAATAGTTCAACTCATATCGAATTTGCGAGTTTGTTTTCTCATAAACTACACATTAAGTAAAAAAGTTAAGTATAAAGTGTCGTTCAAGTAAAAGGTTATTCCGTCCTTATTCAAATAATATTGTTTAACTCATTATAATAAAGTAGGTCGTCATTGAATGGACGAGGTCAATGTAACGTTATACTTATGTTAAATAACTACTCATTTAAGGAAATATATGCAGAGCATTTCATCGGAAACCTTGTTAATAACTTTTTTGGGTGGTTATCTAATTTCATAATCAAGGAAGAGTCCAATGTTTACATATACACGTCATTGTCAATCGTCTTATCAAAAAGCATATTCTATATACTAGTAATATGAAAATAAAATACAAGAAGATAAACAAAATATTTGTCCACGTGTCAATAGACAATTTAAAATACATATTGTAATAAATGATAAATAAATCATTTTTGAGGTAATAATACTGGTCAACAATGTGAAGCAAACATTTTCATCATAAAATGTAAATGTGCATGCACTTACACGTTTTTTTTTCTATTATATATAAACAAAACACATCTTAATACAAACATTTGAGGTGATGAAACGAGATTTATTTTAAAATTGGTTTATATAAATATGTATGAATTGTATATCTTTATAATCTGTATTAGTGCATGTGTGAGTACAGAAAAAATAGTATGTATCTAAAGAGCGGTCAAAATAAAAAATGTTGAAGGCCCGATTTGATTAAAGTGACATGATACCAACCCAAGTGTAAAAAGTCAGTGAATATGTAAACATCGAACTATTTTGACGTTGTGCCATAATAGTTTTCGATTTTATATTTTGCTATGAACAAATAATCAATAAACCGCTTGAGTAACGGGAATTTCTATAAAAAACATTGTTCAGAATGTATCGATAACGCTCAATTCTTAAAAAAAAGAGTGGGACAGTCTTTTTATAACATGCGTCGTTTTAATATTGTATCATAAATAATTTTCGTTAACATTTATTGGTCAATCACCATAATAATAGTACTATTTTTAAATATATTACTAATTGAATTCAACTTGACATCGGAAAATGTCACTCTAAATCTGTTCATGGACGGAAGAAGTTAATTAAATATATCTTCCACTCCACCTAGCCCCAACTTAACCGGAGAAGTTCATATTAGATTAAAACATGAAGAAATTTTGAATTAAGAAACATCCGAAGATGTGTTCATCGAAACAAATGTGACCCTTTGCTAAATATATTCTCATTTTAACAAACTTATCGCATCTCCATAGATACTCATTTAAACTCACTTATCCCATCTCCATGGATACTCATTTTAACTCACTTATCCCATCTCCATGGATACTCATTTTAACTCACTTATCCCATCTCCATAGATACTCATTTTAAAGTTACATTAAATAAATATGTAAAAATATTTTTCCGTCGGCCTAAAAATCAAACATTCAACAGTTTCATTAACCTGTTTAAAAGTTTTGTTGTAAATCTCATCAAATATTGTTCATAAATTAGGATTTTAAACGGGAAACCCGTCGGTAACACTAAAGTTCGTATACGAATTTTAACATGCAAATGAAGACTATAATGAGCTCGTGTATGCGCTACGTCACAGTATTATAGTTGCTATCCGGAACACAGCAAATGTGATATTTTCTTGTGCAAACACACTTTAACCGTTTAAGCTTCACGGTGCACTAAACCTGTGGTTCAGTAAAAGTAATCATCTCGTAAAAAGATTAAATTTGTGTGAAAACATTCGTTACAATGCGGAAATATACCGTTAAATTAGGATTGCCACTTATAGTAATGTTTGTTGATATAATACTAATGTACGGATGATGCGAAGGCGGAGTTTCTCATGCAAACAGAAATTGTACTTCCCATTTCGCCACAATGAGGTTACCTATTTTTATGTTAATAAAACTCATTTTGGTTGTTTGGACACCAAAATAAGACCTGGAGTCGATATAAAACCCAATTTATTAATGAAATGTCGCTATTTAGTTTTTTATGAACTTTATTAAATGTAACTTTAACTTACTTATCCAATCTCCATTGATACTTATACTAATAACTTATCCCATCTCCATAGATACTCATTTTAACACCCTTTTCCCATCACAATAGATATACATTTTAACTTACTTATTCCATCTCCATAGATACTCAATTTAATTTACTTATCCCATCTCCATAGATACTCATTTAACTTACTTATCCCATTTTCATAGATACTCATATCAATCACTTATCCCATCTACATAGTTATACATTTTAACTCCCTTGTCCCATCTCCATAGATATACATTGTATTTTACTTATCCCATCTCCATAGATATACATTGTAATTTACTTATCCTATCTCCATAGATACTGTTTTTAACTTACTTATCCCATCTTCATAGATATACATTTTAACTTACTTATCCCATCTCCAAAAATATACATTGTATCCCATCTCCATAGATACTGTTTTTAACTTACTTATCCCATCTCCATAGATACTCATTTTAACTTACTTTTCCCATCTCCATAGATACTCATTTTCACTTACTTTTCCCATCTCCATAGATAATCGTTTGAACTCACTTATCCAATCTCCATATTTACACATTTTAATTCACTCTACTTTAATATTAAATATTAAAAATAATTAATTACAGACACAAGCAATTCCATTTGATAATTTATGGAAACTTTCAAAGAAGTGCACTTTTTTGTTAATAAAAAGTGTTCTTTGAATTGGATAATTCTCCGGAAAAAAGGTTTTAATTAATTGATAATTATAGGTAGCATTACCAAGAAAAAAAAAAGTCGACGTAGATGTACAAGAATAATTTTCCAAACTTAGATTATTTTTGATTTGCATACTCCACGTACACACTAAATTTCAGCACAAGACTGAAAATGATTATGTAATCAGATGCTCAACGTTAATATTGACTTTTTATAACACTGGTATAGTTTTATATTTTCCTCATTTATCTGTATGGAGAGAGAGAGGGGCCTGCGTAACAAAGACAAGCCGTCAAATGAAAACTTTATTCTACCCGCTTAGCTTGGTAAGCAAAGCTGATGGTCTAGAGGGAGCGAGTTCTTGAGTGTGTGTCTTGAGCAAGGCACACGTTTGAAAAGTTTGCAGAAACTACCTGTCCATTATGTAAAGAGGTTCGGAATACTCCGGGAAAATGGAGACGATTTTAAGACCGGTCTACCATAAAATATTTTTGGAATTATATCTGCACTATTCTGTTTTTGTTTGTTCTTGTTTAGACAGCCAAGTATTATACATTTTAACATGGAGATAATGAATTGTCAATAAAACAGATGATTATTAACAGGCACTACAAGTACTTTTCCAATTATTTTGATCAGTATTAGCACTTTAAAGCGGCATATATGCATCTTCTCAGATTCGATTCGTGCTAATGTTTATGAAAATATTGAAATAGTATATAAAAATGAACAATGAAAATAATTACCACATTGTAAACGGCAGTAACAATCTACGTAAATTACCTGAATGAGACCGAATTAAAATTATAACTCGAATCTTGATTCTTTTACTTTTCTTACAATCAAAAGCATTTTTCTTGATTTGATTTCCTTTAAATAGTTTTGCTCATAAAGAGGCATACATCTTTAAGACTATAAATTACATTTGAAAGCATATAAGGTTATAATTATTGATGATTATTACTCCTGAAAGAATTACTTATATTAATTTCGGCTGAAAGTAAACATTATGATTTTCGTAAAGCGACTTTTGTTATTTGACTGTTAAAATATTAATGCATTTTTTCATTAAGATCTTGGAACAGATTGTACAAATGTAGCAGATTGTAATGGTGTTAATGTCATCTGTGATAATGGTAAATGTAAATGTAACACAACCATAAACTATCTTGACCATCTTTTTATGGGAGGACCTTGTTTTGCTGGTAAGTTTATAAAAGAAATATTTAAAAGTTATTCTTTTCATAGATATGAGCAAATTAGACAACTCTTTTTTTCAGCTAGTTTAAGTTTTTACTCTAACCAGTCTTTAAATTTCATGACTTACCATCCCTTATATCAATGAATCAATGATTATAACCTTGATGTAAAGGTAAATTTCCGCTAACGTCAGGTTTTAAACAAGTTGAAATGAAGTGAATTGTTATATACTTTACGAAATGTTTAGGGTGTCTAAACATAGTCACATTTATTATACATTTATCTCTAATAAGATCAATTTATCTTCTATTCTTTTATCATTAATAGAGAACTACGTTACACAGATAAACAGTCACATGTACAAGTTATTTGAAAGGATTTTAAGGTATATAATTTAAATACTGCATAAATAAAAAAAACACTCTAAATTTAAGATGAAAATTTCCTTTGATAATGTTATATGGTAATCTGTTTAGAGCCAGGAATTGACTGTAAAGATGCAGATGACTGTAAAGATAGACATAACATATGTGTTAATGGTAAATGCAAATGCAACACGACCACACACTTTGACGTTCCTGGTGTAAGAGAGGGGGAGGAATGTGAAACTAGTAAGTAAACAAGCTTAAACACATGTTTCATAATTTAGGCTAGATATATCTGATGGTAGGAGAAATTCCTCACTTTTGTATATTGACTAGAAAGCAGAATAAAGACATATATTAAGTTAAACTAATATGAATGACTCACCGAAGAAAATAAACAAAGAATTATTCAATTTTAACTTGATAGTTACTCGATGACAAAGCAAATGCATTTCATAAAATCGATCGAACTGTGTTCATATAGTTATCATTAAGACTTGTTGATAGTATCGCATTGTCATATATCAGATTCAAATGTGTCTGAAAAGACGAAAAAATCAACATCGCCAGTGTTATTACCGGACGAGTTATCACGTTTATGTCGATATGAAAATCAATTTAATGAGTAATAACAGTACTGTTGTTGTTGTTTTTTGTTTGTGTTACGAGCTAAACGCAACAGAGACGATAACGCAGCAACAAATTTTACAATTTTTTAATAAAAAAAACCAGTTATATACAATAATACAGAAAAAAAATGAAAGTAAAGTTTAACTCACAATTTTCCACGATTCAAATTTAACAAATGTCCGAAAGTTTAACCCACAGTTCGAAAATCAATTGTCCACAAATCAAATTTAATCAATGTCCAATGTCCACAGCAGAATATCACAATATGTCCAAAACACTTCCCACACAGAATTACAGAATCCAAACTAATATATTCTTATTTTAGCTTCACGATATCATAAGTGAAATAGCTCCAAATCAGTATATCAACATATCCCAATATCACCAATTAGCACACACCCAAGTACAAACATCCATCATATTTATACAATCGATGAATCAATCTTTAATACTAAACTACTTAGAGAAAGAATATTCCAGAATGTACATGCAAAGAACTTTCTTGAAAGAAGATGAATGAACATGAAAAATTATATAAACATCAAATAAACAAAATTATTTAAAATAATACTGACAAGAGTAGGTTTCGAACCCAGGACCTCGAGATTATCAGTCCTGTTTCTACCAAATGAGCTTTTCAGGAAATAAATACTAAACGCACTTACAATAAAGCCGATATACATAACATTTGCTATTTTGTAAAAAGGCAATGTATGTCCGTCCAGCTAGGTCTTTCTTTATTTTTTGATAATAATATTTGCCGTTAAAATATGTGAATCGCAAAAAATGTAACTGTGTAGTATATTTCCAATTTGCAAGAAACGCATTATCATAAATATTAAACATATTTCTTTTATTTTAGAAAGTGCACTGGGAGAAGACTGTGCTTTCCCTTTTAAAGTTTTGAGCCAATGCCTCGATAACAATGCTGTTTGTACATTAAATGTTGACCCATACCGAGAAAAGTGCCAATGTAAAGATGGCTTTTATAGTATTGGAGGCAGTTGTGTCAAAGGTAAAAATAAGTCAGTTCATTAATATGTTTTCAACAGGATGTTGACAATAAGGACATTTAATGCTAAACGAACTTCACAAATTTCAACCTATCGAAGTAAATGTTTGTAAAACAAATTTGCTTTTTTATAATTTCGCCGAGTCATGGTTGCATACAAGACTTATTGTGTGTCGTTTTTCTCTATTTCATCCAGGAACAAATTATATTGTAAATAAGGATGATACATACAGTTAACTGATATTATGTACACGTATATCAGTTTCTTCCAACACAATATTTAAACATTCAAAAATGTGTTCTAAGAAAAAGAAGTGTGTTATGCTTTTTGTAATTAAATTTTCTTATATAATCAAATCTTTATTTGTTCATCGGGTTTATCATATAAGACTATTAAATGTTTGAGGTACAGAGACTTAAACTTAAGCGTCAATATGGTAAGTAGTTGATAGTCGGATATTCGAATAACCAAGAACCTACTAGCTGGTCCATGTAGTTGGTTATTCGTAATTGCCAACTATTTAACTGCTGGTAGTTGGTTATTCAATTTACTATAACAGCATGCAATCCTCAAACACATATCATATATTTTTTCAACACAGAGTAAAGAAGGGGGCCTAGTTGTTATTCGCGAAAATTATTAACTACATACCAGCAGGTAATTGGTTATTCGAACTTAGCATGTTTTCCCCTCAAAGCAGAAAGTATATGTCGAAATAAATGTAACGGATATATACAGCAAGATCAATGTGTTCTTTAACATGGAAATACCTGGTCTCGCTATGTCCACCAGGGGAATCAGTTAGTTGTTTGCGAATCCCAACTACCTTCTAAAAGGATGTTGGTAATTCGAATATTGTATATATTCGGCTCAAAACAATTTTTATTGTTATGAAACAAATGTTTTGGTTATAATAGCGAGTTATGTCTTTTATATAATATGGTTACACCCTCTTCAAAATAAAACGCCAATGGGATTCAGTCGGTTATTCGCTCAAATCCCCAAGGTACACCGTTCTAGGAAAAGCTATCTTACTAATGGATTGATATATCAAAAATATTTTATTATCATCTGCTGCGAATCTGAAGTTATTTGTTTACGTTCTTTCAGGACGTTCATTACTGATTCCTTGTAAGGTTTTTATATGAACTAATTTCTATTTACCACAAACCTTCCGGGAGGCATTCTGCTACTGTTCCAAAGCCTGAAAAAAACTCATTTAAAAACTCATTGACAATTTTATCTTATGTTTGTATAAACGCTGGATATTTCTTTTAAATGACAGAAAATTTCACAGAAAACTAGAAATTGACCATTTAATCGTATATCCATTTATTCATTTTGTGTACGGGTGTATTATATAAAACATTAATATTTGGTTTTATTATTAACTTTTTGCACTGGCATAAGAGATAATCGTAAAATATTTACTTTGAAATTTGTCTGAATTTAATATACATGTATTACATATTAAATGGTAACGTCCCCATAGCAAGAATAAACCTGAATCATTTGTTTTATTGCTCTATAGATGGAAGTTATGTATGCATAAGTCAAATGTTCCAACTTGTAATCATGAACGTTTTAAACTCTCAGTTAGCTTACATTCAAAGTGGTCTGTAGAGAATAACCCCCAAATAACGTTAAATCCTTGTAAGGGAAGTTACTCTTTCTCGACGCTAATCGCTGAAATAAAAGGGTCAATAACGAGATATGTCTTTTCTATAATGTGTTTACATCCCTTCATACATTACATGTATTTCCCTAAAAACATAAAACAATTTATCAGAATAAAAGTAACAAATATAATTATGAAAAGATTAATTAATTCTACCAAATCATATCACACCATCTCTCCACGTCGACCAGGGGTCTTAGTTGGTTATTCTTGTAAATCCCCAACTACCTACCAGAAGGTAGTTGCTAATTCGAACCTTCCTTATTTTCCCCTGAAGAGCACTTTTCCGGAAAATATGTAAAGGAAATGTAACAAGAAAGATGTGTTCTCCAACATGGAAACACACTGTCTCATTGTATCCACTAGAATAGAGAGAAATAAGAATCCCTACAGAAAGCCCAACACGACACAGTTGAAAATGTTGCAGGCTCGGTTCGATTGAGCCTGTTCATGGACGGTACTGTCAAGTGCAAACTACCGTCCACGCCACCTAGCACCGGCTTAAGCAGAATTCAACATTTAACATGAACTGGTAAAATTTAGAATTTTGAAACATCCGCAGATGTGTTCATATGGCGGTTATCATGGAACCTTCAATGTGACACGTTAGTGCCATTCCATGAAAAGCGGCATATAGTCCCCAAGTAAAAAAATGCATTTGCCCTAAACGGGAAAACAATGGGCGGAACTAAATAAAATGGAATTTTAAAAGGGGATCTGAGGTTATGAAGCCTGCATATCACAGACATGACGTCAAAAGACAAATTTAAAAAGCAGGTCACATATCCTAAGGGTGATTCAACAGTATTCAAGTAAGGAATACTGGAACCACCCAGCTAGAAAGATGCCAAATAGAAAGAACTAAAATTACACAAGCACAACACTTATGTCGTGCTGAACGATCTTTAAGGATCGGAAATATAACATCCCTGATTGAATGTACGGGGCGACTTTTTACGCCGCTGGTGTGGCGATAAAATAGAGTGAAATAAGAATCCCTAAAGAAAGCCCAACACTCAGTCACTAGAAGACTCAGTTGGTTATTTCCGTGAATCCCTTACTACCTACCAGAAGGTAGTTGGTAATTTGAACTTACCATGTTTTCCCCTCATAACAGAAAGTATTTTCGGAGTAAATATAACGGATATATAAAAATAAAGATGTGTTCTTCAACACGGAAACACCCTGTCTCCTTATGTCGGCCAGGGGACTCAGTTGGTTATTTGTGCGAATACAGAACTGCTTACTTGATGTTAGTTAGTTATTCGGATGTTGCATATATTTCCCTGAAAACGGATTTTTTTTAGAAATAAATATTACGGTAATATAACCAGTAAAGTGTTTCCTATATAATACAACAACCCCATTTCACTAAACCTGGTCGATTTTTGTTGAAGTTGGTGTAATTATGTTATGTAGAAAACATCTATCTTTTTATAAATCCGTTACAATTTTTCCAGACAATATTTATTGTTTTAAATGGAATGTATGCGACATCCGACTACCCTCTTTTATTTCGTGTTTAAGATGAACATTCATGCTAGTGACGTGGGTTGAATTACCAACTACCAACTGTTAAATAGATGGGAATTACGAATAACCAACTACCCTCTTTTAGAATAGGTTATTCAGATATTCAAGTACCAACTACCTTCCAAACTGACAGTCATGAACTACTGTATGAGTGGATATTTATGCATCACAAAAATTTTGTGAATGTCAAAATTGGACTTTTTGCATGCAGAAATATATTTGCGAAAATATGAATATAATACTTTTTTGTGACATCATTAACTAAGCAGGTACATGTTAAGAATATGCCATTATATCAGTTGTTTAATACCTTTTTTATCTATATAATTGTTTGAAATATACATTGAAAAGGGATCATACCTTTCTTTGTCATATTTTGAAACATTTCTTTTTTGTTTGAATTACCTATTGTGTTATTTACACATATTGTTTTATTTAGACATTTGTGATTTGTTAAGACCAAACTTAAAACAAACAAGCAATGAGAAAAATTAATCTCACTACCTGAACAGTCAAACTGATTCATGTATGATGCTGTATGATTTTTTTTTCAAATGACCTAGTCTTTCATTCTAATCCTCTTCTTTGAATATTGTCAAATTTTGTATGTGTATATATTTCAAATGTTATTATGTACATATTCTGAGAATAAATATGTTTAAACTAAATACCAAGTTGTTGCAAATCATCAATTTGCATCGCTGCTTTGAGATGAACATGTTTCAACACTTTTACCTATTTCTGTCAGGAGTTTCATCACCGTTTTCAAATGTCACAGAAATTTTTTTTTATAGACTTTGTATAAAGTTGTCTAACGAAGCTGGAATATGTGCAATATATGAAATTTTGAAATACGAAATTAAACTAAAATTTTAAATATTCCTCTCGGATGAATCCAACGACATTTTACTGACTTATGAAAATCATACTTGTGTACCTAATAGAACTGCCAGATTAAATACTAAAACTTCTTAAAATCTTTGCATCTACATGTACACGACTTTCGTCTTCTTTAACCATTATCGCCTCAAACACAAAGGCAATACAGCATCCATTTTGGAATTCCTGTTAAATACTTCGTTTTTTTTTCCACATTTAAGAGAAAATTATTGGTGAAACATGTACAGCAGCAACTCAATGTTCAGCAGAAAATTCCCAATGTACAGGATTATGTACTTGCAAGACTGGATATTTCACAAAGGGAAACTTTTGTCTGAGTATGTATAATTTACTTGTATTCATTTCAAAATTGAAAAGTGTTTTGTTTGCACAAAACAATTATATCAGTGAAAACAATGAAACAAATCTGGCAAATTTGAAGTGTCAGGCGTTTAAAATTTAGAAAGTATTTATTAGAATTTTATCACGACATATACAATTAAATAATGGGTATTTTCCAGACTGAAATATAAAATAAATGCATTTGGCTCCTTTGTCAAACAGAATCAGAAAGCCTTTCTGACACGTCATTGACATTGGTTTTCAGGTTTAATTATTCAGGTTGCTAAAATATGTTCTAATCATCTGATTGATCTTTGATATTGTTAAGCCTGAGAAACCATTGCATGTTTCAGAGAGATATCTCGGTGAGACTTGTGAAACAGATTCCCATTGCTCTCAAATTACTGATAGTGAATGTAGTAATGGTTATTGTTCCTGTCAATTGGGATTCTTCAAGACGGCAAACGGTCAAGCAGGCAGATGTAAAAGTATGCTAATAAGAAGCAACACAATATTTATATTTTAAAAAGATGATTATTTGACCAAAAGATATTTTCAATAAATGCATTAAATATGTGCAGTTAAGCTAATGGTATGAAGCTAACGAAATAGATTAAATATTCAAACGAAAAATAAACACTTCTTCACATGACACTTGTCTTCAATAATAGATGTTTTGTACATTGTTAGTGCTCGTCATTTGGAATAATAAAAAATATTTGTAATTTGATCACAACCTGCTTTGATGTTTTCAGAGAGACATTTAGACGAGAGTTGTGATGCCAATTTCCATTGTAGAGAAGCAAACAGTGAATGTAGGGACTCTACATGTTTATGTAAGAGTGGCTACTACCAGACAGTCATCGGACCATTGGGCATTTGTATTAGTAGGCTATGTATAGGACACCTTTATTCAATATAGACAAACATGTTTTTTATGTATAATTTCAATATTTGCAATTACATTAATGTTATTTTATTTACAATAATGATCAATTTTGTTTAATCTTTAAATATTTGTTGCAAATTTTGCTTAAATTGTGTTCATCACGTTAATGAAATTCATAAAGTACATTTCTGATTATTCTGGTGTATAGTTGAATGTTATTTATTTAATTCGAGTTTTTAAAAAATGTGCAAGTTTATGTATTTTGACCATGTGATTTATAATTGAAGAGTGCTCAATTCTTTGATTTACATCATAAAGAACGTTTCACTAACAGTCAAAAATATTTGTTATTACATTATGGAACGAGAAGAGTCATGTAATAAATTGGTTAATGTAGCAAAAATCAGTGTTGTTACTTATGTGTATAAGGTTAAAAGTCATTATTGTAAACAATCAATTTAGAATTTATTTTTTAAATTTACGAAATTATTTTCGCTAATTTCAAAATTAACTCCTACGTCCTTTTATTATTGATGAATAAATTAAACCACAGACAGTCTAGTTCGATTTTGTATGAAACTTTTCGCCTATCGACCGAAAATTCCTTGAACCAACCAGTGCTAAGAAATGAGTGTCAAGTTTCAAGCTCAGGTAACCAACGGCTTGCTTTTTATGGGGTATCAGCCTTCGCGGCCAGCTATCCTTCTTAGATTAGCCACTCGATAAAAATCCATATTTTGTTACACTTTTAACATTTCACTTTTTTATATTGTGTAGTTCATAAGTATTTCTTCACGAAGTTTGCTTTACAGAGAGATATTTGGATCAAAGTTGCGAAGATGATTCTCAATGTAAAGAGGATAAGAGTGAGTGTACCAGTAATAAATGTTTATGTAAGAATGGTTACTATCAAACAGGGACCGGATCAAATGGTACATGTACAAGTAAGAAAATTTTTATTCTAGTTTTAAAAATTTAGGGACATTTTAAAGTTGTTATGCAAGGTTTCTTTTAATTTATAAGAGACTTAACATTTGCGATAGTTCCGTATCTTACAATACAATCATCATATGTGTTCTTAGTTGTATCGTACACTCTAAAATCGTACAATTTTCTTTCTTCATTTAACTGAATCATATTTGTTTTCTGGAGTACCTTTTGTTAGTATTTTGTATATGGTTCAATACTAAACGAAGCATACATAACACGTATGGGTATATTCATTAGTTTAAAATATTTGTTCTTTAAAGACCCATTATGCCTCATAAATCCTTTTCTTTATTTTTCAAAAGCTTTGTAATTTTGGTGTACTTTTATCCAAAAGGTTACTTATTGGCCAAATATCTGATCAATCTTTTCATCCGTTGCTTTTTGGCAATAAGTTCATTTATAATGAATTAGTATTTTGTATGGAAGTCAAAATACTACTTTGTTTACATTTTGCTACTTTAATGACAAGTTATTTCGCTTAAATTGCTATTTTTTGTAGGTAAGAAGCATCTAACATTCTCTAAAACCATTATTTAAACATTATAATTTAAAATTCATGTTTGCGCTTTCTAAAGTAATAAAACTGTACTTGTTTCTGAGATATAATGTGCCTTTAAACAATTTTATTTAAAAAAAAACCTAACAGAGCAAGAAATAGGAGAAGCGTGTTCAGACTCCGATCAATGTTCAGCTGTCAATACAGAATGTTATATTAGTGGAAGTGGAGTATGCCGATGTCAATATGGATATTACGATACAAATGGTCCAGAATCCGGTGGATCCTGCGCTTTAAGTGTGTATTTTCATTTTGAATTAACTGATCTGTAATTAATTAATTTTAACAATGTGCAATTAAGATACATATACATATTTGATTTGCTATTTTGCTAATTTTCTATCAAAAGTATTATTTTGCGTATTATTAGATTGATACAAAAGTATGTATTTCTATACAATAACACTAGAAATTATGTATTATGAATGTTTAAGAGGTTTCTCTCGGTGGAATATGCCCACAACCAACAGCGTCTGTTCAAAACACAGCTACCTGCTTCGACAATAATACAAGATGTATGTCAGATGGTAACTTTTATACATGCCAATGTGTTGGTACTTATTACGACAACCAAAACAGTAAGAGCAGGCGATGCATCTTAAGTAAGTGAATTACTGATTTATTGCATAAGCATTCTAATAGAAAGAAATTTTCTGTAATATTCTTGTTGATTGACTTTAACAATTTGAGCTTACACTTTGTCTCAGACATCAGATTTTCTTGTGAAACAATCAACATGAGATATGTAATATCAGTTTTAGCATGATTAATGGGACAACTGATTTTTTCTATCTATTTGCTTGCCTTTGAGTTTGCGGCAACTTGTTATGGGAACTTCTATCATAGTCGTTTTTTCTTTTTTATCAACTAGAATATTTATATAACGTCTGGATAAGAGCCGTTATAGACAAATCTTGATGACAATAAAAAGCTTGGGTTTTCATAAATTGAGAAAATTTATGGAATAATCTCATTTATATACGGATAGACAACATCGTCTTTGATATTGTACCAGCAAAAACATTTTGAATGAAAAATTACATTTTTGAATTGTGACAAGAATATTTTTTTCAGGAAAAGCTCTTGGAGAAACATGCGACAAACCAGTTTACAACAAAGACCAATGTTTAGATTCAAGTGCTTCATGTATTTATGAGAGTATGAATGATGTTCAAAAGTGTAAATGTAATGATAAATATCGTCAAATACAAGCAAAATGTGCTGCTGGTAAGTTATTTCAAATGCAAAACACATGAAAATGTTGTGTTTACATTTTTGAACAACCTTTGATTTTTTTTTATATTTCTTTTATTGTATTATTGTGTTTATCTCGTTGATTCGTCTAAACACCGTCATTAATGAAACTGGGTATAATTGATATACTATTTAATTATTTATAAATAATGTTATGCCTCAGTATCTGTTTTTGGGAACAATTCTAGATGACTTGAATTGAAATATTCAGGAAAACAGGAGTCGACTAAGTTCACAATAGTAATAAGACAACAAATAATACATAATAAACTTAAGAACATAAAAGTTTGTCGAAGTTGTAAAAATCTAACGATGTACAAAACTCCTTAATTTCCACATACACTGTCAAGAATCCGTGCATTAAATTTGAAATTTGAAATGAGTCCTAAATAGTCAGAATACTTGTTTCAAGTGGATGAATTTATAAAAGTCGAAAAAAGTTATACTTTGTAAGTGGATATATCCGCGTGTCAAAAATTAGCGAATTTAAAATTTCATACATTTCGCGTGAGAAAATATAAGGAAATCATGCAAAGGTAGAATTTAATGACAGGTTGGTTGATATTACATTAGATGTTATTTTAGCGATTTTCGTCAAATCGCGTGGCTAATTAAACCGCACATACATTATAATCAGTCATGGCAAGTATACAGTTCAAATTATGGATTGTTATATGGACACTTTCAAAATTTTTTTTTCATTATTTTCATATGACAATTTTAAAGTCTTGATCATTGTCTTGAAGTTTCATCATATCGTCTTTCGTAGAATAAGATATAAAAAATGGTCAGCTTTTTAAGGGGTAACGCATTTTCATGCCTTTGATAAAATAAATCTCAGCTTTTTTAGAGGTAACATATTGCATACCCTTGATATTATATAAATAACACATGGGTTTGTGGGTAACAGTAAAAATATAATCCCGAGGAAAATACTGTTCGCCTCGGGTAACATAATTTTTACGAGGGATGATAACTCACTGTTACCCACAAACCCATGTGTTATTTATTTTATTACCCCGAACAAATACTGTGATTATCTGAATTTGTAAACTAAATCTAACTGTTACAAAAATAAACCAAGAGTAGCAATAACTAAATTGTCCTTACCATACAAGCTGTAGGCCTACTGTACTTGAGAAGCTGTTTTTCTTTTATTCTTTAAGCAAGTGATGATATCTACCAATCATAAACATACAATAAGCTGTGTTTTATTTAGAAAACAAAACACTAACCCATTTACATGATTTATAAGGTCATGATCTGTGAAATCTGATCCTTCTGTATCCAGAATATTATTCGCATGTTTTTTGACAAAATGTATTTTTCAAATTAACGATGATATCCTACATAAGTCTGTCCGACAACTCTATCTGTAACGTTTCACAGGTTAACATTATTGTAAAATAATTCTTTGTTGAATGCTTAAATCGTCTGCATGTTCTAGTTTGACACAAAATTATTAACATTACAATAACTTCCGATGAAAACAGATGTTTACTGTTTGACTATTCAACAAAAAGATATTTAAGAGATATAAAAGAACTAAATTTTATGAGAGTCATAGTTACTTTGGTGATGCCCTAGGCCCTATCGTCCAAAATAAGAATGAATCGAAAGAAAAATGGAGGCCATTTTATTTCATTTTATTTAGAAAATAGACCACGTGACCAGATTTTATATTGTTAAAAATACTGTTACCTATGTAACAGTACAAAATTCTTAGTCACGTGGTACACTTGCATGAACAGTTAGAATAACTCCCAGAGGCCTATGGGAAATTAACATTACGAAAAAGTGATGGGGTAATAATAAACATTGACTTTGCATGAATAGGTGCTTTTAAGCTTAAAACAGGTTTTCCAATATTTCATCAGTAAGCATTTACACTTTTTAACCTGTGTTTCTCTCTTGAACTAGTTCAAATAATATTTTTTGATGTTTTATAGATACAGCACTCGGAACGTATTGTAATGCGGCTTCCACTGTTGTTAACTGTTCAGACCCTTCTGCCCAATGTTTGGACAGCAAATGCACATGTAATACCGATAGTTATGATGATAATGGACTTACAGCCGGCGGAACATGTATGTCAAGTGAGTGAAAAATGAAAATGTTGTGAAGGCTGCAATATAATTACATGTATAAACTCATTATAGAATCGTCTGAAAATTTACTTGAACGGTATATACTATAATATAGATTTAAATATTTTCTCTTTCAGTGACAAATTTAAAGGTTACAAATATAGGATTCAATTCATTACAAACAAACAAAATAGAAGTTATATGGACAACAATCAAGAATTATAAACAGTACATAAACAGGTTTAAAGTGATTTGGAGACCAACCAAAGGTGATGATGTAAGCACCGAGTCAGTAGACCTAGCCTCCAATAGTACAACATACACAATGACACAAGAAATAGATCCTGGTAGAGCTTATACAGTTACAATCATCTCAATCAACGATCAAACACAACTAGGATCTTCTCGTAGTACATCTGTTGTTAGTTACCAGGCTGCAAGTAAGATAGCATTTTAAGATATATTTAGTTTTGTACCTTTGTCGTATATAATGAATAAATATAGACAAATTGTCTAAGTAAATAGTGAGAATTAAAAAAATATTGGCATCAGAATGACATAAACGGATCTGTTTTGGGAATATATACTTATACTGTTCTGTAAGGTGGATTTAAAATTATTTTTGCATATTCTATGTTTCTACTCTACGTAAGTTAAATTACTGCATAGTTGGTTAATTATACAAAAATGTCTATTTGTAATTATAGACAAACCGTTAAAATGTTACGATTTTTTTTTCAAATTTGTGTTTATCTAAATATAAACATTTTGTTGTGTTCATGGTAAGTTAAGATAATTTTATGGAAAATATGTGATTGCCTTGAGATTTATTATTTTAAATTGAATTACTTGCATGTTTTTGTGTTTAAATATAATTATACAATCATTGACTTGTGACCCATTGAATATAGGGTGATAATCACCGGTAAATGCCATATCGCCTCGGTCAATATGACATTATATCTGTTAATATAATACCAACCATATTCAATAGATTGTTAGCCCATTATAGTTCTATAATATGATCAACCTTTGATAAGAAAACACGCACTATTAAGTAATTTTAAATATCAAAAAAGTAATGTAATTCTCAGTAAAAACTATTAGTATACAGTATAAATATGTCAAACAGAATAGAATGCAACAATTTCAATTGTCTTTGCTTTTTGGTCATTAACAATGAGTTTAAATCTATATAAAATAGGGATCATCATATTCAACCATTGAATATGATACTACACTCACTGAATATGATTGTATTGTAAAATTTGTTCGTTCTATTGAACCAACGAGATTGCAGCTATTTTAAGATCATACAGTAAAATTATGAAAGAATGTTCATTTTTTTTTATTAGAACCAGGTATTACAAGCGGAATCGATGAGTCAAACTGTGATAAAGATGCCAGTGATGGTACCATAACAGTTGCTTGGTATGATGCCTCTGGTTACATAAGTGGCTACATTGTAGAACTTATAGATGAAGGAACTGTAATATCAACAAATTCTGTTGATAGTTCAGCTGCAACATTTTCAAATACAGACCTTAAGGAAGGATATACATATAGTGTTACAATACAGGCAAAAAGTGAAATGTATGGTGGAAATGCTGAAAACGGTGAAATATTTATTGCTGTTTTCAAAACAAGTCCTAAAAGTAAGTATAATTGTATAAATATAGTTCATAGGTCATTTTGACGTAAATATTTAAGCGTTTGCTTATATTGTCATAAATTTAATTATTTACATACGTAATATTAATTATCCTAAGACTGGGTGATGATTGCTTATCTGTGATTGTTTTACAACTTACATCGCAATCAACATTCTACGGGCTGTCACCTTAAGCTTTATATAGTATTCAGTTATCCAATGAAATGCAGTGAATCTGCAGACCTCAGTGTAACGTTCTGTTGAGTATTTGCTGTTAGAAATTTTGTTTCATACTTGTATGTTTGGATTTATCCAACAAAGTAAGTTGGCTTACTAAATTGTTTTGATTATTAAATTAAACAAAATGCTAAATTCATTAATGCATTCTTTAGAAAAAATAAAAACGAAGACAAATCTGTTAGAAGTACACTATCTAGAAACATGTAAATAAGATTTTTTGATGAGAATAGTGGTTAACAAATGTTGGCGGAAATTTGATTTCATGCTGTAGGGATTTCCGCAAATTTTCTTGTAGTTATGATCACAGATTTAAACTTAACCTTTTCTATTTGTACTAAGTTTTGCAAAGTCCATGTTGAATTATTCGATATTAAAAAAAATAGTACATATTCCCGATGATTTCAAGAACTTTTGAATTTAAGATGTAATTATAATTATAAAACATGTCTTTAAAGGCTTTAAAATACCCCTTTTATATTTGTTTATTTTCTAGAGTCACTATTAGATGAGACTTGTAATAAAAGTTCTGAGTGTGCAGAACAGAATAAAATTGAATGTAGGAATTATAAATGTCTATGTAGAGATGGGTACTATCAAAATGGAACAGGTTCAATGGGTTCTTGTACAAGTAAGTTTAAATACTTATTAATTTTATTCCAGGTTTATTACAGTATATTAACAGTTGCAAATTTCTTGTTATTTTAACTTTCTTTCGGCATTCTGTAAAATATTTTTAATCATTGTATAACGCAATCTGAATTATTTATATCAAGTAAAAATCATAAATCTTTTTCAACCAAATGTCATATTTTATTTTAAACGAAATAATATATTGCATATTGATACTTGTGAAAATCCTATTACTATTTTTTTTCTTTGAAAAAGAACGGCAGTTGGGAGAGGTATGTACAGAATCTAATCAGTGTTTAACAAACAACGCGGAATGTAGAAATAGTAGCAGTGTAAAAGTTTGTCAGTGTCGAATTGGATACTTTGATTACGAATATGACGGATCTTGTAGTTCTCGTATGTTATTTTACATGTTTCTAGTATTTTATTATCTCTCCATTTACAAGACTTAATAAACATAACCTCCTTAAAATCGACCAGTTTTGCATGTAAAACATGAATATAAGTAAGCATAAAGAAGAATTTGATTTTACAAGTTTCCAAAAATAACTTATATATATATTAATATAATAATCATGAATACAAAGCAAAGACTGGATGGTAGAACGTGTCTTAGATTTACATAATTGCCCTGAAAGAAAGCAGAATGCTTCAAGATTTTACTATATAATAAAATATATTGTAGTTCAAACAAGTGTGATAATATACTGTCATGACAAACTTTTTAATTCATAGAGGATAATAAGAGGATATTTTTTCGTTTGAGTGAAATATGGAATATATTTTCACGAAACATGATAAAATTCGACATATTTTCACGAGCCGGGATCAAAGAAAAATGGTTACAAATCCTATTGCTTGTTACGCAACTGCAATTGCACAGCGCGGAGTAATATATTATTGCGTCTTGTTTTGCACGCGATATTTGGCGCTACATTGTGACGTCACGTAAACAACTGTTTAAACGTCTGTACAGCGTTAATAACTGAATTAAAGATATTGGTTTTCGGATTGATTTTCTTAGTTAGACCATTTTCTATCATTCTAGATAGTTTTCAAAGCAAAATTCAACAAATAGTTGTTTTGTATTTATCAGATTTTTCAAACAAAATGGCGAAAGAAGTCCCTTAAAATAAATATGAGTTTTGACTCCGCCTACTTTCATATTTATATTTCATATATATTTTTAAAAAATATGAAATATATTTGACTGATATAGCACCATATTTCATGGGTAGAATTAAATAATTGTTTGTATTGCCTGTAAGATTGAAACATATTTCACTGAATGAACGCCATATGCAATATGCTCACGAGCGGCGTAGCCACGAGTGAAAATAGAATAGCTGGTGTTCATGAATAAAATATATTTCAATCTTATATGAAAATAAATAAATTTTCTATTCATTTCATTTTGAAATATAGTTTTGTTAAATTTCTTTAAGTTTGTTACATTTTTAACATGATGTATGATGACACCGACTTTCCTTGCCTATAGAAGCAAAATTTACTTATGACGGCATTTATTTTTGCCTGTTATTTAATTTAGTTATGATTTTCATTTCATCCGCATTCAGATATAGTATGGCTACAGTGAAAATTACTAATTAATTTATCAAGTGGTTTATCTGAATATAATCTGATATATAACAGTAAAACACTGGAAAGCATGAAATAAAATTCGATATTGAATAGATAACATACATTATGATCAGATTAAGTTATCACTGTCATAGAATCTGTTCATTGTCTAGAAATATACAATCTAGCAAATCGTTTAGTCTTCGTAATATTTATGTTTTAAAATGATAGTTAATTTTACTCTCAGACTGGATCTTTTTACCTTGTGATCAAATGATAACAATTATAATATGATTTCATAAAACATGCTATCATGGTAAAAGAACTCGCACTTTCTAAATTGAAATCTGAGAATTAAAGCATAAACTTATATTATAGATTAAGTGATATCTTTTACAGAAAAATGCAATAAATCCAATCAAGTTATCATCGTTGGAGTAATTCTAGGGCTAATGATCATACTTCTGCTCGCGTATGCTGGATATGCAACGTATCTTATAAGAAGATACAGGCAGAAAGGTCAAAGATAATACACAGATATTGTTTGCAAAAAATGAAAATGACTTAAAACGGACGTGGCATTAACACACAAAAATATTCAAACTAGCTAGTTAATACTCCCAGAGCAAGTACCGAGTCTGTATCATTCTTCACCAACTTTCTTTTCTAAACAAACAATAGTAACATTTCTAGATCTCTTTTTAATTTTGACATTGCACATAATCATCGATTTTTGTTGTTCTTATATTAAATTAGTCACGTCTACAAAATAATGAGTCAGTCTTTTCTACCCTACACTTATTGCTTTGACTCATTGTTAGACTTGTTTCCATTGGCATAGAAATTCTGAACTTTGTTTAGCTGTTTGTCTATAAAAAAGCCAAAATAGAATTTGTTTGTTTATTTTGCAGACGGACGAGAAATAAACCAAGGCATAGGGTAAGACATAGACTGTTTGTTACTTATTTAGAAACGGCGTTGATTCAAGACAAATTGTACATAGTTCTTGCATGGAAATTAAATATCTCTAAACAAAGGCATTTTTGCTAAATAACTCAATATTATATTAAAACAATTATACAAGTACATGTAAAGCGAAATCAATAAATCAAATATCATTTTTACTTTAGAAATGATAGAAAAAACCAAACGTACGTGAATGACACATTCAATTTCGGTGTAGCAAATGAATCGGATGCAATAGCGATTGGCGAAGACACTAATAGAGAACAGACTGAAAATACGGAGAATGTATATTTACAACTTGATGACAATACCAGAGAAAACAATACAGCGTATGAAAAAATAAATCCAAGACAACAAAATTGATATAAATTTTAGAAACATAGATGATTTATTTCTAGTACACGATAAATGTTCTTATTATTTTTCAGATTTAAATGTTTTGTATATTATGTTTTGTAAACTGATGTTTTTGGTGTGTGTATTTTGAGTTTATAAAAGTGGCCGGGGCACGACGCCTGTGACACGGTATTTTAAGAATTAAAAAAAAAAAGCTTTGTCTTTTTAAATTACTTTATCTATCTTTCTATCTTTAAAAAGTGCTTGATTAAATTCCTTTCTGCTTCATTTAATGAAAATTATCATCATGATAAAACGTGCGAAAACTGACAGAAAGGAACGGAGCCAACTCCAAAAAACAAATGAATTGTTGTCGGTGGTAAAAACTTTGTTTTTAATTTTAATTTAACATGTAATGCATTAAAATATTGCGCATCAATCGTTAATCTGTGTCTTTAAAATACTTGCAAAAGGAATAAATATGCCACTTTGTTATCAATCTTGTTTTATACAATATCAAACAAATACCCTATCGGTTTTATGATTTTTGTGTTCTGATACTTTGTATCAACTAGAAACAGTGTTGATAATAAAAAAACATGAATAATTTCCGATGGTGTTTGGGGAGACGGTAGCTTGCAAAGGCATAACATAGGCAAAGATACATTTAATCACCATACTACTTTGTGATTTATGACACCATAAACAATTAGAAAATTACATTCAAACCTGCATTGTATATTATTTCATTTTAAATTACAAATACACAGATAAGTTTATTTTTGAAAGGACATCATTAATACATATTGCAAAATTTTGAATATTATTATATAGAACATGACATTTACCTGTAAAAATATCCAAAATATTGATCATCAAAATATTTTGCAGGTAAATACTTCGTGTGAATATATGTGTACATTCCCATCACAATACAATCATGTCTGATTTTTCTTTTTAAATTAGTAATCCCACCATATTTACCATGTTCAGTCATGACTTGAGCTTAACATGTATTAATTTTAAATGATAAATTAGAAGTACAAACTATTTTGCAATAAAATCATATATATAATTATATGTATATGGTTTTGTTTTCTTTTTACAACATTTTGCTTAGTTACCACAATATTTATTGTTATTTATTTTGACTGTAAGTTGAAGTACCTAAACTCTTAAAAATTCGTCGTCGTCGTCAATTTCTAGTTATTTTCATATATAACTTAATTCATTTGATTAAAGGTTAAAGTGTGGCCAAAATTATAGTTACGATAAATTATATCAAAATATCTTTGCATTTTATAGTATCTGCATAGTTATATATATGTAATGAGGCAAACATCTGTTACGTTATCAAAATGAGATGTAACGCTTAGCAATCTTATGTACTCAAGCAATGCCCCTGTAAAACTATGAATGGTCTTACATTATAATCATTGGTTTTTACCTATGGCAATCTTTAACAAGGTTTTGATTCTTAAATTATTTTCAAAGATCTAGTATAAAGACAAACCACTTGTGAAATAAAATCCAACACGTGTAAAATCCTTGAACAATTATCACAAAACTATTTCTTATGGGCTACTGTTCAACCACCATTTTTTAAAAAAGTTCTCTTCTAGTTTGCCATATTTACGTTTAAGTTGAATGTGTTACAAAAGGTTCATAGAATATTAAACAGTTTTTGCAACCCAGAAACAGAATTAGATATAAATCAATATTATCAGAAAACATAAGCATACAAATGTCCATATTATCTGGGAATAGTTCTATTCTTTTAACATCCAATTTATTTCTAGAAAACAAAGAGTAAAATTTGAAATGAAACATGACGCAAATAACACCCTTGTCGTAACCAATTCGACAGTCAAGGGTATAAGGAAAATCAGCTTGTTTTCTTATTTTGGCTTCCTTTAACTTCATCATAAAGCTAGACAAAAGCTTGGAACAGATATTAAGCTTGAAATTTATCATTTATCAAAACATCAAAACTTCAAACAAAATACTTCCTTTTACAGAATGAAATGTTTTCTAAAAGTGGATGAATGCATCAGATATCGGTCGGAAATGTAACAATATAACACAAAACATTGCCCAATGTTGAAAAACAAGCCAGTTTAACAAACTTGACACAGAGAATTTTTTATTGACATAGAATTTAAAATGTTTTATCCAACAATTGAGTACCGCTCAAACCGGTGCCAGGGGGCGTGGGGGATGTTGCACTTCTTCATTATCCCTCATGTAGAGACACAATTATACCGGTCTGCAATTTTTTATGTCCTTTTGCTGTTTTAAATGCTTCAGATGGATCACTATTATCCAGATTGTTATATTAAAAAACGCGAAACCTTTATAGTTGTTAGGAACATAATAATCATTTTTCTGATGAAGTGGTATAATAATAGGTTCAGGCAATTAACAAGAAAATTCACCAAATAAAAAATGCATTAATTAAACAATGTAAAAGAAATGGTAAAACATTGAAACCATATTTATGTGTTTGAGAAGCAAATCCACAACCGTTTTTAAAGATTAAATTTGTTCTAAAACCTTATTTTCGAGTATCATGCAAAATCTAGTTAAAAATTAATTACAGTTCAAAGAGTAAACGAAAATTCGTTTAATCATCTATTAAAAGAGTAGAAAACGGTAGGTTCAAAGAATGTAGTTATCATATGAGAAAGGCCGCAACAATTTCATTTCCTTTTTTATATTTATAAAGGGTAATATGTATTTTTAATTAGAAGATTGATTAAAGAAATGTTATTGTTGTCACATGATAAAGAAATACGCGAAGTATGATCAAAATTTTCACGGCCCGATATATTTCTAGCCCTTACACTGACATTTACACACCGATATCTTATTTAAGATTACATACCGAGGTACACGCGGTTTTACACAGATCAAGTAACATAAAATACACTTTGATCAGAAGATGGGTTTGGATACTGCAAATGCCGGCGGCTTTGAAATTCTTTCCTTTTCCCCATATTCTCATGACTCCCCCTCTGACTTTGACCTGTTTCCGTATCTGAAAACCAAGCGTCGTGGTAGTTGTTTTGAAGTAATGAAGGTGTCATGGAGGCGGTCAATGAGTTCTTTGAGAACCAAAATAAAGAGTTCTATTTGAAGGGTTAAACAAGTTGGGGCACAGGTGGGAAAGTGCATTGATGTAGAGGGCGATAATGTTGAAAAGTAAGACCATTAGTTGGGTTCTGTGCCTACCCGAAGTATATCGGGCAGAGAAATATTTGATCAAAAAATGATAATCTGAAACAAATTTCTCAAAGTTTTGCAGATCATCGAAGGTTAATCATTAACAAAAAACAAACCCCGTCGTTTAAAAAAGTTATATTTAAACTACATATTTTAAAGATTTTGTTCAACATACATATTTTTGTATGGTTTAATAATAACTGATGGCATAATAAATAAGGATATCTTTTCAAGAGAATTTGCACATAATATCTAAAACATATGTCAGATACATGTTTAATGTGTAAAGAGTTCAATACAAGTTAACAGAGTAAAAAAAATTAAAATAAATAATCCTCCAACAAATACCACTACCCATATTAACCTTCACATACATTCAAAATTTGTCCCACACTATGTACACAAGTACTGTAACAATATACTCAGGTATTGCACCATTGTGTAAATAATCCGCCATTGCTTCTATTCCTCTTAGGCTTGAGCAACAATAACGACTTGCGTCTTGCTGAATGAAGAAGATATGTAAGACGTCGGCAATTATATTCAAGCTTTTGATTTTTTTTGTTTACTGGGATATTGGTGCAGCCTAATATAATTCCAATATGTTGTTTTGAATAAAGGTTATTAAAGTTTCCTCCATTTAACATTGTATATATTATTTCACACACACCATTTACGTATTGGGTATTGGGGATGATATAATATGTATATAAGGGCATAAAGCCAGTGATATTATTCATTACAGCAGAACATTAATTAACACTGGTGTATACATGCACTAGAATATATTTTGTGAAAATTCAGAATGATCGCAGTGAAGGAATGACACGTTCTGGTTATTGACAGATGCGGACAGCATTTGCTCTGATAGCAGACAATCTTTGGTTAAAATTTATATGTTGTATTCGTATTAGCGTGTTAATGACAGCTAATATATTATGAACTTGACCCGAACGTGATGAGACTGAACTTAATCTGGTGAAAGTCAGGTACATGTACTAATTAACGTTACACATTAGGTTCTGACGACTACAAATATGTTGTCACCTTCTCGCGAACTTTCAAAACGGTCAATCATCGGTGAGCTTTCACTTTTGTGAAAGGCTGATGCTACCGTTTGCGCCATTGCATTCTTTCTGCTTGCTACGGAATCTGGCTAGCTGACGCTGCCATGCAAATCTCTACAATATAGTAATCAAAAAGAAAAAAAAATCTTCTTCGGCCATATAATGGACCACGGCCAGTACATCTCTTGTCGCGTTCTCATATATCGTGTCGTACCTCGTGTGGAATTGTATGTGTCATGTTGCATTGTCATAGCTCGTGTCACATTGTCATGTTTCGTGTTTCATGTCAAATATACATACCGCATGTTTCTTGTCATAATTAATATCATGTATCGCGTCTGAATATAATGCGTGTTTAGCCCAAACCATAGACTTATAAGTGGAACATGACAATGCAATACAAAAAATGACATTATTTGAATCAAATGACGCGTGATTATTATGCATCTATTTCAGTAAGACGGTGTTCTTCCATCAGTTATTCCGTAATTCTATACCACTTCTTCGTAAACAAAATCCAAATAAAGATTTAGGAATGTTAATTGCATACAAATAGTTAAAATGATGTATAGACATATTATTTTCGCGAGTATTTATCTTATTTAAAATACAAACTGCTCAGTTTATTTAGCTAAATTTCTGGCTTAAAACGTTGTTGTTGTTTTAAAAACACGGATGACCTAGATTTATTCGTTATCAAGATTCATGACCAGCTAAACGGATTCCATCAAGGTGGCATCCAATGATATATCTCTATTCATAAGTTAAACGCACGATCTGATAATTGTCATCGAATCACTTGAGTAAAAAAAAGAAAGTACCGAAATAAGCTATTGATTATAGATTTTTTTGGAGTGTCGATAATCGCATACATTTTTACTTCATGAGTACATTTTCCTATAAGGACAAGACTGACTTTTACTAAAAATGTTTTACAAAGACAGTGGTTCACATCATTTCAATGTTTACATCCATTTATCTGTTTCAATAATTTGATAATTTATCAAACACGAAGGGCTGTTAGAGGTATAGTGAGTGTCTGTCTGCTTATCAATCTAATGATTGTTGTTCAAATCCTTCTTAGGTCACAAGTATGTTTCTCTCCCAATGTGGGCTTGATACTGATTTTAATCATCTTTTTATCTTTCAACTTTGTATATGAATGTAATTTTGTTCCAATTTAAACATTTAAATACAAGAGTTATAAATACAAACATGTTCTTATTTCTGTTAATTTTTAAAAAGAAAGCGGTATTTCATTGCCACCGTTGGAGGCATGCAGATTATGTGTGATATGCTACCTTTTATCAATTATGAATATTTTAAAATAAAAAAGGTGTCCCGAATTATCAATGGGCAGAGGGTTAGAGTTGTTCGCGTGTTTTATGTCATAATTATGGCCAATTTTGTACATTTAATTTTCCTGAATTACAGTGCAATAAAATATGTAATTTAAAATGCAATTCTATTTTTCAAATGAAATAAGAAATAATTTCAAATGTTTAGAAGACTTACTAAACGTTTACTTATGAATATTCTTTCAGTATTTTCGGGTTGCAAAATATATGTATTCTCTAAATTCATTATTAGTCCAATTAAATAAGGTTAAGTTAATAACTTAATGGCAAGGACATTAATAACCCCATATGGGTATAGGTATCATAACAAATCAGAAATGGGATGATTTCTCGGGGGAATGACAACAAAACAAATATATGAAAACCACAAACTCAGTTTTATTTAGGTTTATCATGAGACATTATTTGAAGCTTTTCCGTTTGATTGATAATCATCAAAATAAACAAAGTTTTAGAAACAATGATGCTAAAGGTACAAAATATATGACAGCGCTGGGATGAAGAATGGGAAACAATTCAAGCTTTATTCAGACTTAACACAGCAAATAACAACTAAAGTAGTGATTATAATTTTTGTAAGAGTAAGAACACAAGTCAACAATTTTTAATTCGCGGTTTTAGACTATTTAATCTTTATTTCTGTTTCAACGATCTTCGAGATATAGGAGACATATAATACATTTTTATGTGCCATCAAATATAACTGAATGTCAATAAACATACTTCTAACAGATAAAAATAAAAACAACCGAAAAAAACAACAGATGTCAAACCTTAAATTGATATGGCAATAAAATAAACGAGGTATAACATGGATTATAAAACAGACAATAGGTCTATTGCAATAAGAAGAAAAGTGCTAGAATTGAAATTATCTCGATCTAATCATGGGTGGGCTGATTAGCATATGTCACTTAGTAAAAATCGCAACTAAAAGGAAACAATATTATTAACCAAGATAAATCTGACAAGGTTTGGGATAAATTCTTTTACTCAGTGAGTTTCATCAAGAAGTATAATCTTGATCAATGGACATATTCATATATATTAATCTAATTCTAATGTCATTCATCATATGAAGACCAGTCGAAAATAACATGATATTCAGTTTCAGTAGAATCTAAAAATAGAAAAGTTCTGTTTTTGATACTTAAATCTTTGGCCCTATTAGTTTAAATTTGAGTAGGCGCATTCGATATCTACAGTATGCAGAAAAATGGAGAGGGGACATAAATATCTTACAATTATAGTAATATAGTGAATTTTAGTTTATACACAGTTATATTTAAGCTTGTTTCCTCCTCTACCAGTAATACTCGTGGTCCAATTAAGTTTCAATATATTGATAAATTGATTTCCCTTTTAACATATGAATGTATACACTCTACAATGTATGGTTTATCAACATGAACAATTTATCATAACAATTGAGAAATCACATTGAATTAATTGCTTCTTCACAGAAAAGAATCAATTTTAACATGATGTACGAGCTTTTCCAAATGCCCGAAACTGCCATTCATGTACGGGGATACATACTTAAGGTGGGGGTGACTGTCATGTCATTATGCCATGTCTCCTGCTTATGTCGCGATGTGTTTATTTAACGACAAGGAAAAACATCATTTCACTGTTCTAAATAGCATTTATACAGGAGAAAGACCGACAGCCTCACATTGCTGGACCATAATCTATTACATGTCGTACAATTTGTTATCACATGAGGTTTTGGGAAGGAATTCAAAGAAATTGCAGAACGCCGAGGTGAGCGCAGTAAGATCGCAAACATCGCCGAAGCATCGCTACAGCATCGTATTGGCATTGTATAGAACGCCAACCAACGGCGCGCATTTTGAGCATGCTGTAGCATCTCCTACAACGCAACAGGAGCGCTGTGAAAGCACAAAAGGAAAGTCGAATGAACGCGGCGCTTATCCACGGCGGTTGTACAGAGATTGTGCGGCGTACGTCTCTACCGCGCTTATACTGCGTGTGCACGGCGCTTTTACAAATTCGTATGATTTCAGCACAATGTGAGCGCCGCAAGAGCGCCGTAAAAGCGCTGTGGAAGTGCAAAGAACGCAAAAGAAGCGCAGTGTTTGGTCGCAGTAAATAGTCAATTAAAATGTCGTAGAAACTCCGTGGCATCACCATGAAGACGCTGTGAGATCCCCAAGTCATCAAATATATCACATTTTGTATTGCGATCTATGGCACCTTGTTAAATTAACAACGCTGTGTAAACGCAGTAAAATGACAGTCTAGTGTGACAGGGCATTAAAGACGTCTTAGGTTATTTCACCACTATTACGCTCATAAAATGTCCTCTAATATTTGTAAATTAGAAGCGCCGCGAAAGGTCCTTTCAGGTTAAATCAATGAGAGCCAAAAAAAGTAGAAGATCAAGAATTTGGGATAACGTTTTAATTTACATTTTAACAAAATATTTAAAACCACGACGTTTCGCCAGTCCTTCATTCCGTATCACATTCGTTAAAATAATGATTTCTGACTATTGGATAGTATTCCTGAATGTGATGCATGCAGTTAATTAAAATGAATAGGTCTATAATGGAAGGTTTGTACAATGCCATTAATGATTATGTTGATAGTATTTAGTATTATATGTGACAACAAACCACAAACGAATTATATATGGATGCGGTTGGTAATGCATGAGATACATGATCTGATATTACATAATCATTTACAACTTGAATTCCATATTTTTACATGAAATATAAGAATATCAAAATGATTCATTGCTATTGTTTTTCAATATTTGAAAAAAAAAATGTAAAATGTGCCCATTGTAGACTCATTTGCAGATAAATATTAATGTTTCATGGGTCTTTTGTCTTAACTTTTATAATACAATTATAAAAATTAACTGCACTTATGTCTATTAAACTTGTCAATATTTTTTATATTGTATGCCGTTGACCTTTGATACTTATGCATTTATATTCATTTGTACTCGGAAATCGAAAATACTCAGGTGCACAACTACACATCCTGATCAATATTCCTGTAAAGTTTCATGACTCTATGTCAAATCCTTTTTGAGTTACATGCGACACAAGTTGAAAATTGCAAAATTTTACTAAGTCAAGGGCAATAACTCTAAAAATACTAAAAATATCCAGACAAAAATACCCAGGTGCACAACTACACATGCTAATTAACATTCCTGTAAAGTTTCATGACTCAAGGTCAAATACTTTTTGAGTCATATGCGACACAAGTTGAAAATTGCAAAATTTTACTAAATCAAGGGCAATAACTCTAAAAAATGCTAAAAATATCCAGACGAAAATACCCAGGTGCACAACTACACATGCTGATCAACATTCCTGTAAAGTTTCAGGTCAAATCCTTTTTATAGTTACGTGCGACACAAATGTGAAGGGACGGAAGGACGGACAAGGGTAAATGTAAATGCCCGCCACTAAAGTGGGGGCACAAAAATCTACACATGTAGTAAGTTTCGTAGTATTATGTTTACAAAGGCTAAAAGAGCCGATTATGCTAGTCATATCCAAACAAATCAGTATCATGATCATGGGCTAAGACTTTCATATGTTGTTTTGTCTTCTCTAACATTATCATCGAGTCTGGAGTATACGTTCTCAACACCTGAATCAACGTTAAAGTTTCCCGATGTATTTGATGCTGAACCGGTCATGAATATTTCATTAACATATGTTTGACTCTTACGATCTTTTCTGAAATAAAAACAAATGATTTGCATCATGTAAAAAGTGCTTTTGGCAAGTCCTTTTATTATTTTTATTATCTTTTTTAACATTTATTATTTTTGAAATAATTTATCAAGTATTTAAAATAAACTATGTGTTAAACACGTGACTGATATACATGTATGATTTAAGTATATAAATACACATTATCTATTCATAAATCATTGCTGTCCCACTTACTTCAATTGATTACATTTAAATTGATGTAAAGAGCATCGGACTTGTAATCATGGGGTTGCTGGTCCGATCTTCGGGCGAGGCGAAATGTCATCGTAAAACTGATCTTGGACATTGAGTCCAATGGTCATTTGACTCGAACCGATGATTCTAAAATCATGTTGTATGAGGTTTTTTTCAAAACATTTGGTTAGTTATCCAGGGGATTGACTGCCGAGATATGACCAAATATGTGTAAAAATTGTCGTAAATCACACACAGTAACTGATAAACATAAATCAATAATTTATCATACTTTACTTACTTATTTCCAAATTTTATTTCTTGTTCATCTGGAAAACATAAAGTATAAACAGTTCACACATTAATCACAGCGTGAAATATGAGTATCTCATGTGCATGGAAAATGCTTTTTCAAAAAACTATAATCCTTCCACCCGTAAACATAATAATAAGTATCCATTAACACAGTTAGCATAGTACATCTACATAATGAATTCGTGCCTTATAAGATGACAAATATGTCATGAAACCTAATGAAACATACCAAACTTGATAATCCCGGTAGAACAGCAGTATAACTAGTATAAATTTGTTTTCTTAATCATATAGGCAACTTGGTTAAGGTTAAGTTTTGAATTACAATATAGTGGTGGATAAAGACCTCAGGTGTCCCATTGTGCATTATTTTGACAATAAGCGGGAATCCGAGTAAAAACTTCGAATTGTCGTAATTTTATTGCATAAAAGAACTGAAATTACCTGCATAACATTGAGGGCCAAATTATTTTAAGTCAATGAACTTTACCACTTGTGCACGAAAATGAGAGAAGTGAAATTAAATTGGCATTATTTTTTCTTTTATTTTTTACACATTTATCATGCAATTTTCTAAATCTTACTAATGTCCTACCTTTCGCTCTATACCTTCTAATAAGGTAAGTTGCATAGCCAGCATATAACAGAAGAATGATGATTATTAGGCCAAGTACAACTCCAACGATGACAGCATGTGAGTTGGTAGTATAAAACTCGGAGCAATGTGAATCTAGATATGCACAATAAATTCAAGTTTTAGGTTTGAAAATTTAAATTAGGATAAGACTGCTTTTCTTTCGATGTATTTTTTAACACGAAAATCATTCATTTAATGTTAAATCATATCAGAAGATTTTCTTATATAGTGTTTAGTATTCTGACGCGGTTGATAATGTTATAAGGACATATCTGACGTTTTGAAATGGAAATAGCGTACCCTGGTTAAATGATTTTATCTCAAATTCTACCAAAGTTCTTGCTATTTGAAATGTTGCCTATTACAAGGCGTACTACATATACTATCCATTGCTTTGAAATATCAAAAAAAATATTTGATTGCTATGCAATACCGAACATTTATATTGAAAATTAGTTTTGCCTCATCATTTTGCATCAAATAATATGTTTACAGAATCACCTGCATTTGCCGTTGTGAAAGGTCCATACTGCCGGCTCAAACGGCATCCTCCATTTGTACACGTAAATGCAACAAACCTGTTTGCAAATAAACAAGCAATGGATACAAATTGTCAATACTAAGTTGATATTATGGCCAAGACTTTTCACCAAACGACATTAATTTATCTACTTTTTAAAGAGAAAATCTCGTAGGTGGATTATCTCATAAGCATCTTAATAATATAAATATCTTTTGAAATATTCGACGTGTAGAGGCTGTAATAAACCTAGTCCAATACTTATAACTTGTCCCAGGTTGAAGTGGACCATTACAAAATCCATCTGGTGAGACATTTTTACAATCCTCACTGCCAACAATGAACTCAATATTTGTTACATCCCGTTTATTTCTTCCTACAAATAAACCATTAAATGTATTCAATATTTGTTACTTTCTTTTAGTTCTTCCTTCAACCAAACCAATCAAAGTCAAACCAACATAAAAAAACAATACCGCAATTAAGCTCTGTTTCTGATTTCTATTCATATTTTCATTGTTTGAAACAAGAATGTCTCTGATGCATCTGCACATTGAAATAAACCAATAAAGTTTGTGAAAGCGTTTACTAATTGATCTTAGACAGCATGCTTCTTCTCTCTTGACTCTATCCCTTCGATGTTTGATCTCGGACAACACACTTTTTCTCTCCGATGTCTATCACTTTGCGATGTCATAAACTAAGTAAGAATTATAGCTTTTGTACACAATTACTTACTTTTCTCTATTACTGTGTGTGGATTAAATCAAATTCCTTGAACCAAGTGTTCAACTACTTTACACCCTGCATCTTACATTTAACACATCTGGTGGACACTTTCAAGCATATATAAGTTTTACGTTCAATCACATTTATCTAGATATAGTACCTGCGATAGCATAAAATATGCTTGTTATCAAAATAAATGATAAGTGCGCGATTTTTTAAAGTTTCAATATCTAACTGAAATTGCAACTTACCCAATGTATATTGTATAGTAGCCTTATCTAGCCAGTCAGAATTTGTCGCCCGATACGACGCCTGACCTTTCTTTGATGCTCCTGACCAATTTTCCATTGCATTCACATCCGTAATTGTCATTACGCCTTTAAAATACCATATACAATTATAAATGAGCTTACATCTAAGACAAATCATAAGGACTTGTATAAATGGTTGTTTCCATTACCCGATCCGCTCGGTGAGAGTTATATAACAACTACCCTTTAGACCGGGTCATTACTGATATGGGCGCTGGCAATCGAAGTGAAGTAAGAAAACACACAGTATCATATATTAAATAACATTCCACGGTGTAGAGTAACTTTTTGAAACTACTTTCTGAATTTTGTTTTTTAAATTTAATATAATCAGCAAATTATTATGACTTGCATAATCATTGTTGCTTTTTTTTTAATATAAATAACTTGTCTACGAAACGAAAAGAATACCTTGAAGGTCACAGCTGTTAACACATACTACGAGTCCAGTGGTTTGTACTTTGCCATTTGTAGATTCTTCAAAAAACTCCCGAACTAATGTAATTGTTATTTCTCTGTCAGATACAGTTTTATCTCGTTGTAACTCGATAACATCTATTAATAAACTTTCCTCGATGTTTAAAGGAACTGAAATGACAATTGTTGTCTTATAATATTTACTCCAACAAATAATTACCTGTAACCACCTTATAAAGTATCTTTATCAATATAACAACTTTTAACATGTATATAAGTTTGAAAAAAGTTTTCCTCATTAATAATATTTATGAAAGAAAGAACAAAATAATATATATCTATATTCAGTTATTTCTTTATTCACAAAAAAAAAACATTTTTTTTTATTCCAAAATTTCATTAGTCAAATAAGTTTTGTTAATCTTATGACCATGGTCAAAATTTTTTGGGCTACATGTGTCACAAGTTGAAAACTAAAAATCCTTAACTAAGTCAAGGGCAAAAACTTTACAAATACTGAATAAATCCACAAGCGAACACCAAGGTGCATAAGTACATATGCTGACCAACATTCTTGTAAACTTTCAAGCCTACAGGTTAAATACTTTTTGAGCATGAACAAGTTGAAAATTGCAAATTTATACTAAGTCAAGGGCATTAACTCTTACAAAACTGAAAAAAATCAACAAGCAAAATATCAGGTGCATGAAAAGCTTCACAGTGATGTTGATCATTATTCCTGCACAGTTGATTGATTCAAACTCAAGCACTCAAGTCATTAATAACTGAAGATATTGAAACGATTTATAAGTCAAGAGTAATAATTGTACAAATACTAGATAACTCCACAAACAAAATCCAAGGTGCAGAATTCCATATGTTGACCAACATTCCTATTAAGTTTCATACACAAGACACAAATTGAAAATCGCAATGGCAATAACTCTGATAAAACAGTAAAACCGGCCCCAGAAAAACTTCACATACTCATCAACATTCCTGTGAAGTTTCATGACCCTATGTCGAATACTTTTTGACTTACATGTGGCACAAGTTGAAAATGGCAAATTTTTACAAAGTCCAGAACAATGAAACTAAAAATACTAAATTAATCTAAACAAATATACCCAAATGCACATGCTGATTAACACTTCTGTAAAGTTTCATGACCCTAGGACAAATACTTTTTGAGCTACATGCGACACAAGTTGAAAATTGCAAATTGTTATTTAGTCAGGGGCAATAACTCGGACAAAACAGAAATAAATTCACAAGCGAAACGCAAGGTGCAAAATTTCACATGCTGATCAACATTCATGTAAAGTGTTTTGCCTGTAGGTCAAATATTTTTTGAGTTACGTGCGACACAAGTTGAAAATTGTAAAGTCAAGGGCAATAATTTAAAAAATACAAAATATAGCCACATGAAAACACTCAGGTGCACAATTTCACATGCTGAGAACAATTCCTGTAAAGTTTCATGACTATAGGTCAAATACGTTTTGAGTTACGTGCGGCACAAGTTGAAATTTGAAATTTTTTACTTTTACTAAGTCAAATGCAATAACTACAAAAATACAAAATATATCAACACGGAAATACCCAAATGCACAATTTCACATGCATGCTGAGCAACATTCTTGTAAGGTTTCATGACTATTGGTCAATTACATTTTGAGTTACGTGCGACACAAGTTGAAAATTGCTGATTTTTACTTAGTCAAGGGCAATTACTCTAAAAATACTAAATATATTCACACGAAAATACCCAGCTTCACAACTACACATGCTGATCACAATTCCTGAAAAGTTTCATGACTCTAGGTCAAATACTTTTGAGCTACGTGCAACACAAAATTAAAAGGACGGACGTAAGGACGGATGGACGGACGGACAAGAGTAAATGTAAATGCCCCCCATCCCCTAAAGTGGAAGCACAAAAAATATCTAAGTTTCAAACCTCCTGGAGGAGCCATTTTTGTAACAGTAATGTGTTCGCCTTTCATGTTTTGTTCATTTATTGCATACACCTACAAAATAAATATCTGAGATACTTTTGTATAACTTAAATTTACACAAATGTGCGTTCAGCATTACAAACGTAACTTAAGGATTAATCCCTTTGTCTTTTACTGTCTATAATTTGATATAATAATATCATTTTCTAAAATCTCTTTATAACAAACAAAAAGCATTTGGCATCATATTGAATTAGTTTAAATTAATATTTCATTGATATGAAGAACATATTCTACGATGTAATACGAAACAATATTGCTCTGATATCAGTAATACTTTCTTTGACGCAATATTTTGTTTGACAGAACAAATATCTTTATTGGAAATGTTTAAACAATTATTTATTTCATGTAAATGTAAGTTTGAATTGTAAAGTGTTTTAGTCTTACGTACATTAAGTAAAAACTTGCTTTCCCTCTGTACATTCCTTAAAGTACGAGCGGGTTCACACCCTGGGCGGAGAGGGGCAATATGTTCGATGTCAAGGGACTTATCCACGGAAGTTTTTATGTGAAGATTTAGCTTATATCAATAAATTAGTATTTTTTTTATACCTTTTAAAGAATTTGACATTTTTTTTGGAAGCAGTACAATAATCTGACAAAGTATATTGCGTTAATAGCAATAATATAATATTTATACTAATAACATGTCTAGACATATTTTAAACAAAAACATAAGGATACCTATGCCCGAATTCAAGCGTGTTTCAGTAGTCATAAATAAGTTTTACATAAGGGAAAAAACCCATTCTTTAAACCTTGCTGCAACATATTATATGCGTGAATTAGTTATTCCTTATGATACAAAACCACCATGGTGGGGGGCATATGTGACTCTATGTGCATGGCAATTCCTATCATTGAAGTTATCCACCCGTTACTCCTTTCCCTTAAAATCTATATTTAAAACAATATTCTGTATATTTTTGCTTTAAGCAGCAGTCATGTTGAAGTCGATGTCGTTGAAGTTACAAGTCTTGAATGGGTTCGATCCCCGGGAGATGCTTTGGTAGTTTAGCACGGAGGAAGGTAGTCTAGTACTGGTGTAACTCTCCAGGAACGATGGTTAGCAAACTACCCGCCTATATGACTAAAATACTGTTGGGAATAGGCGTAAAATAAACAAACAAACAAGCATCAACATTAAATTATAAAGTCCACAGTGTGCCAATCAGCTAAGCTTTGAGCATTGTAGATTGACACATTACGACTTTAATATGTTTTCAAATAATGGTCTATGTAGTCTATGTTACTTCTTGGTTGGACCGATTTTTATTTGAATACGCCCAAAACTCCTCTACAACATATTATTACTAGGACAATTTACAAAAGATTTTAAATTGACGTGTAATGAATGTGACCTTGACACGAGGAATTCAAAACCTGCTCACTCATAAAAGTTAAACGTTTTCTTCTAAGAAATTTCGATGTCTTTCCATCGGTTCCAAAAATAGAGTGGATACGAAATGTCAACATATAAGACGAACGGTCAACCTGGTGCATAACAATGTACACAGAAATATTTTCTGTCGTTCACAGGTGTGAGGCGTTTAGCCAGAAAATACTTTTTCATTTAATTTAAAGTACTTGCATATTATATTTACTTGCGCTTTCGGTTTTTAAATTTATTTCTTAAAGCATTGGTATTTTAAAATTTTATTTACCCTAAATGTGTATTGTTCTTCTGGCACTACATATACCGTTTTTGTGTAAGTGTAACCTGGGCTTTTCTGTTGAAAATTTGTTGTCGCTGTCACATTCTTAAAGAAAGTAAAGACACTTAATGGGGATATCTAGAAATGTTTAAAGACATGGCAGTAAAAAAAGAAAATGCAAAAAGTTGCCGATTATCGTGGCATCAAAACATTCTATAAAGTTTAAAATAAGTCCCTATTTAATACACAGGATTTAAAGAAGAATAACGTTAACAAATATATGGAATCAATTTTTTAATTTCATAATCGTTACTTATAAGCAGATTGGTGTTCACTTAATCAGAAGCTTATAACAAAAATAAAAACATTTAACAACATCATTTTGAACATTTAAAACGAAAACTGAATAGCCGATAGTCATGTCACAACACTGTGAAATTAAAATACGTTGTTAAATTCAACACGGAATTATATTGTAATTGTACACGCACGGTTGTAATATATATATATAGGACGAGGCACAAGCCGAGTCTGATAAGGGTTTTTCAGCTGTGTACGAATTCAACAGAATCAAAAGTGTTCTCAAAATGTATAATGAGCTTTGAAAAAGTTCTTTAAGGACTCTATTATATTTTTACCCTGCAAAAATGGAAATGAAGCTAGATGGAGTACAATTTGGTTCAAACGCTGACAATTTGTTGGTTATATTTCATAACGTGTGAATTAAATTTATTTTATTCGTAAAATTACAACGTGCGTTTTGAATAATACAACGAAAATTGTACACAAAGGACTTTTCACACATACTAAATTGAATATAGGGCATACAATGTTGAAAGACCGTAAAAACTTCTTTAATTATGCAAACACATACCCCTGGTTCAAAGTTTTCGAAACGATAGCTTTTGATGACCCCATTTCTCTCCAATATAGTCGGCATTTCCCATGATATCTTCATTTTCGTAAAGTCTTCATCAGGATGAGGTTCTACAGAAAATTCGGAAACTTTGCCAGGGGCTGAAAATCAAACACAAAAGTCCTCTTTATGTTATAATTAGGAACATAGAATGATATGACAATGCATATTTAGGTTTGACTTCTGTTTACAGGTAATGGCTATGCCAAGAGTCGTCACATAAACATAAAGATAAAGTTATATCATAAAGTTTTGTATGTGATGAGATCGATATTCAAGTCTAAATATCTGGTCAATATGATTTTATCATATGACCAGAATGAAATCTTCATTTATTCATTTTGAAAATTGTCTGATAACACCTTGTACGCAAATTATACATGTAGATGGCAAACACATTATTTTTTTCTTTAGGCCATAGGCGTGTAAAAGTTAATTCGGATATAAGGATTCCAATAATCGTATTTTCTCATCTGCATCTGTTTTTAAAAGAAACAAAATCATGTGTGTAGTTAACCGATTAAAAATTTTAATCATATGTTAAAATATAAACCTTACACGAGTTACTTTATGTAAAATGGTTGGTAAGCGTTCAGTTGAAAGGTTTTGAAATAAGGGCATACATAAAAGATCGAGCAAAGCTGAGAAAATATGCTATAAATGTTTAATATAATGATACTTTTAATATTTATGACAACACTGACTTATTTCAAGGTGGATTTATAAATTTAAAAATGAGCACGAGTCAAAGATGCCTTAAAGTCTGGTAGAAAACATGCCATAGTTACTGTCAGAAATATTTGTAAAGTCAGGCTTATCATTGACAAAGATGCCAGACTTTGACAAAAAAATATCGCAGGGATATTAAAAAGGTCCACTCATACTTTTCTGAAGAATCACTCGAAGGTTAGGGGAATAACGACCAGTACGTTATATGCTTAAATACTAATGGATAACCAATGGAACTTTTGTCTAAATTCCCGTTTTTACAGGTCGTTCTGTTACATCCAAGTATTGTAGACATAAATGAAAACAAGCAAGTATCATAGTATTGCAAGCAATCCATACGTCCCGTACCGGTTAGAACCCCAGCAACATTCTGAAGGGCCATTGGCCATTCTTTAATGTTTCAATTTTTCTCTCTATTTTAAGTAAATTTGTTGGAAAAACTCCTTAAAAGTGATCACAGGAAACAGTATGTATGAAAAGACAGACAGACAGACGGACTGAAGGACACTCTAAAGTTAATATCTGAAACATCCCTGTTACCAAAAACAAAATTTTAATTAGCAAAATTCTTAAAGAAGAGATGACTCTTGAAATAAAGATGCAATTTCATAAAAAAGTTCAGCTCCTTTTGACTCATCACAAATATTGTTATATTTGCTATGTTTTAGCCCTTTACCTCACATATACGCGGAACAACGCACTTTCGACCCCCCCCCCCCCTCTTTTAGGCCTCAAATAGTAAAAAAAGTTCTATTTGGGCCCCAAACACATGTTTTCGTTTGAGAAATGTTGCTTAAAAAAGTGAGCACTTTTCAAGGCCGCCCCACATCCAAAAGATACATTTAGGGTTGAAGGGGGCGGTAGTCCCCCTCACCGCCAAGAAAATTTTGGACTTGTGAGAGGCTTAAATTGACCCAGGTCGATCATAAGGTAACGTGTAACAAACACTGAAAACTGAAAAGTTAAAGCACTTTGAAATAAATTTTGATGAAAAAAATCAAGGCAAAATAGTGATTTATTGCAATTTTGAGATGTCCCCTCGTTGCCATTGTAAAAAATTTAAAACTGAGCATGTGCCTACAAAGGCAATAGTCCAGTTAACGCTTGTGCCAAGTTTGATAAGTATTAAAGCATTTTTCATAGTTTCATAGCAGTTTGAACTTGTAACAGGAGGCTTTTCAGTAAAAATGACCATTTTTCACAATATGCTCATGAGGGAAAGGGTAAAGCCTATTTGTTGCCATGGCAACCATTTTTTCAAATAGAAAGAAAAGGATAAGACATGCATAATTTCCAAACTGCCATCTATACATATGTCACATTTCACAAAAATATTTCCAGTACTTTTTGAGTATTACTGGATTCATTTTATGTGTAAAGTTTGTCATATATTCAGTCTATTTGTTGCCATAGCAACCAGAATTTTCAACATAGGAAGAAAAAAAATACGTGCATAACTGTCCGACTGCCATCTACATACAATTCAAGTTTCATAAAAATATTTCCAGGATTTTTTGCATTATCAATGGATCTAGTTTATGTGTAAAATTTGCCATGTTTTCAGTCTATTTGTTGCCATAGCAACCAGAATTTTCAACATAGGAAGAAACGAAAAACGTGCATAATCTTCAGACTGAAATCTACTCATATATATTAAGTTTCAAAAAATATTTCCAGTACTGTTTGCGTTATCACTGGATCCAGTTTATGTGTAAAATTTGTCATATTGTCAGTCTATTTTTTGCCATAGCAACCAGAATTTTCAACATAGGAAGAAAAGAGAAAGACGTGCATAATCTCTATACTGCCATCTATCTATATATCAAGTTTCATAAAAATATTTCCAGTACTTTTTTGCGTTATCACTGGATCCAGTTTATGTGAAAAGTTTGCCATATTTTCAGTCTATTTGTTGCCATAGCAAGCAGAATTTCAACGTAGGAAGAAACGTAAAGACGTACATTATTCCTATACTGCCATCTATCTATATATAAAATTTCATAAAAATATTTCTAGTACTTATTGCGTTATCACTGGATCCAGTTTATGTGTAAAATTTGCCATATTTTCAGTGTTTTTGTTGCCCTAGCAACCAGAATTTTCCATATAGGAAGAAAAGAAAAAGACGTGCATAATCTCTATACTGCCATCTATCTATATATCAAGTTTCATAAAAAATATTTCCAGTACTTTTTTGCTTTAAAACTGGATCCAGTTTATGTGGAAAATTTGCCATATTTTCAGTCTATTTGTTGCCATAGCAACCAGAATTTTAACGTAGGAAGAAACCTAAAGACGTGCATAATTCCTATACTGCCATCTATCTATAAAAGTTTCATAAAAATATTTCCAGTACATTTTGCGTTATCACTGGATCCAGTTTATGTGTAAAATTTGCCATATTTTCAGTCTTTTGTTGCCATAGCAACCAGAATTTTCAAGATAGGAAGAAAAGAAAAAGACATGCTTAATCTCTATACTGCCATCCATCTATCTATATATCACGTTTCATTAAAATATTTCCAGTACTTTTTGCGTTATCACTGGATCCAGTTTATGTGTAAAATTTGCCATGTTTTCAGTCTATTTGTTGCCATGGCAACAGAATTTTCAACTTAGGAAAAAGAAAAGACGTGCTCATTTGCCAGAGTGCAATCTACCCATACTTCAAGTTTCATAAGAATATTTCTAGTACTTTTTGCGTTATCACTTTATCCAATTTATGTGTAAAATTTGCCATATTTTCAGTCTATTTGTTCCCATAGCAACAAGAATTTTCAACACAGGAAAAAAAGAAAAAGACGAGCATATTCTCCATACTGCCATCTTTTTATATATCAAGTTTCATAAAAATATTTCCAGTATTTTTTGAGTAATCGCGGGATCCAGTTTTGTGGACGGACGGACGGACTGACAGACGGACGGACGGACAGACGGACGGAGGGTAAACCTAAAGTCCCCTCCAGTAAAACGGTAGGGGACTAAAAACACTTCAATAAATTTCGTCCTAAGACTGGTATGATAGGCATGTATTTTCTGCAAGACAAGGTTCCTTCACACACACTGTAATGGAATTTATTTTCGAGAGCAATTTGTGACTTTCCATATTCGCACCCTAGGCACCCTATGACTTTTTCCTTTTACCTTACTGAGCCTAAGATTTAATCTTGCAGGTCACCACTAAAGATAAGAAATGCACATGGGTTGGCCGGATTATTCGGTTTCTAAAAGATTTACCTTGGATTAAACGTCCGAAACTTTGTATTTCGTTTGGAGGAAATTATTGTAAAAATTTGCAAAATATTTGTTTTTCTGAAAAATTAAATGATCATTTTGCATGACATATTGATCAACACACGTAATTCTTACACTCTAAGATGAAATGAAAACCAATTTGAAATCAGCCCTGTGTTCAAGGATTACCTGCAGGTGAAGTCCTGTACTTATTTGTCACTGCTGATATACTGCTACCAACTGATGTTTTAGCCATCACAACGACACTGTAATTCCAGTACTCTTGTAATCCAAATGCTTTGTATTCTCTCAAAGCGAAACCTGAACATTACTTAAATGTTTATGACAAGACATACAAAATACGAATACAGTGTATGGGAAAAATGTTTGTAAATGTGACATTATGCACATTTTAACTGTTGAGCTGAATTAGCTAGATTTTTCAAAATATTATCTGTCTTAATGACCAATGATTGGTACTGAAAATGATATGGATAAAATGTAAATACTGCATAACATATAAGATGACAGCCCAATTCTTTTTATGAAATGGACATTACCGATATGTATTCATTATCAAGTCGACTTTTGTTTTAGAATTTTCCGTGGGTCATATGAGTTAATGATTATATAATTATGTAAAGAAGAGTGTAAATTGAAAATAATTATGGCAAAATGCAGTTATTTTCACATTAACCTGTTCACTTACAATTGAGACTTAGATCGACATAATGTAACTTGTATGCCTACAAATGAAATAGAATATAAAGGAATACAAATAATTTACCACTGACAGAAAAGTTCTTTGACTTTGCCGGCGTATCTGCTGTAAGTATCATAACATAGAGTGTTTGTCCCGGTCTTGGTCCATTTATACTCCATTTTATGTCAAATGTTGTTGCAGTCATGCCTTCAACTTTAACATTGTATGGAGTCTGAGGAGCTGTTTAAATGAATAAACGAATTATACATTTATTTGTACAGTATGTTCAGCAAACAAAAAAAATATGCATAACAATATAAATTTTTTATACTTCCTTTATACAAATTTATTTCGTTCGATTGTGTATTAAGCTTAAAGCTTATAGACATACCCTCAAATATGTTCCTGGAAACAACAACAAGAACTGAGCATTGAGTGAAAAATTTCTTGCTGAAGGCCTGGTGGAGTTTGAAAAATCACCGCAAAAGGTATCCTTAGACGCATTTACCCGGCTATGTGGTTTAAGCAAATACTTAATTTGCTGGTTTGATAATGGTAATGAATTACCTAACCAATATAAACCATTAAGAAATATTACAAAAAATGTAGATAATTTTAGGATGTTGCCATTGAAATCAAACAACTAGCACATTAACAATAGACGATTCTATAAATGACTAAAACATGTCTTGGATATTAGTTTGATTGCAGTGAAAATCAAACGGATATTTTATGAAAACCAGTAATTTCAAAGAAGTGTCAAACATAAAATTGTTTGTAATGAGAATCGAAAACTTTGTTTGGGTTTACATTGAAAAGGTAATATGGAGCTCTCAAGCTTTATGGGTGGAGGAAGACCTCTCGTATCCATTCGTGCACGAAAAGGCTTACTCGAAAGAATCTTAAGTCCCTTGCGGTATTCGAATTCACTGCGATGAGGACAAGTGGTCTGAAGTCAGCGACCTTAACAACTCGCGATCGGCTACGGACGCGCTAAAAGTCGAACATCATTTTTATTTTATAAGTTGTGTTTTGATTAGACATACTTACATGCCAAATATAAACAGACTTATTGAAAACCAATAATGTCTCTTAAAAAAAGCTATTAAAAGGCATAACTCTAGTAATGATAAGCTATCTGCAGCCAAAATTGAATTTAACCTGTGCGTTGATATAACATGCATTCATGCTACATATGAACACAATCACTAAAATCTTCCAAATGTTATATAGCGGAAACTATTGATTTTACATGAAATGTGCTAAAAAAAGGGCATAACTCTCAAAATTACGAGGTCATTGTAGCTTATATCGAAACTAACTTTTTTGATACTACACACTTACAATGTTATGCCAAATATGAATAATATTTTTGAAAAACTTCAAAAGTAATACTGCCAAAACCAATTGTCTACGGATAGTGTACGTTCTAACGAGATTTGTGACTACTTCACAGTTCTCGTCATAAGTGTTTTAACCACATAACAAAGAGCGTCATAAAAACTTATGGAATGAATGACATCAACGTAAAAGTACAGTTACCTACTGTTCCAGTAGCCACATAAGAAGCATATTATTAGAGCGAATAGATGGACAGGTGAACAGACAACGCTTTCGCACTACAGTTCACCGAATTCTTAATATATTGTTAAGATGTGCAATTTGCATTTTCTGACAATTTCCGTTGCATTATATGCATGGAAATATTTATTTGAAAAATGACAAATGTCTTGTTCCGTCACTCTGTAAGTTTTATCAATTATACTGCCTAACTATTAGGCATTTCTTTTTGCTGATATAGTGTAAAGCCAGACGGTCAATCTTTCATTATAAAGGAAAAAATACCCTCTACATTTGTTCCATTTGTCACTGTTGCAGGTTGACCTCTCCCTTCAGTAGTTATTGCTGTAACTGTCACTGTGTAGTTAATGCTTGGATTAAGGCTTGCATTATAAGACAACTGTCTTGCTAACTGAGCTTTACTTAAAGTGAAATCTGGCTGCTTATTCTGATCGCATAATCCAGAAAGCTCAGAAACCTAAAATGTAAAAGAAAGTTTGTAAAGTATGGATTTGAGATTTACGTGATTTACTATACATTAAATATCACGCCCGATAAACTGTCGCTCCACTTCAAAGTGTTTCGTGCGGTAAAAACAAGCAAATAGCATTTCCCAGAGATAGAGAAGAAGGCCGATTTAAACGAATTCACACCGTACAATCAAATGGGCAGACAGCTGTTCCAGCGTCCACAGCTGTACCAGTATATACATGTCGGCGCGGGGAATACAATTGACCTACGGTAAGTATTCATCTATTTTTAACATATCCAAACTGTGTTCGAGTAAATCAATGTTATGGATTCATAGTCACATCTAAAGAAGCATGCTAACAAATTTCTGGCCCTGTGAAAGCTTTACTTCACTTGAATTTTGACTGAAAATAACCACACTATCCGATGAGATGCGGTATTTTTAGTTTGAAGTCACAAAAACTTATATTTTCTCATGATAATTAATCCTTTTTTCATACGATTCGTAAGCGTCAACATTTTGTCATTAAATATTCCAAACCATACCTTCAAAAAAGCTTTTCTGTTAAAGTTATAAGGTATTTAAGTTTAAGTGTCATCAAAATTTTAGTAACGTCATCAGCTGTTCGCCTCTTTTTAATGATAACATCGACAGCAATTCATCGGCAAGGATGAATAACGCTGAAAGCTGTTCAAAGAAACAATCGTTAGAGCTTTTGTCCTCCAGTAACCAGGAAAAAGTAAAGCTTTTTTGTTCATTTAAAATATTACTTTATTCATTATACTTTTTAATTATATTATTTTTATTATTACTTTCTATTATTTGGTGTATCTTAGCTGAGAGGCCTTTATCTCCATTTACCGCACTGTATTTCAATATTGATATTGTTCATATGAATGAATGAGTGAATGAATGAATTAATTAATTACTTTATTAATTAATAAATGAACGAACGAATGAACAAACGAACGAATGATGCAATATACGTATATGTTAGTAGAAAGTATATGAGTTGTAATATTCTAAAAATTACATATTATACATTCATTTTTCTTCCTATGCATGTCCTGTTGTTGTTGTTTTCTATTTCAGAAGGCCATATTGGAAATAAGATATATATGATTGTTATTGTATGTTATTAATGTATAACCTTCTTTAAATAAAGATATTATTTTTATTATTATTATATAAAAAGGTAGCAAGATCTATTAATATGTTTCTGAAATGTTAAACTCAAAGAAAGTGAAGGCAAATTTAACGCTTAATACGAATACTCTGTATTATAACTAAATCCATCAAGTGTTATTATAAATAATGGCATATAGTAGACATGTCCCATGTAGTAAATGGATGTGTAACCCGAGATTTCTATTGCACTATACATTAAAACAGATTTCAAGGATAAATAACAACATGTTTTTCCATGCACTTTCATATCTCGGGTTACACAGCCATTCACTGCATAGGACTTGTCCATTATATGAATTGTTTATAATAACAATTGATGGATGCCTTCATTTACAAGACTGAATATTCATATTAAGCATTAAATTTGCCTTTGCCTTTTGACTTAAACATTTCATAAACCTATTACAGGAACTCCAATGAGGTTTATAAGCCTAAAAACATGAAATTTTATTTTTTCACATAAAAAAAACATGAGCACTAAAACATAAATATTAATAAAATATAACCAAGAAATATAGGAGAAATACATTGAAAATCATATGTTTGTGCTATTCTCAGTCCGATTTGAGCAAAAAGCGTTTAAACTCTTTTCAATTTTGGGTCATTTTTTCACTTTTATAATATTCTGGAAATACGGAGCAAGCTAATGATCGGAAATCTTGCATATAAGTTATTAGTATAGATCTACATCAAATGGAGAAATAATCTCAAAAAATTATTTCCAGTCCCGTCATGTCAAAAAAACCTTAGTGGAGTCCCTTTTAAAAGGTTTTGCTACCTTTTTATATTGAAATACAGTGCGGTAAATGGAGATCAAGGTCTCTAACCTAAGATATAACAAATAATAGAAAGTAATAATAAAAATAATATAATTAGAAAGTATCATGAATAAAGTAATATTCTAAATTGACAAACAAGTTTTACTCTTTCCTAGTTACTGTAGGACAAACGCGCTGTTGTAAATACATGTAATTGTTTCTTTGAACAGCTTTCAGCGTTATTCGTTCTTGCCGATGAATTGCTGTCGATGTTATCATTAAAAAGAGGCGAACAGCTGATAACGTTACTAAAATTTTGATGACACACAAACTTAAATACCTTATAACTTTAACAGAAAAGCTTTTTTGAAGGTATGGTTTGGAATGTTTAATGACGAAATGTTGACTTTTACGAAATCGTATGAAAAAAGGATTAATTATCATGAGAAAATATAAGTTTTTGTGACTTCAAACTAAAAATACCGCATCTCATCGGATAGTGTGGTTATTTTCAGTCAAAATTCATGTGAAGTAAAGCTTGCACAAGGACCAGAAATTTGTTAGCATGCTCCTTTGGATGTTGACTATGAATCCATAACATTGATTTACTCGAATACAGTTGGGATATGTTAAAAATAGATGAATACTTACCGTACGTCAATTGTATTCCCCGCGCCGAGATGTATATACTGGTACAGCTGTGGACGCTGGAACAGCTGTCTGCCCATTTGATTGTACGGTGTGGAATTGTAATACATTACAAGCCAAATACATAAACAATATTTACAATAACCCGTTTAAATCGGCCTTCCACTATCGGAAATCCTGTACGCTCTATTTTCCGTACACCACAATTATGAGGTGGAGCGACAGTTTGCCAGACTTGTCTATTATACAATATAATAAGCTCAATGTCTGAAATGGCTTGCATTGTGCAAAAAGGATGTAGTTATTTATTACATAGGACACAAATTTAATGAGAGTTGTCAGATCCCGTTTTAAATTTTGATAACCAAGTGTTCAAAATCTTACACCAAAAATATGGTTTCACTTTAACACTTTCACCAAACTAATTTAGTACAGAAACTCAAAAATAACAGGCATTTTAAATGTGACGAAGTTTTTGAAGCTGAATTTGGTTTGAATTTATTTTATAACGCTTGACAGGGCACATTAAAAAACATTATAATCCAAATATCTAGACTACCTTGCATATTGACATAAAAATGCCTATTTTGCCAATGTAATACGATAACAAGAAACAATTTGTGGAGAATGCCATGTCTAACTTGGGCAACTTTCAAGGGTCATAACTCTAAAAAAGTCTCTGAAGATTGGTTGTCAAAAAAGAATTTGACCGTCAAAGTCATTTAGTGAAGGTAAAGGTCTGTCTAGTTTACTTAACAAACATCAGCAAAATTCTCTAATCTAGACATATAACCATAAAGTACCTGCTAATTTACAGATCAAGAGTAGTCTAGTCTTCTGATAGGTTTTGTCCCAAGTGTTGACAAAAATGAGTTAAAATTATTCTATAAAAACCTTGACGATACAAGTAAACATTGCACTTTTTCAAGAGAAGGTTCTTAGGACACGTTTTCTCTTAAGTGAAATTATGATCATGTTTTTACTGTCAATTTTAGGTAAATTAGGTATATATTTAAAAGGATTGACTTTTTTATAGCGATTGAAAGATAATTTTCGTTTTCAATTGTTAAGTATGAAATATAACAACTGCCTAAAATTTAAAAAGACTGTCCTAAAAAAATGGACAAAACTGACAATTTGTGACGGATACTCATATATATTTATATAGGTCAAGGGCTACTGATTCCACCGGTAAAGTTATTTCAATTTACCTGCGCTCTAACTTTTTCCTCTTGGATGAGCATAATATAATGTCCTTTTAATATATAGATATGTTTACTATGTGACCAAAATTGTGCAACAATTTTTGACTTCAGGGACATGATTTTTATTATTTTTGTACCGGTCTTCTAAAGACGACCAATCATTTCTGTGAAATTTGGTCCCAGTTTATTACTGGTTCAGAAGGAGATGATGTTGAAAGAAATTTTGGATTGAAAAGCAGAACTGACTACAAAAACTGACTAAATACGATGACAAACAAGATTGATCACAAAGTTTACCTCTAAACACTTTGTGCTCAAGAAGGCTATCATGAAGGCACTGGTAAATACTAGAAGATGATAAAAAGAAAGCAACTGAAATCTGCTTCTGTAATTACAAGCTCTACTATGTATCATGACAATGCTTCTTTTATTTAGAAGATGACTACAAGCCAATGGTATATGCCAAAATGTCTTATTTCTAAACGCTTTATTACAGCCAAAATTCTGTCTGAGGACTGGACCATTGAACGTGCACTTCGTTTCAATTCCAAAGACATATACAAATTTCAAGTTAAAACCTTTGAAGTTGTTTTAAATATTGATGTTCCACACAAAACCTAAAACATGAATTTTCTCCATATATATGTCAAGATTTATGGGTTTTTGCAAGTGTCCGCAAGTATCACAAAGACATGTTTTATTTTTCAAGTAAATGCCTTCATTTGTCTTGATGAAAGAAAAGCTTTCACAAAAATACTATAATTTGGTCAAAAGACATGTCACGATAATGAGCCTTGTAAAATGATCTCAAGTTATGTTCCATAAAGCATGTATTAGCTTTCAAGTTGTTTTTAAGATTGATGTTGTACCAGGATATTTTTAAGATCAAATAGAATAGCCATTTTCGCGTCAAAATCCATGCTAAAATTATTAAAAGTGACTGTCTTTAATCATCTTAAATACGTATTTGAAGTAACAAAAAAAGATCTATTAATGGTTGATGAGATATTCTTTGAAAAGGACACTTAAAACACAAATTCTAATCAGGACTGATTCCAGTCTAAAATACATGTATATATTTTGTTCATTTTAATCTTTACCTGAAAACTTCCTTCACAGTCTGAACATTTGTATAGAACTTCTTCCTTGCAAGCGTGTTTATTATCCTTAACTTGCAGGACATAGCCGTAATTCTCAGCACTGTACGTTTTTATAGGTTTATCCCAAGTTATGAGAAAGCTTCGACTTGTAACATTCGTTATTCTTAAATTCTCTGGCTTCATGGACACTGAAGAACACAAACAATAACATCATATTTTACTTGCATATTTAACTGGTCTGTATAAATTAAACTTTTTTGCAATTTTTGTAGTTTTTGTCGTCTAGTTTTACCGAAAGAAAAAAACATATGCAGACAACTTGGTGTCTTTTCTCTGTGTAAAAAAATATGCAGAAAACTTGGTGTCTTTTGTCTGTGTGTCTTATTTATAAGTTAATTTTGTTTATACTGAAAAACATTCATGATTTCGTTCAATACATTTTTCAGTATAAGTGAACTATGGCATATATGTGTAAATGTATTGTATTGATCTAAATCCATAAAAAGTGGGTGGGGTATTACGAACGAGGGTCCAGCCGTAAATGAAATACTTGTCTCATTTGTATTAACAATGAACAAGAGCCACCGCCTGAAGGGGACAATGCTCGCTTTGTTACCTTCTCTAAAGCAAAAAAAGTAAAAACAAAAAAAGTAAGGTTTCCATTTTTTTTTAATTTAACAAGTCAGTTGAGTCACACTGGTATTTTCTAAGCACGAATCCGTTCCATGAATTAATAAAAAGAAAAAAATTAAACATTCAATCATTTGACGGTCAAGGACACTTAAAGTTCAAAGTCTTATCTTTTGTATAATTCCACATGTCTGTTTGGTCAGAAATGTTGTTTTGTCTGGGTACTATGCATGTCTCATGGTTCATGAAACTAAAGGTAAACAGAGCAGATGAGGCATGTAGATACAAATATCAAACTTTTAAATGACTGCATATTAAGTTTAACATGCAGTGTCTAATATATAGACAAGTGCCATCAGTGATTCTATGATAGCTTTTCCTCGGACAAAAAGTCATTTAACCTACAAACATGTATAATAAGCAACATAATCTGAGCTATCGATCAATCCTTTTCATTGAAATTTCAACAGAGCTATAACAGGAGTAATCCGACAAATTTCAAAATTAAAATCACGAAAAGGGCAAAACTGTGACAAAAATCAATGTAAACAGTAAAATATGAAGACTTTGTGATAAATTGTTTCCAAGATAATGAGCTGAATCAATTTTGCCAATAAAGTGACCAAAAGAAGTGACCTTGACCTTTGACCTAATGACCCCAACATTAATAGGGGTCAATTACTTGTAATGACAAATCACTATATGAAATATGAAGACTTGTGATGAATACATTTTATGATCAGCTTATACCATTCTGACATTTAAGGCCCCTGTGACCTTGGCCATTGACATAGTGACCTCAAATTCGATACGGATTATAAACTAGTTGTGACCAATCACTATGTGAAAGATAAAGACTTTGTGATAAATAGTTTTTTAAGATAATCAGCAGAAACCATTCTAACAATTAAGGTCATTGTGACATTGACCTAGTAATAACAAAATCAATAGGGGTCATCTACTTGTTATGACCAATTGGTGACTTTATGATAAACAGTTTCCAAGATAATGAGCGGAAACCACTTTTACTTTTAAGACTCCTATGACCTTGACCTTTGACCTAGTGACCCCAAAATTAATAAGGCTCATCTACTAGTTATGATTAATCACTAAGTGAAATATTAAAATCTTTGGATAAATAGTTTTTAAGATAATGAGCGGAAACAATGTGGTCTCTCGACCGACAGACCGACCGACATTACCAAAAGAATATTCCCCTTCTTCTTCAAGGGGGTGGGGGCGTTAAAATAATCTTAGAGCAATAACTTTGACGAAATCCATTGTATTATTATAAACCGATGATATGCATACCTTCACTTGATATGGATCATTCCTGTAAAGTTTGGATTGAATTACACCAGTGGTTTTAGAGAAGCAGTCCGAGCTAGCTTTTGTTTATCTGGTAACACACACAAACCACTTTTTTATTCATTTGCCAAAAATCAACCAAAAAACCCGTGCAATATGCGATAGGACTTGAGCTACAGATCAAACCTCTAAGGTTTCATTGAAATTGCATTAGCGGACAGATAGAAAGACAGAAAGATGGATAGACAGAGAGATGGGTTACAAAAAATATATCCCTATAAGTCGCCACTTGTTCGTAGAGGCGACACAATTAATGGAAAGTTTCTTTGCATTCTGTTTAAATTTGAATGTGACCTTACACCTCAGTCATGCTTATCAAATTGGTAAAACATTTTGATAGATTATTAGATCTTACAAGATACCTCTTAAGGTATCATTTTGAAAATCAACCCATGTTACCAGTACGTAAATATCGCCATTTCATATAATCGGTAAAATCGAGGGATCACTCTTTCTCAAGATTTTTATTCTTTTGAAAATAGTGGATGGGGTACGTTTTGACTAGTAATTCATTTAAAAGACTGAAGCAAATTATCATATTCCTTATGAATTGTGTTTATCTGTTACATGTACGGTATCAAAGAAACTATATTTTAACAGAAACACAGAATAGATAAAAAAATAAAATTGGTATGACAAATAAGTACAAGTTACAACCTTACTTTTAAAATTATTTAAATTCAGCGCCTTCCATTTTATATGTCTAACTGTTGAATTACAAACAAAGATTTCATTAGATATGATATGAATAGATTTAAGCATTACTCTCATGAGTAAATTACAAAAGCGGCGTAACAAAATAAGTAATAGATATTTGAGCCGCGTCACGACAAAACCAACATAATGGGTTTGCGACCAGCATAGATCCAGACCAGCTTTCGCATCTGCGCAGTCTGATCAGGATCCATGCTGTTCGCTTACATACCCTATAACAAGCCGAGAAACTGATAGCAAACAGCATGGATCCTGATCAGCAAACGCTAAATGTTGGTTTCGTCGTGACACGGCTCTTTTTTCTGTTTAAGATAGATGAGAAAATCATAGCAAGAACCCTTATGTTAAGCATTTAATTTTACTTATTGATGTATAAACTAGAAATGTGTCCATAGAATATGGTGCCCCTATACTCCACTGTTTTGTCAATCTTATGACTCTAGGTCAAGTAGTTTTGGGCTACACTTGACACATATAGAAAACAAATCTTTTACTTAGTCAAGGGCAAGAATTTTACAAATACTGAATAAATCCAGAAGACCGCAAGGTGCATAAGTTCATATGCTGACAAACATTCTTGAAAATTTTCCGGCCTACAGGTCAAATACTTTTTGAGCTATGCATGAACAAGTTGAAAATTGAAAATTTTTACTATGTCAGTATCTCTCATATATCTTAAAAATATACCAAATGCAAAACAACAGGCGCGCAGCTTCACAATAATGTTGATCATTATTCCTATAAAGTTGGTTGATTCCAACATAAGCACTCAAGGAACAATGGAACGGTCATTACAAAGTCAAAGACAATTACTCTTTTAATACTGAATAAGTACAGACGCAAAAACAAAGGTGTACAACTACAAATGCTGACGAACATTCCTGATAATTACATAACGTTCGGTCAAAAACGTTTTGAGCTACACATGACCCATATTGAAAATGCAAATTTTTACTAATTCATTGGCACTATCTCCTTCAAAACATAATGAAACCCCAGGTGCACAACTACCAAAGCTGACCAACATTCCTATTTAAGGGAGACACAGGCAAAATGTTCGTGTCTTAGTTTTGAATTCTTCATTCATTATTCTGTAAATGCCCTCAAAATGAATATATTAGACAGTCAAAGGAACAAAACGTTTCTCCATATAAAGAATAAAAAAGTGGTTTCCTAACTTGACCCGCGTGGGTCAGGTTAGAGTGCTAGGATTTCACAATAGTTGTCACAGTGAACTCTGTAAACAATTAAGAACATGTCAAATGAATGACTAAGACTTGTTTCAATCATACAATATCCACATTATCTGTTATTGTCACTTCAACGGTTTGTTCAAGTCACCTGACTTGTTTTAAAACTATTTGGTGACTCTATTGGTGTCTAAATTTTGTTCAACATATATAGATATATTTACGCTTAATACCCAAAATATATACTTTATTATTAGAATTAAAACAGAAATTCATGCTCAAACTTTTAGAAATGCCATCTTAGAGTGATTTGAGTACATAAGATCATTTTATTACTTTTGTCATTATTTTGCCTGAATATCCCTTTAAGACTCTAGGTTAAATAAATTTTAGCTACACACAACACAATTAAAAATACAAATTTTTACTAAGTCAAGACAAAACAGAAAAATATATCCACAAGCGAAACCCAAGGCGCACAACTTCACATGCTGATCAACATTCCTGTAAAGTGTCATGACCCTAGGTAAAATACTAGCTGCATGCCACACAAAATGAGAACGGACGGACAGATGGACGGACGAGGTAACATCTAAATGCCCCACTATAGTGGGGGCACATAAAAGCAGAAAAAAGTTTAACTTTATTGTTTAAAACGCTTTAACTAACATCCTCAGTGCACAAAGCACTTAAAAATACAAATATAGGTCCAACATCCATATTTATACATGTATACTTACTGTGAGCTCTAGTTTTGCAAGCTGATGACACCTGGTAAAAATGTGTCGAATTATATCCTTCATTTTCTGTATATAACCTAAATATGTAGTTTGTTTCTAAAAGAAGCAATAATCAATAAGTTATTATTTGATAGAGTTATATCTTATATTATGAAATAAATGAAAAGCCAAATTTTATCAATTATTTCATGCTTTCCAGTGTTTTACTGTAATATATCAGATAATTATATTCAGACTGATAAACCAGTAGTGAAATTTATAAAATATAATTTTCACTGTACTTAGCCGGACTATATCTGAACGCGGATGAGAAGACTATCATGAACAGAACTACATGAAATAACAGGCTAATTTAAAAATAAATTTTGTCATACGTAAATTTTGCTAATTTAGGAACGGAAAGTCGATATATCATCATACATCATATTAAAACGTAACAAAATTAGAGAAATGTAACAGGACTATATTTCAAAACTGATGATGTGACGTCATGGTGTGATGACTTGCGGCTAAAATCATTAAAAATACTTAAAATCACTTAAAAAACATAAATAAAAAGAAAAGTTGTTGGTTGTGCATGTAAGATTGAAATATATTTCATTCGTGAACACCAGCTTTTTTATTTGCAGTTGTGGCTACGCCAGTCGCAAAAATATTGCATCTGGTGTTCACTCAACGACGTATATTTCAATTTTATATAAAAGCAAACAAATATCCTCTGCATATCTAAATAACTATTAACATAAAATTGCTTACACAATATCATTCCTTACAGTGTGTTGAAAATGTTATAATTACTTGTTAGAAGATTTCCAACCACTTTTTGTGTTTCAGTTCCTGTAGTTTTATCACGGAGCTGAAAATCGTTACTTGTATTCAATACTACAATATGATATCTCACTAAATCACCGTTAGGTAATGACGGTGCATTCCAATTAAGTGTTATAGCACTGTCTGTAGGAGAGTTGCAAGAACCATTATGAGGTGCATCTGGAACTGTAACAGAGAAACAAACAGAAATTTTAAAAATATTTTTTTTTTCATTTCTGAAATAAAAGTTCACTTGTAAGGGCTTACTATTACAGTCTAAGTATCCTTTAACAATAGAATGCTTTTCTAATACCAAAAATGGAAATATTTCTTGTCTTCTTTTTAAATGTTTCCAATATAAGCTCAATATAATGTGAAATGAAAAGGCATGATAGAGAACTGTTACCTTGGACTTTTGTTTTAATTGGAGAAACCTTTGCTTCACTCCATAAATAATCTCCATGAAACTGTTGACTCCTTGCTGTTACATAAACATTATATCTATAACCATTCAGTACGTTGTTAAACGTTGTTGATACAAATGAGGCGTCTCGGGAACCTTTCTGTGTATCACCATCAAATAACTTTACTCTATATAACGTTGTTACACCAGTTCCTGCTGTCCATTTAATATTTATGTATCTATCAAGAGCATCTAAATCATCTCCTGAACTTGTTACATCACCTGGAATGCTTGGTTCTGAAAAATGAACAAAAGTATAAGCTTTTAAAAGAAAACATTTGTTTACATTTTATGATCTACAATTAAATCTATTATTGATAACAAGTTGTCATGTTACATTCAATATTCAACTGAATGTTCACATCTAATACGGTAAAAACACGTAGGTTGTCCCCATCTATTCTACATTTTCATACCATTCATTACTTGGGGGCAAGTTTTATTTGTGTAATGTACTAAACTATAGTCATCAAATCAGCTTGAATAGTGAATGTCACACAGACATCATTTATGAATGGTTTTAAAATTAAAAGTACTTTATCATGATCAATATCTGAAATAAAAAATCAAATACATGTAAAATATAATACTAAATTTTCATGACACCAACAAAAAGGACCACCTTTAAACTGATTTAATAATGCAAAGTCAACAAGCATACTTTTTACAGGATTTATTTTAGTTCGATTGTGTAGAGAGCTATAAGCTTATAGACACATTTAATTCCATTCTGGAAGCAACAAATACTGAGAAATGAGTGTAAAGTTTCTTGCATTAGGAAACAATGACTTGCCCCTGAATTGGTTTGAACCCATGTGACTAGCAATGCCGCTATTTTGCTTAAATTTGTAAAACTACATAACGAAACTTTATCTTATCTGTACTGTTGTCACCTTAATATATTACAACAGTTGTTGAAAATTGGTTTGTATATCTCAAATGGTTTCGACTAAGAATGCTTAAAGATTTCCCCAACCGTAGAATTCAAGTAATATTAAACAGAAAAAAATAAAGATAATAAGCATGTGCAAAAGTGTGCTCTCCCTTATTCTGCATCATAATGTAAAAATACATTTAATAGATTTTAAGACTTCTTAATTACTTGCTGCTTGTTGCTTTGATGTATAAGTTGTCCTTGTAACACCAGGTTCTGTGGCTGTATCGTTTGTTATCACTTTTACTTCATATGTTTTTCCAGGTGTCAAACCTGTAACCCTCTGAGGTGATGTTGCACTGACCACCTTACCCCCACTTTGCCATTCTACATCAAATCTACTTACATAACTAGATCTGATTGGTGCAGTCCAAGATACAGTAAATTCTGTGGTTTTATATTTGTAAATGTAATTCCAGTTACTTGAAGTTCTTGCACTGAAATCAAACAAATGAACTGAATTGTTTTAACATCTGAGGCATTCACTACATTATCATGAATCATATATTATCTGTTTTGTTTATACCTTCATAACTAGACATATATAATAAGCAACTACATGTATATTACACTCTACATCATATACATTATCATGCATAGATTTAAGCCGATTACCTGGTGTGGTTAAAATGAAAACAAGCAACTTTGTTGAAAAAGTTATTTCCCATTGATATGAAGTTACTGAAGCTGCTTTGTATCACTGACTTTTGAAGAGGATCTTTGACATTACTATTTATATGGGTGAAAACCATAAAATATTTAATAAGTGAAACATCATTGGAGGATTATGGGGGCAATACTTATACACAATGTCACACAATGTCATTGTCAATATACGAGGTCATATAATTTCATAATTTAATGCTCAATAATCACAGAAACTAACAAGAGCCATCAACAAGAGGGGCTCACATGTTGTTTTCTTATTTCTTAAGTCAAACACATTTGAGAAAAAAATATTACAGTAAAGAACACTCTAAAGATTACATCATTTTCTTATACAAAATCAATTTAAAATTTTATATTTCAAAACTGTACAGGTCAACTAGGAAAATACTACATGACAAATATTTAAACTATATGCATGGTAGTTTCACAAAGTAAGACTGATATGTGTTTTCTCATGCAAGATATCAACAAAGTGACCCCAGGTCAGGGCCAATATTGACCCAAGGGGCATGAGAAATACCAGTTATTTTGTGGGCCACAAACTGATATTACATGCCACACATCTAAGTCCCGGGCATCATAGTTCACACAATAAATTAGATGTTGTTTAATATAAGTTTATATAAATTAAGTGACCTCTTGGTTGGGGCCAATATTGAACCAAGGGGCATGGTTCAGATCAGTTTTGTAAAGGTCAATGAGGCAACGCGAAGTAGATACAAATGTATCTAATTTGTAGACATTGAACTTTAACACAATGCAACTTAAATGTGTTTTCTTATACAAGTCTTTATAATCCTGTATATTTCGACATTGCTTGAACTTGTTACATCACCTGGAATGCTTGGTTCTGAAAAATGAACAAAAGTATAAGCTTTTAAAAGAAAACATTTGTTTACATTTTATGATCTACAATTAAATCTATTATTGATAACAAGTTGTCATGTTACATTCAATATTCAACTGAATGTTCACATCTAATACGGTAAAAACACGTAGGTTGTCCCCATCTATTCTACATTTTCATACCATTCATTACTTGGGGGCAAGTTTTATTTGTGTAATGTACTAAACTATAGTCATCAAATCAGCTTGAATAGTGAATGTCACACAGACATCATTTATGAATGGTTTTAAAATTAAAAGTACTTTATCATGATCAATATCTGAAATAAAACAAATCAAATACATGTAAAATATAATACTAATTTTCATGACACCAACAAAAAGGACCACCTTTAAACTGATTTAATAATGCAAAGTCAACAAGCATACTTTTTACAGGATTTATTTTAGTTCGATTGTGTAGAGAGCTATAAGCTTATAGACACATTTAATTCCATTCTGGAAGCAACAAATACTGAGAAATGAGTGTAAAGTTTCTTGCATTAGGAAACAATGACTTGCCCCTGAATTGGTTTGAACCCATGTGACTAGCAATGCCGCTATTTTGCTTAAATTTGTAAAACTACATAACGAAACTTTATCTTATCTGTACTGTTGTCACCTTAATATATTACAACAGTTGTTGAAAATTGGTTTGTATATCTCAAATGGTTCGACTAAGAATGCTTAAAGATTTCCCCAACCGTAGAATTCAAGTAATATTAAACAGAAAAAAATAAAGATAATAAGCATGTGCAAAAGTGTGCTCTCCCTTATTCTGCATCATAATGTAAAAATACATTTAATAGATTTTAAGACTTCTTAATTACTTGCTGCTTGTTGCTTTGATGTATAAGTTGTCCTTGTAACACCAGGTTCTGTGGCTGTATCGTTTGTTATCACTTTTACTTCATATGTTTTTCCAGGTGTCAAACCTGTAACCCTCTGAGGTGATGTTGCACTGACCACCTTACCCCCACTTTGCCATTCTACATCAAATCTACTTACATAACTAGATCTGATTGGTGCAGTCCAAGATACAGTAAATTCTGTGGTTTTTATATTTGTAAATGTAATTCCAGTTACTTGAAGTTCTTGCACTGAAATCAAACAAATGAACTGAATTGTTTTAACATCTGAGGCATTCACTACATTATCATGAATCATATATTATCTGTTTTGTTTATACCTTCATAACTAGACATATATAATAAGCAACTACATGTATATTACACTCTACATCATATACATTATCATGCATAGATTTAAGCCGATTACCTGGTGTGGTTAAAATGAAAACAAGCAACTTTGTTGAAAAAGTTATTTCCCATTGATATGAAGTTACTGAAGCTGCTTTGTATCACTGACTTTTGAAGAGGATCTTTGACATTACTATTTATATGGGTGAAAACCATAAAATATTTAATAAGTGAAACATCATTGGAGGATTATGGGGGCAATACTTATACACAATGTCACACAATGTCATTGTCAATATACGAGGTCATATAATTTCATAATTTAATGCTCAATAATCACAGAAACTAACAAGAGCCATCAACAAGAGGGGCTCACATGTTGTTTTCTTATTTCTTAAGTCAAACACATTTGAGAAAAAATATTACAGTAAAGAACACTCTAAAGATTACATCATTTTCTTATACAAAATCAATTTAAAATTTTATATTTCAAAACTGTACAGGTCAACTAGGAAAATACTACATGACAAATATTTAAACTATATGCATGGTAGTTTCACAAAGTAAGACTGATATGTGTTTTCTCATGCAAGATATCAACAAAGTGACCCCAGGTCAGGGCCAATATTGACCCAAGGGGCATGAGAAATACCAGTTATTTTGTGGGCCACAAACTGATATTACATGCCACACATCTAAGTCCCGGGCATCATAGTTCACACAATAAATTAGATGTTGTTTAATATAAGTTTATATAAATTAAGTGACCTCTTGGTTGGGGCCAATATTGAACCAAGGGGCATGGTTCAGATCAGTTTTGTAAAGGTCAATGAGGCAACGCGAAGTAGATACAAATGTATCTAATTTGTAGACATTGAACTTTAACACAATGCAACTTAAATGTGTTTTCTTATACAAGTCTTTATAATCCTGTATATTTCGACATTGCTTTAAATTTGATAATCCTGAAGTTTATATAGTTTTATATACAGAGCTGCTTTCAATTTATACAGAAATCTCTTTTTTTTTCTCAGAAACATAATGTTAAATTGCTGTATTTTGAATTTGTTATAAATATTTCTGAGAGGTTTTATGGCCGTATATAAAATGTTGTTTGAAATATAATCCTTGCCGTATAGGGTCATATAACCTGTCAGAAATCTTTGTCAGTAATAGTATAAATCAAGTTATCTAAACACAAAATTGTGAAATTTATACAAAATGACCAAATGTGACCTTGACCTGAGGAAGGTCAAACCTGCACTCTACACAACGTCTCATTATAGCATGGAATGAACTTTATTGTTATGTTAACTTTTTGATTGTCCCCTATCTCTATTTGGTAGTGCAGATGGACAACCAGGTGCTCAACAATATACGCCAATATTGTTTTGGGCATATAAAATTAGGACCAATGTTAAAGTTTCTGGCTTGCAATGAGAATGGAAACAGACAGCATGACTTTAGCAATGACATTTTTAAAAAGTTAAGTTAAAAAGACACTTAAGACTATCTCTGTAAATATAAGGGTATGAGATCATATAAATAAGGAGGTGGTTGCTACTACAATTGCCTTGACAGCTAGTAAATAATGAATATAAACTTTGCCTGTTTTGCAAATACTTCGAGAGTTCGCTTCATTTAAATGATAAAATCCAACACTACATGTACATGTTCTGTTAATACATTCAGCATGTGGATCTGAACATTCATTAAGTACACCTCCTTTACAATTGCCACCAAGTGCAACATCTGAAAAAAGGTAATATATTGTAAAATTGATTAATATAAATACTGAATCAGATATAATATTTGTATATCTTATTAGACAATTTTTTTTTGTAAACTTTATTAACTAAATTGTTACAATTTTCTCAGTAATCAGAGATTTAGCACAGTATTAATGCTTAATATATATAGTCAAACTATATTGATTGATAGTTTGGGTCAAATTTGAGATGAAACATGTTTTAACAAAAGCTTGAATGTTTCATTATTGATAGAATGATTTAAAAATATAAAACATAACGAAGTGAATATCTAGGTCTAAATGATATTTTGTCAGTTAAATTTCATCTTAGACAGCAGATGAAAGCTGTGATTACTTGTTATTTATTTACATAATTAATTTAAAGGCACATTTTTCCTCAGACACGAATGAATTCGTTCTTAAAATATAGCGAACACGAGTTCACTAACATGTAAATAATGATACGACAGCATGCTAGAAGCTTATCACCTGAAAAAAGTAGCGCTAAATGTGGAAATATTGCCATTTAAAACAAAGATTTGACTTGATACGAAATACTAAATCACTATAACTGTGCTAATTACTGAAAAGCAACAGAATAAAGTGACGGTTCAGGTAATTGTCTAAACGTAATTCTTTGGAAACTGTAGCATGTTACCAAATACATAAAGTTTTGATAAATAAAGATGCAATCAGTCTTGAGGCATAAAAAGGGTTTAATGAATCACAACTAAAACATAAGCCCATGAACCTTAAAATGTGAGAGGAAAAAGAGGTTTCAATGCTAGCCATTTCTCGAAATACATGTACATAACAAACTGTTTACTGCTAGTTTGTTTTTGTTTGTTTGTTTCGTTTTACGCCGTTTTCCAACAGTATTTCAGTCATATAGGTGGGTAGTCGAACCCACGCCAGAGAGGTAACTGGATTAGAAGTCATCGACTCTTACCCCTCGACCACGGAGGCGGTTTACTGCTAGAAGCTCAAATATAATACAAATGAATGTTAAGTTAAAGGGTCAATCATTATGTTTATTTTACATGATGGGATTTGTAAATAGTTTTGAAGATTAATATTCCATTTTATGTAGGATTAGGCTAATAACTTGTACGCAAAATTTCAGATCATTCACTCATTATATTTCCTGAATAATTCTAATTATAAAAATTTTCACTCAAATAGGGATATTAAGATTAGCACATATATATGAGTTTTAAATATATTTCCGAGTATATTTCTTAATTATTGTTTGCAACTGTTTCCTGTTTTAAGTGCCCCAATTAATCTATGTAAGATATCTAAATTCTATTTTTCCGGCTTTTGGACCTCAGTGCAGTTCGTTTAATATTTCATGTTCATTATGTAAAACTCAAATACACAAACATTGTTCAGAAATAACTAATAAAGATTGAAGATTCTTCTCCATAAGTAGATTTTCCAATATACCCCTTTAAATGTCTATATTTTCTTTAATATGCAAGTTACGTTACTTACTTGGTTTACAATTGCTTCCATCTCGATGATAACGTTCATCACAGGAGCAGATATAGGAGGGCAAGCATTGACAGCTTGCATTTTGGTCAATACATTGTTTATTGTTCGAATGGCTACCGGAACAAGAAGCTCCAAGATTTATCCCTGTAATCATACAATTACATTATTGACAACCATTTTTTTTACTAAACAACTAAATAAAGCTTAAAAATATCTATAATTGTACGATACTGACTGGACATAAAAAGTATTCCTAGTTTGTATAAATTTCAAAGTGTTTTCTTTCATTTGAAATTTTTCTCATGTCAAAGTTAGAAATATTCATTTGATTTTCACCATTTTACATACAACAGGATGTTTGAGCCCTAAGCGCTTTTGTATATACAACATGTATAATTCAAAAATCAAATAAACATACTTGTCTCACAACTACCTCCAATTGTATTGTCAGTGTTTGTATCGTAATATGTGTTGGTACATCTACACCTGCTTCCAACACATTCAGCCCGAGATGATGAACAGGCATTTGGCATTGAACAATTAGAGCCAAGGCCAACCTCTAAAAATAAATAAATGTATAAGGTTTATACATTCATTAACTTTTTTGGATATCACTTAACATGGACAACATACAATAAAACAACAGTAAGCAGCTAGTGAAAACTTGCTTTTATTCAAAACTTTCTACATCTCATAGAAATATTTTACATATCTTACAATCCTCAACACGAAAAAAGAGCAATAAAAATCCTATCAAGCTGACATATCTAAAAATGAATATTACATGAAGTAAGATATTTAGGCCATTTTTAAAGAAAATAAGAGCTCCGCATAGGCGTGGCAATATATGCCCAATTGCAAATTTGTTTGAAGTTATTAAATTCAAAATAATCAATAATAATTTTTAAATAATGGGGAGACCCATTTATAACATTTGTCTGGAACACCCCTTGCATGAACATAGTATCATCACAAATATCGCCTTGCATACATATTTAGTATCAGTCAGTAAATTATCACCAGTCTCTGCTTCAAAATAAGCCCCCAAAAGCATGACTGGTGGCTTTCTGGGGTATTTACTCGACAGCGAAAGCTAAACATTGCATATATAATCATCACTTCAAGTTTTCTTGTGTCATTTATTTATAGATCATAGATCTTTGGTATGAATAATGTATCAATGAAGATCTTAATGTTGATAATTGAATGTCTAAGATAATATTATCTCACCAAGTGACATGTTCAATTACCATCAAATAGTCACCTGATTTGTCTATGCACACTTGTCAGTATGTGTTAAATTTTCCTATTGGCAATTACATTATAGCTCTTTCATCATGTCTTTAAATGTATAGGTATGATTTTTCACAGTGTTTTAATTTGTTAGGTTTTTTTATATAAAATGTCCAAACAAAGAAAACTTTTGTTTGAAGCTACTCACTAGCCGAGATATTAAGACATTTAAGCAGAAGCCGGTTTGATCTACTTGACAGTATAGACGGGTCAAGGACAAGGAGAAAGTCAAACTGACCATGTATTTAATGACCAGACTTTTAGACAGGTGCAGCGTTCTAAACGACCGGGAATAAGTAAAGGCAGCACTGATTTGGCGATTGATGAATATATACTTTTATCTATTTGTGATTAAATTTCTGTTATGTTTGCCAAAATTAGCTCGAGTAGAAGGAAAATCGAGGTCATCGAGGGGAAAATTGACAACTGCCTAAAACTCAAAGGTAAACTCGAAATCATTAAGGACACACTTATCTCATTGAAAATTGTGAACAAACTGTCACCAACCTCCTTTTAATTGAGTAGGAAGTTGCCAGGCCAATACACATGAAACGCTCATACAGACTTGGTCCGTTTGTTAGAGGAAAAACGCGGCCGATATTTGTGACTTTTGAAAACTTTAATGATGTCCAATTGATCATTTCAAGAGCTCGCCGCCTGGAAGGCCTTTATTACAGTATAAATAAAGATTTCAAAACCGAAATAACCTCGGCTAGGAAAACACTGTGGCCTCCTTTTGAATCTAAAAAACAGAGATATCCCGACAGTAGAACAGTCCTGGCATACCCCGTAAAAGTTATTCGTGATGGGGATGTTGTACTGGATCGTGACCTAGACTGGGACGATGTTTCGAAACATTCGAACATTTCAAAACAAAAGACAGCTAATTCCCGTAGTAATACTCCAGATAAACAAAATGAGTTAATGAATAGTCACGTGACCAGGACAAATGCAGACAGTGCACGGGATTTACATGCTGACAAACGAGTTTCTACGTCACCCTCACGAAACACCGGTCTCAACAGGAGAGAGCCAATTTCAACCAACAGGAAAACCCCTGTATCACTGCGTTCACGAGGTCGAGCACCCAGGAGAGAATCCCAGCAGTATCGTAGTAACTCCCAGATTGATAAATTCTCGAGGCCGTGGACAGACACCGATATAAGATTTACCCTAGGAAACAGGAACTCTGATAACCGTGATTATGACAGATTGGGGGAATTCTTCCCGAACGATATGTGATGATATTGATATTAAGTTTTTATAGTTTGAATGTAAATGATTAAATGATTATCCAGATTTCCTTGAACTTGTTAATTGCTTTGATTTTTTCTATGCTATTGAAACTCATCTTGATGATAAAGATTTGGTAGACATTGAAGACTGTACTTTTGGCTAAGCATCGTTCAAATAATTACACAAGAAATGATGTCCGATGGAATAGGTCTATATGTCAAACAAAAGTATTCTAAATTTGTAAAAGAATTACCTGAAAATAATAATTATATAAAATGAGTTTCGTTAGACTAACAATATTTGAATACTTCTGAAAATGCAGTGCTATGTATTATATATTTTCCGCCAAAAAAACTCGCGGTTTAAAATTAAACCGATATCAATTCTTTTGAAAATGATTTTGTCTGTATGTAGTACATATAAGATTGTTATGTTAACTGGTGACATGAATCCAAAAGTTGTGGAACTTGCAGATAATCTCCCCTCAGACTCTTTTCTTAACGATATGTTCGAATTTGACGAGGATTTTGTTTCACATTTAGATAATTATACAAATCTTGAAAAAATGGCAATAAATTTAGACAGGAAATTGATGGACAAGACAATTAATCACAATTTTATGATGTTAATTTATGCAGAAACAATAATTTATTTATCGTTAATGGACAATATGATAAAGATTTACAAGGGAATTTTACTTTTCGAGAAGAATCGTTAATTGATTATTTGATTGTTACTGCCAAATGCTTTTCCCTTTTGAACACTTTTGAAATCAAAGGAACAGATGCACTTTTTTTTCTGATGGACAAAGTGCACTGTAGGTCTTTTAATTTAAAATTGTAAATAATTTATTTTCTGGTATGTCCGGTTTGTCTAGGAACTTAAGAAGTATTTCTGATTACCGTATCTTAACCTTATTATTAGATGTCATACCCCATTTTTTTCTTTTAGTGTCGAAAAGACGAAAAATCGGAAAACAATGAAAGGATTATATTATGATTTTTTACCACTGTAATACAACTTCATTGTAATATTTGCGGGATTCTACAGAAAATTCTTATTTGTTTACATATTCATGCAAAACATGAACTTTTTCCGAAGTTAGACACAGATATTGCTGTATTTAATAAAAACTATGTAAAGGTAAAAGCAAAATTATCTATAGTTATAGATTATATATCAATATGGACTGAAATAGTTTGTACTTTCAACTTAATATTAGAAAATTAGTTGAAAAATCTGCAAAAATGAGCCGAAAACATCCTATTTGTTTATGTTTTCATGCCCAACACGGGGTATAAAAGCTGCTCTCTAATTGGTCGAAAGCACTTGTCTCCAATGTCGTCATTGGTTCATTTACTATCCGATTTTGACTCCATGCTCAATACTTTAACCTATGATCCCCTCAGGAGCGGGCGTAAACAAGTCCTGTATATTTTAGTGTGCTCTGCTGTGCACTATGTAGAGCATCTAGACTCTATTCACGTTAAAACTTTTGATTGTTTACTTTATAAAAACTAAATATTCGTCACGATTCTCTATAGATACATTAGTTAAATTTAGATTATTTATTTATTTTAGTTTATTAATTAATTTGATTAGATTTTTAGAAGAAATTATAAGAATATTTATAGGACTAATATTTATATTAAGCTATTAATTGTTTATCTATATCTCAATTAGTTGGAAGTAATCGGAATTTAATATTGAAATAGCCTGGGGACGGGTTTTATCCTGATGTTTGGCCAGTCCACACGCTCAGGTCAACCCGCCCCTAATCTGTTTTATAATTAAAATTGTTTAAGAAAATTGAAATTTATTATTTGACATATATGGTACAATTTGTTTTTACTTTGGATTAGCAAAGGAACATGGAGTCTACCAAAGCTCCTCCCCGGTAACATAGGATACAAGTATCCCCCTCCCTGATAAAACAGGGCGCCGCTGGGGTGCCCGCGACAGTCTTTTGCCGCCCACTTCTTGATGATATTGACCTGAAGGAAAGCAAAGGATGTCTCTGAACCCCCTCATTACCAAAAGCAGTCAATTATATTATTATTTGCTGTTTAAGTCTAATTACATGGAAACTGATGGAAAGTTGTACAAATTGACCAAAGATAGTTTAACATCTAACCCAAATATATGCTATATTCATTATTATTTTTATGTTTACATTACATTAATACAGAAAGGTTGTGAAATAGAAGATATAAGCTATTTATTGTTTATTTCAAAGGGGAGAGTAGATAACTCCTATTTATTGGTTATTTTGTAAATATTTGGCAATATAATCCATTTAACTGTATATTGATTAAATTTATTCCGAGAAGTCATTAACATGTTATAATTTAATTTTGGTCTGTCCTACTATGTTCAGGTTTAATAATCTGAAAGAAATTAAGTGCAAAGGTGATTTGTTAGAGTTTGGCGCCTTTTGCATACATGCAACTTGGATAAAAGCTGGACAGTCGGACCGATCCGATAATAATCATCGGACCTAATAAAAATTTATCGGACATGTCCGTCGGACCGACGTATTTCGGGAAGTCTGGAACAAGGTTGGCAGACATCTACTAGGAGATGTTACATGTCAAATATCTAAGCTTTAGCTCTTTTGGATTTTCACAAGCAGATTTTTAAAGTTTTCACGATATACATGTATATAATTATAAGGAAAATCAATGACCCCCTCGGTTGGAGCAAATTTTGACCCTAGAGCTTTTATTTGAACAAACTTGGTAGACATCCACTAGAAGATGTTTCATGCCAAATGTCTAAGCTGTAGCTCTTTTGGATTTTCACAAAAAGAATTTTTTAGTTATTAGTTTATACATGATAAAGGAAAAGTAATATCCATGGGGACGGGTCAATGACCCCCTGGGGCAGGGTAAAGTTTAACCCTATGGGTTTTATTTGAGCAAACTTAGTAGACATCTACTAGAAGACGTTTAATGCCAAATATCTAAGCTCTAACTCTTTCAGTTTTTTACAAAAACATTTTCTAAGATTTTTGGTAAATAATATTTTGGTTGCCATGGCAACCAGAGTTATTTACGGGGAACATCCCTGTAAAATTTCAACAAATTTGGCCAAGTGTTTATGGAGGAGAAATTGTTTAAAGAAATTAGTGACCCACGCACAGATGCACGATGGACGACAGACAATGTGCCATCACAAAAGCTCACCTTGAGGACATTGTCCTCAGGTGAGCTAAAAGTGGACGGACGGACATACATTTCTATTAAAAAATAACGCGAAATTTTAAGGAAATCATTAGACTAAGATGTTAACACTTCATCTTTTTGTTCCTACAGTACTCATATAAGCAAAATAAAAATGGGGATATTTAACGTTGATGCAGCTCAATATATGGCTATCAATTTCTGCATTTGGTGCTGAATGACGCAGTCAAGTTAAAAACGTTTAAAACTGTGGAAAGGTACCATACTACTTTGATCATCGTTAAACAATTGTCATAAAATATATGTCACTTGTGGTGAAAACATTTAGCAACAAGAGGGTCATGATGACCCTAATATTGCTCACCTGAATATCAATACTTTCCGTGACGAGAAACAAGTTATATTGTAAGCTATAAACAAAAGCAGATACAAAATCTAAATCTTAAAATCCTGTATGTTTAAATTAAGGTTGTAACAACATTTAACTTTTTATACCTCATTTAGGCGTGTTTTGACGGATTTTCACACCCTACTTTTGAGGCCTCAATTTGACGGTTTGAGTGTTTACGAACAAATGTGGACAGACAATAGACAATGGAAGACTGACATTCAACAATTCTAAATTCTTACCCTGAGCAAGGTTATGTCAGCTTAAAACGAAGAATATACTGATCTTTTATTAATGAGCATTTTAATAAAAATTTAATAAAGTCTACAAACTTTCAACACATGTTCCTCCTACATCAGCACCATTGCTATCATAGTAATTACTTTTACATACACATTTGGTTGTAGTAGAATCACAAACAGATGATTGATCATTACAAGGAACATTGCCTGTACAGTTATATCCTAGCCCTGGAATAAACATTAATTTAAACAAAACTTGAATAAATTGTATAGCCACCAAATCACAGATGTCAGCGTACCATAAAAAGAGCATAGTTCTTAGGCATGTATCAATATAGATCTTAATAATGAAAATTGAACTAAAATATGTTCCCGACAAATGTTTTATATATATAAATTATGGGTCTCATCTATAATTTAAAATTATTTTTGATTACTATTACTTTAAATTCTAATTACTTTTAACAAATGCAATATTTCTATTTTTCCAGGTGGTAAATGAGCTAGAGAAATGTTACTTACTAGCTTTACATCCATTATCATCAGTATTTACAACATAGCCTGTGCTACATGTGCACTTGTCATCAATGCATTCTGTGAATCCTGTGCAGTCATCAGTATCAGTGCAGTTTTTACCGTAACCTGCAGCTTGACATGACTTGAACATACAGCAAAGGTATATCTGTGAAAATAAAAACAAGACTTGTCTACTACACATACAACTCATTTATTTCTTCGTACTTGACAGTATAAATAATTTTAAAATCAAATTTGGATTAGGGGCACAATACTGCAACAAAAGGGATCAGTGATCACATATGTCGCCCGAAACCAATTGCATGAGACAGCTATTCTGTAGAGACACATAAACCAGTCACAGGCCAAAATACATTATTAATTGAAGGGCAAAATCATCCAGCTGAAAAAAAAAACTTGTTTGATAAGCATTAGTGTATAAGAGAAGAAGTCAAGACAAACTTTAAAAAATCTTTAAAGGGCCATTATTATTACTCAGACAAACTAGATGCTCAAAGGTAACATTTGTCAAACCCGCATACTGTGAATAGTCAGAGAGGAAGAAGTGAAACTTTTGGACAAATAATATTGTTGTCTGTTTTTTTTAATGTAGAGTTTTATAAATATCTACCAAACAATTAAAGAACAGTTATTTAAAGGTATTTCTATTTTAACCGCTGGTGGCCATTTTGTCAGACGACCAGATTCACAATTGTCCAAACGGAACATCGTAGTATTTTGTATATTTGGCATATATTTTTTGTTTTCTTTCCCTCATAATCAAAAATAGGAATAAGGTGTGCATTATAAGTAAAGCATGCAAGACTCCTTTTTTAAAAGTATTTTATCCGCCTAAGAGTTCTTTTTTTTACATAAATCATTTACCTGACAATGCCAATTGATTGTATCTTTAACATAGATACCAAACAGTCTTTGTGACTTTTTGCTATGGTCAGCTTTACATTAATTCTCCAGAAATTGTGAAATCGTTGTCGCTGCACACTGTGGACATATTATTTGATAGCTTACATACAAAAAGTATAATTGGTTGTTTTTTTGTTTTTTTTGATAATTAAACTACTTTTAAACTTGGGTGATTTTTTTAAAGAAAAGTAAATATTTGCACACTTTATAGTCCTAACCTCCGCTTCGGCTTAACACAAAATATATTTGACAGCGTTTGGTAAAAATAAAATATTAATATTTGTTCAAGCAGAAGCGCAAGCCCCAATGTGAAAGAGCCTTGGCAAATGTGACTTAAGACTTAGGCAACACAAGCATATAATAAGTCAGGGATTATGCGTTTATTCTGAACCAAAATATTGAAGCATAAGCAAATACATATATTATTTTTGGGACTAAGAATGTCTCTTGTCCCAAATTATTATGATGATGTTGTACTCAAGGACACTTGGTTTCAGGATAGAGAAACATTTTGAGAGGTTTGTAGCACTCAAATTAAATTGAATTCCACGATTTTAAACGCGGATGTCTCTTTTCTTAAACCGTAATTTTGCCAATGCGGTTTTAGGAAAGAGACATCTACGTTAAAAATCGTTACATTAAATCAAACGGCTTGATTTTTTTCTGGATATTTTAACACATTTTATCACAAAAAAGGTATGAGTCTCCGCGTGTGCCTTTTTTTTCATTTGTCATACATCCAGCAATAAAATACATGATCACCATGCAACAGATATGGTAAAGGCAAGCAAATATATCCAATTCAAAAATATATATTAAGTTAATAGACAAATGCCACTGATCCCTGAAAAAAAACACAGTAAATAAAGAAGCAAACAATTAAGATAACAAAGTGATAGATTCTACAACTTTCCATACATCAGATATTTCTTTTAAATAATATATAGTCATTACTCACGAAAAGCATAGATCCTTTCATCATGCTATCTAACAGACGAGTGTTAATTTAATATCGATAAACAATCCTTAAACCGAAGTAAACAACACACGGAAGTAAAGGAAAAAAAACTTACCATTGTTATTTTTTTTAGTTTTTTTTTTGTACTAAAGTTTAACTTTTTTAAGATATTAAAGTGATATATGCGTATTTCCGTATATTTCAAAACATCAAACGTTTTGTTATATCTATCATATATACAATCAAATCATTTTAATAAATTAGTAAAGATTGTATTTGCTGATTATTTTCTGAATCAATAACTGATTATCAATTTTATCTTTTAATCTTGTCACATGTTAACCGATTATACATTTATTATATATAAGTAATCTATCTCTGTTATTAATATTAGAAAAATGCACAGTTTCTTAACTAATTATATCAATAAGATTAATTTGGAATAATTTGATAATATATTCGCCGCGATAATTTATTTTAATTTTACTTCATATTTGAACAAGAATATCGCTTAAAGCGATAGATACATCCAATCCTGCATCTTTGCCTATGAATGTTAATACAAATAAGGGAAAACGAAAGGGGTAAGCATCAAAACATAGATATTTACCTACAAAATATAAATGACATTATTGACCTTATTGAACACTTCTTCACTCAAAGGTTCAGAATCAACCAAGATACTGCATGTACTATTCATACTATTTATGACTCCAAAACTAAGAAAGGTACGATTATGGATGGTTAATACAGCATTTCCATCCCTACTTTTTACAAATGAATGAATTTCTAACACAATATTTATACTTTGTAAGTAATGCTCCGTACAAGAATTATTCAACTTAATTTTACCCAATTTAATACATTCTATCAAATTGCAAAGGATTCATTTAAAATTATTCTTATACAATGCAATTTCTCTCATATTTCTCTATTATTGTGTAAAGTATAAATCAGATCCCATTAAACATTTCATGTTTTTCGTCAAAAGTAAATTGAATATGTCGGAAAATAGATAGCTTGATAAATAACAAAAAATTAATTTAACAACATCTAACCCTCTTGAACGAATAAGACACACATTTACATACACAGTTATAATAGTTCACATGAAATTACTATTATACTGTGCACAGCATAAACATTGCAGTATAAATGTTCGTGTATGATACGAAACAATGTAAATATATAAACTGACTTGCATTAACATTGAGATTTAAATTTTAACATGTTCGAGAAAAATTTTAGTCTTTTGTTAGTAGTAAGTATTTTTTTAAAAGGAGATTAGATGAGATAATTAATAATTTAGGACAATGCGACAACTATATACGTTTTTGGAAAGTCTACATCCTGATTATATTTGTAACTTTACGTATGTCTAATTTTACCTCATTTTCTTGTTGATAAGTCACAAAAAATAGTTTTGTTCTAAAATAATGACTTTCCAGGACGACTATATATATATATATATATATATATATATATATATATATATATATATATATATATATATATATATATATATATATATATATATATATATATATATATATATATATATATATATATATATAATAAACTTATATCATAAAAAACTCTTATAAAAAAATATCTACAACATTTACATATTTATTATCTGTCAAAAACGGTACATATATTTCGACGGGCAAGCATAAAAAATTATATAAAAATACAGTTTATTTTTAAAACAGCATTCAGGTCTATAAATATGAACATACTTTGTTACTCGTAAAGAAACTATATCGTACAGGTGTATAACAAGAACCTCAGTAGCATTGTGTTAAAAACGTACTTTTTAAACTGGGTTTCATAGACGCATGGATATTTCAAACAGTTGGTGATGTTGATCTGTTTAAATTTATTTAATGTCAAACAAAAAATAAGAGACCAGTTTGTTCAAAAATGTAATGATAGACTAAACAATTCCACAAGAGCAATCTTTTTTAGAAACATAATCAATTTTTGCTTTTGATCGTACTTTAATATTTTAAATATTAAAAGTTTCGTGTATTTTTGTCACACAGATTATATGTTTAAACAGGTAGATGGCACCCGCCAAGGGCTTCTCCGTATGGTTATCGCAAATGTTCTGAATGTAATGTTTTAGAGGACGAGTTTCACTTTGTGTTTCAATGAAATAGATATATTAACCTAAGGAAGCAGTTTATATCGCCATGTTATTGGAGACATCCAAATATGATAAAATTTATTGCTCTTATGAACTTTGATAATGATACTATAATAAAACGTCTTGCATGTTATATTAAAAGAGCTTTTAATGATAGAACAACAGTATTTTCATTCAACGTAATCAAGGTAATTAAGGTGTAGAAAACTTATAATCGTAATTTGCCTCTGAACGTGATATATTTTCAGTAAAGTGCTTCAATCACTTAGTTATCTATGTATTTTGGACGGTTTATATTCATAATTGTCACCAGTTTCGTTGCTATATTTCGTTGTAATTATGTAAAACTATTTTAAATGCAATACTCAAGTGAAATTAATCTACCTGTTGCTAAATAAATTATGTTTACTGTTACGTAAACGAGAACGTAAATATGTTCGTTAATAATATTTATGTAGGTCTTATATGCTAGTATATAAACTGCCATATTTGTAATTTTACTGTGCATTTTGCCACATGGATCGTTGACCCCCTGATTTGATATGAATCAAATTTGTTAAACTTATTAACTTGTGTTTGATCTTAACAATCTATTCAAAAGACAGTGTCAGAATAAAATGTTTCAATGAGGATAACAATGGATCTCATAATTTTTGATAATATTTTTTATCTGATTTGCAAAATATGTTTATGGCCCATGCTTTGATCAAAAAGATACTTAAATAAAACTCAATTTTTTATTTGGCATTAAACTATATATACCATATAGCCATTATACGATAATATAAGTTAATATAAAAAGATAAAGACTTCTTAACAATTTAAAGTAAAGATAATTGATGTAAGTCAAAATAAAAGAATAAATTCAAATTTATAACAAGAGATTGGGCCAATTTGTATGGTGTCCTATTCGTGCCATTTTTTTTAATGTCGTTCGGTGCATCGAAGGGTCGACACACGACAATGAGAAGTGACATTTGACAAAGTGAAGTGAGTTCGACAACGCGGAGCGACGAGCGACCTTGCAAAGCGACGCTCGAAAATGTCTTATGATATGTCACAATGTCGCCTAAAATGTCGCGGAAAAAAAGGGCAGGGTGACATTTTAGAAATGTTGCTCTGCGTTGTCAAGTGTCGCTTCTTATTGTCGAGTGTCGTTTCATTGTGTGAAGTTTAAATCAGATCCAATGAAATGTTTCATATTTTTCGTAAGTAAGTAAGTAAAAAAATAAGTAGCTAGGTATGTAGGTAGGTCCGTTGGTAGGTGATATGTGTATGACAATTTATAAATAACGAAAAATAAACATTTTAACATAATCTTACAACATCCAGGCTTATTGGATGAATAAGACACAAATATACATATACATTAATCACATGATACACAGCATCAATATCGCAGTATAAATTATGTAAATAGTGATGCATAATACACAACAATATACATATCTATATTGACTTGAGTTTACATTGGAATTAATCTTAAGATGTTTGGGAAAATATTTAGTCTTTTGCTAGTAGTTTGTATTTGAAAGAGAGATTGTTTAAACACCGATCACTGTAGAGCTCTATCACACTAGTACCTTCAATTACCATCTATAACTGTTTGAAGTTTTGATGAGATTTTATCAATTGTTTACAAGTTTTACTCAGTAAAAGAGTGTACCGGACAGACGGACGGGAGGAGGGACAAGGCGGTAACTATTTACTATAGGGAAAGACTACTTTATGATTAAATTTGTAAATCTATTTGTGACTAGTTTTTCCTAATTTTCATGTTGATAAGACACGCACAATAAATCTTGTTTTAAAGTAAGGACATTTCGGAAGGATATAATAATAGAGAATGTGCACTTTTACTGAAAGGGAAGTTCAAAAAAATATAATAATTAGTTTATACTTTACCTTAGACTAAAAAGGAAAGTAATATATTAGATAATAAGAAGTATATGTCAGTTTATTTACTGCATGACCAGTCGCGTCTATAAGTAAGCTATTATTAAATCAACCTTCATCTTACAGCTTGGTAAGACATTTCAATGAACTACAGTAAAGTCTTCAGGAATAATTAACAATGAGTGAAACAATTTTTCGGCGAGCTGTATAAAATCGTGATTGGTTTACATTTGCAACCAATGGAATTCTACGTTATAAAAGCCTTCAGCTTAATAAAAATGTTTGACGTTGGTTTAAAGAGCAGACGTTACAGAAGTTACAATCAACCTAAAAAAGCTATATATATTTATATAAAATATAATTTCAAAGAATAAAGTTGTCATAAAAATATCAACATATTTATCATCTCTCAAAGCAGAGCATAATTGTCAAAGGGCAAAGATATACAGCACGCAAGTTGAAATATTTTTTAAAAAAAACCACAACATCCGGGTCTGAATATAATTGGCAGACATGTTTCTCGTGAAGTAACTATATCGTACCAGAGAATTAAATGTCATCGGTGTTGTTATGTTTGATCATAACAATCAAATCAAATGATACTATCAGAAAAAAACTGGTTCAATGAGGCTAACAATGGATCTAAGAATTTTTTGCAATTGCTTATATCTAATTTGCAAAATAAATATTTCATGACCCATGTGTTGACAACAAAGACAGTTAATATAATTAGGTAATGTATGTCAGTGAAAATAAATGACCAATCCATGGGGAATATCCTGGACATGTTCCTTGGGTTAGGGCTCTAAAACTAAAAACAAAAAAAGACCCTCCATAGTTGTACAAAATCGAATCGGCATGGGAATTGGTCAAATGGTTTTTGAACGGTAGGCTCGTGAAATTGATCTTTTTCCGAAATTTATATAGAGAAAGAATAAATTGCGGTGCAAAAAATGACCAATTCAAAGAAGACCCTCCAAAGTTGTACAAATCAATTTTG